GACCACCACCGAGTGAGAGTCGCGCGCCGCCGCTGCTGCGCGACACGCGCTGCGACACCCTCTGCCGCACTTGTCCCCGCCTCCGCACCCCTACCGAAACAAGCAACGCGCCTGCGGCCGACAAGACGTCGCCCTCCGCTACTGATCGCGTCGCCGACGCAGCTGCAGCATGAGCCAGCAGCACCAGATGCAAATGAGTGGCATAGGCGGTCCTGTGGGCGGCCCCGTGGGTCAGCCCGCGAATGCTGGCACGCCCACCGCCAACTACACGCCCGACGCCATCATCAAGAAGCTCAATACTGCCATCTACGACTACCTATTATGTCAGCAACAATACGAGGTCGCGCGCGTCTTTTCGCAGAAGATGGAAATTGAGACCTCCGATGTCAAGCAGTCGCCCAACCAGCGACAAAACCAAGCCAACGGCATCGATGGCACCATGGACGTGGACAGCAAGGAACATGTCGGCATTCAGAAACGGCCGAATGACCTGCCCGCGCCCTCGGCCCTGTCGAGCGAAGACAGCCCGTTTTTGCAAGACTGGTGGTGCCAGTTCTGGGAGCTCTATCAGGGAAATCGCCATCGAGGAAAGCCCACTACGCTGAATTACGTTGGCCAGCAGCGTAACAACATGAAGACACGCGTGAATGCTGTCAACGGTATGGATCCCAACGCGATGCGGCAACAGCAGCAGCAATACAACACAATGAACGGCATGGCGAACAATGATCTGCGAAAGGCAGCCATGGGAAATAATGTGAACGGAATGTGAGTTGCACGATGCTCGCCATATCATGGCCTCTTTGTGGCTCGTACTGACACAGGCGCAGGACCCAGCAGCAGATACAAGCCATGCAAAAACAGCGACAAATGCAACAAGGAAATGCTCAAGGTGGCACTCAAATGGAACGGCAAGGGTCCCAGATGAATATGAGTGACCCTCGATCCGGCTCTCCAAATACCGGTGGTGGCGGCGAGGCCCCATCCCCGAAGCGCCAGCGCCTCGAAGGCAATATGCAGCAGCAACAGCAGCAGCAGCAAGCGATGAATCAGGCACGAGCTGCTCAGCCGGGTCAGATGCAAGGCGCAAATCAGGTCGGTCCTCCTCTCAACTTCCCACCCCAGTCGACGCCCCTTTCCGCAGAAACACAAGAGATTATTGCTCGCAGCAATCTCGATCCCACCGACATGTCCCCACAACAACTGCAGAGGATGTCCATGCAACCTACTAACGTCCAACAAAAGTCTGTCGAGGCCTACTCGGCTGCTATGCAGGCGCAAATGCAGACTGCCATACAAAGATCAAGTTCTAACGGCAACAAGGGCATGCCTCAAAATCCCGCCATGGGCCCCGGCGGCGCACAGTCGAGCCCCATGGCCCAGCAAGCCATGGAAGGCAACGCAGGCGGCGACTTCCAGTACAACCAGCGAATGGGCATCCCAGGCCAAAACGGTGCCACGCCTGCCGCTGGTCAACAAGGCCAAGCCAACAACGGCAATCATGCTTTGCAGGACTATCAAATGCAGCTGATGCTGTTGGAGCAGCAGAACAAGAAACGGCTGCTCATGGCTCGACAAGAGCAAGACAGCATGGCTCATCCGACAGGAGTTCCCGGGCCTAATGGAGGTAAGTCATTTGAGCAAGATGCTTCAGACTTCGATGTACTTGATGCAGAATGGACTGACTGATTGATGTCGCAGGACGAGGTTCGCCACAGCCTGGCATGATGGATCCTAACAATCCACAGATGCGCCAAGGAATGATGATAGTTGGACAGAATGGTCAACCCTTGCAGCGCGCTCCATCATCGCATCCGATGACTGGACAACAAATGACACCACAGCAGATGGAAATCATGAGACAGCAGCAACAAGGCATGATGCAGAACGGACAGATGTATCCAGGAGGTCCACCAGGTCAGCAAGGCCAGATGATGGCTGGTCAACAACCAGGTCAGCAAGGGCCGCCTGGGCAACCGCCGAATATGACACCACGACCGAACAACATGCCCCCGCCTCCGGCTCCAGGGAACCAACCACAATCCGGCACACAGCCAAGTAGTCCTGCACAGCAAGCCGCACCACCAACGCCCAACCAAGCGAACAAGCCGAAGCCGGGAGCGAAGAAGGCTGCAGACAATAAGAAGGTGAGACGCGGTGCTCCAAAAGATGATCGTCAAAAGCTAATACAGATTCAGGGTCCTGCTGCGAAGAAGGGAGGCGCGGATGCTCAAAGTGAGAATGCACCGACGCCGACACCACCGCCACCGGTCACGCCTAGCAACGCGCAGGCGTTTGGCAACAACAAGAACTTGCCCATGCAGAACGGAGCACCTGGCCAAGGTCCACCTCAGAGTAACGGACCACAGCAGAATAACGTACAGGGCGGCGTTCCGGACATGAACAATGCGCCATTCGGTGCTCTCGATGGGGCCGACCAGTTCAGCGGCATGGACTTTGCCAATTTGGATTCCGGCGATGTGCTCGACAATTTCGACTTTGACAGCTTCCTGAATAACACCGCTGAAGACAATGGGCTTGGATTCGATGCCAATTTTGCATTCGGCGATGGTGGCATAGAAACGGACGGGCTCAACTAGACAAGGAGCCGTCCTGTCTCCGCTGTACTGCTACGAGAATTGTTCAAGTGTACGGCCATGTACATCACCACAATGATCCCCAAGCTGAGCTCCATCGAAAGGCCGCTCGACACGAATGGCGCATCAACATGAAGTCTGCAGTACCTCATGCCTTCGTGCGAATGGTTCGTCTAGCGTGGTGGGCGGGTGCACTGCGACATGAAAGGCGCAAGCTCTTAGCCCACCAGCAAGCTCATCATTGCGGCTACATGGCTCGAGACCTTGAACAACCTTCTCGACTCTACTCACACCACCCAAATCCGGAGAACTACGACTTCTCTCTCCTTTTGATATCGATACCCCGAGAGCAGGCGTTCGTCGTTCCGGAACTACGTTATAGCTCCTGCTTCCTTGCGCGGCTACCCAGAGCCAACGGACTACAAGCCAGACCCAACCAGTCAGCCACCATACGATTCACTCTGTGTTCATATATTGCCACTGTAAGCAAGCGGAAGAAATAGCGGCGCATTGGTGGGGAAACAAATCCTTGTTGAATATTTTGTTTTTGCAAAGAAAGAACCTCTTTTTGAATATATCATCACTCGCTAATGGAGACGGCCAACAATGCGAATGCGGAGTTTTGTGTGTCTCGAGAGGGAAAAGGAATACCAAATGGCCTGCTGCTGTTGTCGAATTGATGGTGCAGAGGGAGACCTTCTGCACAATGTTCGAGAACTTGTATCTGTTCGGCTGGTCGTTTTTTTCGCTGCTCGCTTGTGCTTTTTGCTGTCTGTTGATGATCGACGCTACCTACGTCTCTGAGCATCGCTTTTTCTGCTTCTCTCTCTCGAGAAAGCTGGGTGGCTATATTTGTATTTTTGATAGGGATGAGAAAGGATCCGAGATTTCATCGTCTCACACGAGCATTGGCATTTCCTCTTCCCTCTTTCTTCGAATCCCCGGTCATTGAACAGTATTTAATACATGAGTGAGCTTTCTTGATATGCTGCTGAATGCTATTGAGAGGATATCTGTACGGGAACGAGCAGCACCTTCAGTCTTTTCCGGCCAAAGACATTGTTGCGAGAAGTAGGACTGTCTCACGCTGATCTTTGCGACACCATCTGGATTGGAGCTAAGCAAGAGGTGGTGAAAGTCACTTTGGATTCGGAATCAGGTTGATGTTCGGGCGGACTAGGTAATGCTGAGAGATTCTGCCATGCTGTGCTGCGGGCCAGCTTGAGATGGACTTTCAGACGATATGCTGCTCTTTTGGCCGGCCATCGAGGGCGTGGAAAACATGGGGCGAAAGGACTGGAAAACGAGCAAAACAAGAGAGATGGTGGGAAATAATGCTTGGAGCATCATTTCAGATAAGGTGAAATCTCTTGCATGATTTGCTTCTTCAAGATTACTTACATTGTCCATCACTTTTACGCCATGCTCTAAATCATGTTATTGCCACGTATTACCCCAGCTGTGCACAAGCGGCCATGGATTCCGAAACATATGAGAGCCTACGAGATTCAGGATCCCAGTCTCTGTCGTTTGGGAGTAGATCCCCCGGCTGGAATGGAATCATCATCATCGTTGGTACCAATGACAGTCTCAATGACTTCCCACTGAACACTGCTGGTGCCATCACGAGACGTCTGACCCCCTACCTGTCGTCGAATACGTCCTAGCCGGCTATTCTCGATCATTTCTTCGAAGTAGGGGACGCCGCGGTCGCTAAGACGATGGAGTTGCTGGTTTGTCCTCGAAGTGCGTACGGGGATTGGAACACCCTCTGAATCTGCTCCTGCACCGCGCTCTTGCTCGTCCAATCGAGTATGCCGCAGTCCAGAATCTGTGCCTTCGAGTGATCCTTCCTCTTCATCTGAATCTGATCCTGGTGTGATGCTGAGCGCTTCTAATTTGTCCAGACTCTCGTTGAATAGCGAACCCAATGTGACGTCCAGGTAATCTGAGCTGTTGTTGCTTCCATGCTCTCTACTGCTGTGCAGTGCTTCGTTCCACGCTGTCAGGTTCGTGCCGCAAAATCCGCAGAATTGCCTTCGTGTAGGAGGGAGGCCGGGTCGGGTCGCTGGGGTGTTGTACGTTCTTTTGATCGAATTGTGAGATTCGTTGTCGAAGTGCGCGTAGGTCGCTGAATGGTAGAAGTCCAACGGTACTCGCAAGAAGGCTACGACGGGCGCTGCGTGAGCTCTTCCTGGCGGAAACTCCTAGTCAGTTACTGTAGCGACATTTCAGAGCTTGGTGAAAAACTTACTGCTTGCACTTGAGTTGTCAAAAAAGACCTGTGCTTCGTGTCTGGCAGTTCGCGGGATGCTGATCACGAACTGATTTCGCTCGCAACTGCATCCGCCAAAGAGATGGGTGGTGTCGGACATCGTGGTTTGCTTGTTCTTCCCTTCAGCTCAACAGCTTGTACGGAGTCTCGTGCTGCTTCATGTGGATATCTGGTTGTGTTCCATTTCAATGTCGATTCCCAGAAGCTTCGCGAGAGCTCCAGAACATCGTAGGGTCGCCATACGTCACCACGACAAGGGTCGTCTGATTATGGGGCAGCGACGAGCTGCAGCATTGGAAGTAGCAACTCCGAAGATGCGTGCTATATTCCAATGTCATTTGATACACCGTGCTCTGAAAAATAGCAATGAAAACATCGTTTGCAATGGTAGTACCAGAACTGCTTTTCCTGCTAGCCAGCACAAGCTTTGCGCGCCTTAGATGAATATGCTGCACGCTACATGTATCTTAACAATGCCGAAATAGAAGTGAACATGACAATTTAAATATCATGACCTGCAGGCTCCAAGCTCAAGATTCAAAACCCAAGATCTTGTTCGCCTCCTTCATAACAGTCTTTTGTCCTTCCGAAAGGCCAGGCTCAGTGGGATCCCAGGCGCGAAGACCAAATGCTCGCATGCCTTCCACAGGATTGACCTTTTCCACATCTTCAACGCCTGGACGACCAACATGCTGGCTTTCACCAACACCTCCACCGAAATCTGGGCATGGTGCGCCACTGAGGAAGGCTTCACGCTGTCTTGCGACAAATTTGGCGTTGGAGGCGGTCAGCGGGCATGCTGGGATATAAAGCACGCTGGAATCGGATTTGCCTGCATGGACTTTGTCGACAGCGTGAATGGTGTCGCAGTGCCAGGAGACATAATCTCCAGGATTGACCTTTGGCACGTGGACCATGGAGCTGGGCAGGTTCAAATGTGGGTGCAGTTGGTGGCTCAACTCCTGTCCGTGGCCTTTCGACGCTCCATGCAGCCACGAGTCTTGCTCAGTGCTCAAGGTCCAGTTATCTGCGGTCAGGAATGCCTCCTCATAGTTCTCGGCAGTGGGGTCCTGAGCAGCTCGCTTCGGCGAGAAGAACGGACGAAGCAAGTAGTAGGCAGTGGCTCTGCTGAGAAGTGGATTGACCAATAATGTTCCCTCGTACGGCCCAGTAGAGCTCAGCGATAGCCAGCCCTGGAACATGCGGAACATAGAGCAGGCACCAACTCCTTGGTAAAGATCGGAAACCACAGGAAGACGCGAGCTTGATTCCCAAGGATCATATTCTTCCCATTTTCCTTGGAAGATCTTGTCATAGACATGGCCTCGTCTAAGTTTCGTTAGCTCCTACTTTCAAATTGACTAGACCTCAGTTTGGCACTTACCCATAACCCTCTTCTTCCCATCTCTCACACGATCCTCCATCAACGTGAGGACCCAGAGCAAACTTGGCATCTCCCGGCAAGCGCATTCGCAACCGATCCGCATATATCATAGGGTGACTCGATGAAATCGCAGCATTGGGATCTTTCGAATGCCAAAATTCCGTCAAGAAGCGCTGTGCCTTGATCAAATTCGGATGCGATCGAGCTTTAATCTGCGAAGGACTCCAGTACAATTCGTACACTTGGGGATTATCTGCAGGAAATGCCTTCGTGTGTGGGTTCGCCGCAATGTACTCCTTCAGCCCAGTCTTGAGGTCCAAAGCTTCTTGCTCTGGTATCACGTTGCGAATAACTGCCACTCCGCGCTTCCTGTGCTCGGATTTGAAGTTTTCGCTGGCATTGTCGATGTCTTTGAAGTCGATTTCTGGGACAATTTTGGACCCTTGTTCGGCGATTATTGGGATCTCCTCTCGCAGCGAGGCAAGAAGCCGATGCCAGGAATGATATAGCGCTTCCTCATGCCCTGCAATCAGGCGCTTCTTGAGATCTGCGAATCGTGGCTCGAGTGGCTCGAATTGCAGGCCGGATAGCGACGCAAAGGCATCTGATATGTCGCCTTCGCGCTTTTGTGTCGCTGTGCCCGCCGCGCCGCGCACTGTCTGGTTCAGTCTAGTGCTCCGCTGCAGAACCCGCCTGCCGCCGCGAAGTGCTGGAAGCAGTGTAGAGACCATGATGAAGACTGTGCAGTATGTGAAATGTGGACTTATGCTTTGATGGCTGTGTTATTTCATCTCAAATAGCCAAATACTTATTGATGCTGCGCTGTCGGCTAAAAGCCGCCTGTCTGACCATACTGCCGCTCTCCGCGCTGGCGTAGTGTACTGTGGAGGGGCTTGTGGTCAGAAAACAGGGGAGAAAGAAGGCGAAGACCAATGATAAATCAGATTTTCGGACTTCCGTTTTCAGAGTCGCCGCACTTCCACATTTGGCACCAGCGCTTTTCGAGAACATGTGACTTTGTCGGAGGCGGAATGTCGAATGGCTCAACGGCGCGAAAGCCGTCACAAAGACTTCCTCACTATGCGGCCTAGCGAGTCCTTTATACCAGGGGGAAAATGCTTGGAATATGGTCATTCTGCAACCTTGCCTCGAAGACTTGCTCTTGTACAGTGTGATGTTGTATACGAGATCCTGTGTTGGTGTCCAGTCACAAGCCCGCTCTATATGAAGTGGCGTCTTCCTCTTGCATTGGCAGCAGCGGCTGACGGTCCTCACATCCGTCGACACGTATCTGCTGGTCGCTGCTGCCGGCATCCGCAGAGAACCATTGCGTGCATGGGTTCAGTGTGCGGGTTTTAATCTATCCTTAATCGGACGTCACGCGTTGCTCAGGGAATCGCCTTTGTGTTCGGTGAGCACTTCTCCGTATCCAAAGAGCCATTTCTCCGTAGCCAGAAAGCACTAAAGCCAAGAGACACCACACCACATATAAGTGGGCATCTAAGAGACTTGCCGTGTACGAGGTAGGAAAACGAAGCTGCCGCCTTCCTCTGCGTAGTCAAGAATTCCTTGGTCACAACAACTTACTAGAGACATTACAAACTTCCATCAGGACAGATTCCAGAAGCCGAAATGACTTCCGCCCGCTTGCCACAGGACTTCCTGTGGGGATACGCAACTGCAAGGTCAGTCACAGTCGCAGCCACAATGGCGAGACGGAAAGTCCGCGCACTGTATGAGAGCTCATCCTTGCCCCCAGCTATCAAATCGAAGGAGGCGCGCACGAGGATGGACGAGGCGACTCAATCTGGGATATCTTCGCGGGGCAACCAGGCAAGATCGCGGACGGCTCGAATGGTGACATCGCGTGCGACTCTTACCACCGCTACAAGGAAGACGTTGCATTGCTCAAGGAACTCGGCGCGAAAGCCTATCGCTTCAGTGTTTCGTGGTCCAGGGTGATCCCGTTGGGAGGACGCCAGGATCCTGTGAATCAAGCAGGTTTGCAATACTACCTGAATTTGGTTGATGAGCTTCTGGCGAATGGCATCCAGCCTCTGGTCACGTTGTTCCATTGGGATCTGCCACAGGAGCTCTACACGCGGTATGGTGGGTTTTTGAACAAGGAAGAGTATGTCGCGGATTTTGTCAACTACAGCCGCTTGATGTTTTCCACATTGGGGTCCAAAGTCAAGCTGTGGATCACTTACAACGAACCCTGGTAAGTTTCTCTGTGTTTGCCTCTGCTGTGCATGTGGGAGGCTGGGACCATTGTGAGGCGTTGCTCGGAAACATGGTCGAGACAAGGCGAACAATGCGGAGAAATCTCTGACAACCTGCAGGTGTACTTCAATTCTAGGCTATGCCACAGGATATTTCGCGCCCGGGCACAAGTCATCGACCGAGCCGTGGCTGGTTGGCCACAACATCTTGCTTGCCCATGCTGCCGCAGTGAAGGTGTACAGGGAAGAGTTTAAACCAACCCAGCAGGGTCAGATAGGCATAACCCTAAACGGCGACTGGGTTGAGCCATGGGATGCGAACGAGGCCCTGGACGTTGAGGCGTGCGAGCGCAAGCTGGAGTTCTCAATTGCCTGGTTTGCCGATCCAGTGTATCACGGCGATTACCCGGAAAGTAAGCAGAATCAAGGAGTCGGCAAGATGAAGACGTCCATACTGACTAGAATTGCGTTGAAGGTATGCGTCGCCAATTGGGAGACAGACTCCCCACGTTCACTGAAGCCGAGCGGGCCATCGTGCAGGGCTCAAATGATTTCTATGGTCAGTGAAACAACCACATCAACTTTCTGCAAGCCCATCCTCACACGGGCATAGGGATGAATCATTATACAGCGGACTACGTGAAGCATCGCAAGGATGCCCCAGCTGAAGACGACCACGGCGGAAACGTGGAGACGCTCAAGGAAAACAAAGCCGGCGAGTCGATAGGCCCGGAGACGCAGTCGTTTTGGCTTCGGCCCCATGCCGTGGGCTTCCGAAAGTTGATCAATTGGATCTCGAAGCGCTATTCTAGACCCACCATATATGTGACTGAGAACGGCACAAGTCTGAAGGGCGAGAACGATTTGCCCCTGGAGCAGTTACTTGACGACGAGTTTCGAGCGCAATACTTCCGAGATTATATTGGAGAGTTGGCAAAGGCGTACAGTGAGGACAACATCGATGTGAAGGGTAAGTTTCTTCAGCATGTGGTTGGATGTGTCTGCTGACTTGTTCCAGGGTACATGGCGTGGTCATTGATGGAGTGAGTACAATTCCGCGTGCCGCTGCAGTGCTGCAAACTGACATGTGACACCTATAGCAACTTTGAATGGGCCGAAGGCTATGAGACTAGATTCGGGGTGACGTACGTTGACTATGCCGGTGGTCAGAAGAGGATGCCAAAGAAAAGCGCACGAGTCGTCGCGGAAGTCTTCTCGTCGCTGTGCGGGCCAAAATAAGCGAAGAAGGGACGGCCATGCCCGTGGCACTCTTTCCGGTAATCTCTAGGCGGCGCATAATATGGCTCATTATACATCATCATCTTTGATGACACCAGCATCGATCTTTCTCCGGTGCCTCTGGCCGTGTTTGGATGGCGAGCACCGCCGAAGGCGCATCGATTCGCTCTGAGAACTCGCATTTGATGGTGATGAGCATGTCCACATTTGAGCGATGGTGAAACGGACGTGGTAACCACGATCAATCCGGGCAAGCCACACGAGTGGCGTGGGATCGAAGGGATTCAACCAGGCTGCACAGCTCACGGTGCCTGATCCCAGTCGACAACCACAGCAGAAACAACCACAGCATTGCTTTCCCCCGCTGACCGGATCTGATGAACCTACTGGCGTCTCAGACGCCCAGATTAACCCTCCTGCAATCACGCCCAATTGGTTCGAGATCGGCCCAGAAGATATGACTGACTAGGTTTGACAGCAGCTTAGGAACAGCAAGCGTTTCATTATGCGCGTCGCTATGGTCTGAAGGAGAATTTCTGCTGTGCCCATATGGTCGAGATATGTCCGAAGTACGAAATGCGGTGCAAAAAGGCCCAGCCAAGGGCGCGATCAGTGCACGAATTCAGCCGATACGCATCACGCGCAGGTGACCGATGATCCGGGTCACTGCGAAGCTCACGCCAGAAAGCTCTCCGACAACCTGAACGATCGACGTAAAACAACCCACCCATGCGCCGATCGTGCTTGAGCCAACCTTGTCGCAAGCCCACTTGAGAGCAGCCAAGCGTGCGGGCCACCAAAGTGAATTGCGAGTGCCAATGGGCGCCGAACAGATTCCGTGGACGACCGTGTGGGAGAACGTCGCTCAACGGGCCCGTATACCTGGCATATAGCGCATTGAGCCACAGTGCCCCGTCCGGTGTCTCCAAGATAGCTTCGCGCATAATGTCCGTTGCTATGTAAACCGTTAGATTGACAGCACGAAGCACCGGCCTGCCACGGCTCTCAGAGTTCGTCGCATTCCGCTCTGTGCCCAGTGGATTTTCAACAGCATACTTTGGGGTGCTCGTATTGCCGTGGCAGTGTTATTTCCACGATACCACACAAGTTGCTGGATGCTTATGCCGATAGCCATCGGATCAGATGCCACGGCAGGTCGGTCTAGGAAGATGTCATCGGGATCTGGCAGGCATTGCGTGCGGTGCCCCAACGAGCCCAGCCACATGATGTGGTTGTTCTGGCTGGTGAGCAATAGAGTTGGTGGCTGCAGATCATTACGATTGGACCCCAAAACGAAGTCGTGCAGCATGCTGGTATGCGGCACTAGCTCGTGCAGCGGGGAAGACAACTAGGTTTGAACTCTCGTGGATGAATTGCTTCTTGCTCAGCCCAGCAGAAAGCTGCTAGACCTTGAGGCGGTCTCGATGACAGCAGCAAGCATTTCGAGATCGCGAGCCTGTATTTTACCGCATTCGGCTCCGGATATGCGCAGCTGTGTGTGCGCGTCGCAGCCTCGTCACACTCCAGTCTATTGAACTGGCATCTTGTAGGGCCCGGTGGGCGCGCTGTCCTCGAGGTAGTCCAGGAGCTCGAATGCGCTACGTTTCATGTCAATAACGCCCACAGCAGCACAGCAGGCGCGGTGCTTGAGAGCCCAACGAAGGCGTGAGGTGATCAGTGAAGTGGTATGTTTCAGATTTCGCCGCACTCCGAGAGCCGGCGGCAGGTTGCAGGAAAACAACCAGGCTGTCACAAGCGTGCTGTGCGTGGGCGGTGCTGCATATTAAGCTTTGTCGCTCACCTGGGAGTGCTGGATCGAGATGGGAGATGTGCACTCCCGCGCGGGCTGCGGCCGCGGGTAAACGACGAACTTTCGTGTCGGCATGCCGTGACTGCATGCGCTGATTTGGGTTCTGCGGGTAGACGTTGCCAGCATGGGAATGCCGTCGGTCTCCTCCTCTCGATGCTAGCAAACGTTGTGTCCGGGTCGTTGATCCGACGTGTAGCGGGCGGAGGGCAGCTGGGATGTTCGTTGTATGTTTTCAGCAATGAGTTCCAACGAAGCGACGTTGAGAGCGCCCGGGTGAATTCCGGCGGCTTGCCGCGCAGCCTATTAACAGAGAGCAAAGCCGTCTTGGCGCTGTCTTCAGTTGCCTACTCTCTCATTGCGCTCAGCGCTGCGCACCGCCGCCGTGGGTGCAAATCAGTCGCAGTGTGGGCACCGCATTGTGTATGAGCTGCGGCCGCTAGTATGGGAGAGATCGCAGCCAAGATCCTCCCGCACTCGATATGCGCGATCCGGACAGGACGCACAAACAGCAAAAGAACTGCACCGCAGACTCACCCCTCTCGCGCAATCCTTCGGGGCGGCGCCGCAACGGGGCAAGAGACCAATTCACTTCCAGGGTCGAGCCGTGCCTGGCCCAGGATATTGCCCGCGCCAGTGAGACAACCAGACGGGGATGCAGCAGTAGAGACGTCTGAGGTTGGCAGTTTCACAATATCATAGCAGCGTCTGCTATAACCACGATGGCGAGTCGGACATGGTGCAACCTGCCAGGAACAGAGTTCGGGCGATCTGGTGGCCATTGTGGCGCCCACCCACCACCTCGCTGTGATGACCTAACCCGCCCACGTGGAGTATCAAAGCGCAACCAAACTTCAGCGAGTGTGCCCGGCCGTGAGACATATCCCTCTGCGCTGGTGCAACCGCAGCCACGAGCCCTGCGCGCTACCACGGCTCGGGCTCGTGCGTGCAACAAAAGTGTGTGCGTGGCGATCACATCCAATCGAGAGGAGAATGGTCGGAGCTTCCAGTCGACTGCGAGGGTGGCCGGCGGCCGGGACACAGCGCCAGCTATGGGGTTCTGAGTGTGCCAGCCGCCATGTACGCTGCATGCATCTGCAGGAACCGCCTCCCAGGTCCCTGTCATGCCGGCCGTGCATGAGCCCGCGTCAGGCATTGATGTCTGTGACCGCATTGTGCAAGTCACCGGCAGAGACCGGCCGTCAGGGCACTCCGTGGCTTTCGACTGGGTTATTAGCATCAACGTCTCTCGCGCATCCTCTCCGGTGCTCGCATTATTGCGTTGCTCTGTTATAGCAAAGCACCTATACTACCAGGAGCTCGAGCCTCACTCACGCTTCATGCATATAGCTACTCGTCCTCCCTCGTAGCATCGTGTCCACCACGATTCACCACCAAGACCATTTCACGCCGGATACACTGGACGGCTTCACTCACCAACTCGGATAAAGCAAGGCTATCAACCGGCCTTCCCGCTCCCGTACCTCATCTTCCTTCCTCATACCACCTTCACAAGCACTCCACATGACGTGCGTTCTTCCTACAACACCGTGGCACCACTTCAACGACCACATTCCATGGTTACCAATGAATTCTGATTCCTCATCTACCCATGGAGCGTTGGAGAAGGGTTCGTCGCAACGTTATGTCTCTCCCGGATCTGATACGCGGAAATCGTCAACGAGCTCCACCAAGAAGCGCGCCTCTCGAGCTGGCACTCGAAGCGTAACTACGCTGTCCGCCGCGCAGCTCGAGAGAAAGCGAGCCAACGACCGAGAAGCCCAACGTGCCATCCGACAACGGACGAAGGACCACATTGACCACCTCGAGAGGACCGTCAACGAGCTGCGAGGCAACCAAGAGCAAACCGAGAAGATCGCACACGCTACACAGCAACGAAATCGCGAACTCGAAGAAGAGATCGTCTACCTGCGCAACAAGCTCAATGAAGCAGGTTTCAACATGAATGGCATCCCCTCCGAAGGTGAGTGGGCGACGCTGGCCACAATTGTCACATTGACTGACATTTCGCAATAGGTCAACGCTTGCCAGAGTCAAGTCTGCTGTCTGTCCCATCCGCATCACCGGTCAACGCTGCCGGTGCCTCTATCCCACGCCCGGGTTCAACATCCACAAGTAACAACTCGGTCACAACTCAGGGATCAGGATCGCGCCATGGTTCCTGGCAACATGGAGCAGGCTTCGTTGCTAACGGGATGGGCCTTCCAACTGCCAGTTCTGTTGCCAATGCACCTACCTTGACCGCCTGGAGATCGCATGAGAGCGCCCAGAGCTTGCAGCCTCTTCAAACACCCGGAAGCAGCCTACAGGACCCAATGCAGGCACCAGGTTCAGCTACATTCCAGCATGGAGAAAGAGTAGATTGGTCCGCCGCCCCGTCAAGTTACCAATACATTAGCCAGGAGCAGCAGAGGCCGTCTCAATATGAGACGGCACCCTCGCAACAATCAGGATACCAGTCCTCGACATATCATACTCAAATGACCCCACAGAGCGAGTTTCCCAACATCTCTGTGTCGTCGAGCCCCAGTAGCTATCAAGGCCAGACCGCATTTCCAGCCCAACAGGCTTTCCAGGTGGCGCCCATGCAAGTCCCAACTACCGGCCCGGACTACAGTTCGCCACATACCCAGATGCATCCACCACCGCTTCCCAATGCGTCGTTCCACGCGGCCACAAGTGGACAGCCGTATCCGCAGCAGCAGACATACCGAGAGGAGGCCGCCGGCCGCTCGTACCCATTGGCGCATTACCCAACTGCTTGATCAGCTGTTCCCCCAGCCATCTTTGGTAGGCGCGTTGATCGCGACAACTTCCTGGATAGGCAAGCGATTGAAAGTCCCTCTGGGCGTGCGCTTCTGGCATTGACTACGCCCAATCAAGGTAGCACAGACCGTGTGCACCTGCCTCCCACCCACGCGGCTAAGCGGAATTGACCACAATCGGAACCAGACCTGATCACATCTAGTGCGCGACACACAGTTTGGTCGGCACACCACAACACACAGCGCCCCGCATGCAGCCCGGCCCTCAGACCACATTGCATTTCACGCATCCAAAGCACCGTTTGATCGAGATGCGAGGTAGCTCGCGCGACGCGCAAACTCTATCAGAGCTCCGGTAGCGAAAGCACTACCGGCGCGCCTGGGCCAAGCGCGGCCCGTGGAACAGCGGCTTGCCGGCACTACCATTGCAAAGTCTATCGCACTCAATCTCACATGATGATGAGCGGTGCTGCTGCTGCCCAGGCACTGGCTGCCACAGCTACGAATTCTTGAACCCCGGTACACATTGCCGCGACCCAGACGCTAGAACACTACTACTACTGTTATAATACTTGAGGGGAAATGACTACGGGTTTGCTTTCACGGCGTTGATGAGAGAGAACAGAACGAACCACAGTACCTGCTTTCGCAGGCAAGGGATACCCAGATGGACTGCTATTATTGCTTTTCAGATAACGAACGCGCAATGTACTTGTAATACCACCTAACGGTCGCACTTTGGCCTTTGGCGCCAGCAAAATATGCTTACTATAGCTTTGCGAAAATCATCTATTCCAAACAACATGTTTCATCCCGTGTGAGCCTCATTCCGACTAAGTTCGTGGTTGATGGTTGGTTCTTAGTCCGCTTTACTCTAATGCCCAACACTACGCGGCTATGACGCTCACGCATTCTATAGTACACAATCGCAAGCAGCACGCAATGCACGGGCGAGAGTTACGACCGCCAATTTCTTGTTCCCGTCTATCCAAGCGCCAAAGCGCTAATTTCGAGGCTTCAGCTGGTCAGAACTATACCACCGGACAATGCTCCTAGCACCTCACCTCACAACCAGCGGAGACGGACTTCAACTCCAGAAGGTGAGAAGTACCGACCGACCAAATTTGTGAACGAGGAGTGAATCCACAACGTCGTAGAAGGATCTACCTGCTAATGCGCTTCTACCACTCTCGTATTGTCCTCTTGGACCACATGATGATTGGCTCCTCCAGAAATCCCCTTCTCCACCACCGCGGCATCTCGCGCCTGTTGTTCGCGGATCTGCGCCAACAGATCTGGGTACCATCGCTCACCAACGTCTTGGTGCGATTTAATCCGATTCATCAACGTCGCCTCGCCAAGATGCGACCAGCGCCCTTTGACAAATGTGAACTCGACGTCATCCCGTCGTCCATCTTGTGATTGAAGAATATTCTGTCGTAAAGCTCGCACGTGCTCTGGAACGTCCATTGATTCGAATTGTGCATCGTAGGAAACGCCTTGGAAGAAGGGAATGCTGAAGCGTGCGCCGGTGCCGGAGGCTGGACTGAGGACTCGGTGTGTCGTGCTCGCGCAAGTGCCTTCTGTCAGAGCTTCGAGGCCTTGGCCTACGGCGACGACGAGAGTGCCTCTTTTGGGGGGACCTGAGGAATTTGTCAGCTAGATCAGTTGCTAGAAGAGCGTGGCTTGCGTACAGTCAATCCACTCTCCGCGAGTATTCTGGGCTTGGAGTCCTTTGTGTTCAGAAGCTTGCAAGAGGTAACTCGTGAGCATGGAGTCCTTGTGAGGACCAACGCCTTGTCCCACGCCTGTCCCATTGTCCGGATATTTGACGATTTTCAGCTTATGCTGTTGCCCAACATCGAAGAAACGATCAAAAGCGTTCGCAGGCATATCCAAGGCCTCTGCAATGAGGCTTGTGAAGAACATGCTGATTTCGCCCATACGCTGCATGTAGTCTTCGAAGATGGCACGAAAACTAGGCAAATGCTTTTCATTGGGCCACTGATTGGGGGCAAGCAGATTATAGTATAGTGGATCTTTGTCTGTGGGAAGATCATGGGGTGTACTCAGATCATACTGCTCTCGCCAATCTGCCTTGTGTGCTGTGATTTCATTCCCAAGCTGCATTGTGTCTTAGCAACGATTATATATACCTGCCAGATCTTTGTCACCTACCCGGGAGTATCCCAAAAAGCTCGGCTTGTTTTTCATCTCAATGGCGAGCTTCTCTTCCTCCGGTAAATCGAAGAACTTGATGCCTGCTTCGCACACTCGATCGAAGGTCTCTTGATCGATTCCCACATTTTTGATGTATAGGAAACCAACATTGAGCAATGCGTCTCTCAGCTTTCTCAGGAAGCCTGGCTTCGTATCCGCATTCCTGGCTTCTGACAGATCCAATACCGGTATCTCGTTGAACGCCATTCTGCCCTCGCTCTTGCATTCGCTGGGCACTTTGTTCACGGTCGGAAGGTACCCGGGACAGCTTGCTATCTGTTGATGATCGAGAAAGATACAAAGGCCGCCAATGCAGTCGCTTTTACAATACTGACAAGGCAAAGTGCTCCAATGATGAAGAAGTCCATCTTTGCGCCGCTGCTCTCGGAATATCCGCTCGTCGGTCGGTCGAGCGAGGCACTTTACCTGGGGAAAGCTCACAGCTCATCGGCGGGGTAAATGTCGTCTTGAGCCACCACAGCTTCGCCTCACTCCCCGCCTCACTTCAGAGAAGCCGACCAGACTTACGGTCAGCAATCTCAAAATTGAACAACACAGCACACTCACCGTCAAATTGCCATCGACACGGCCCACGACTGCCAACTCACCATATCTCGCTAAGCTGCATACCTCTGCCGGCTCTGCAGCGCCCAGAACGTGCTGTTCGGCCATGCGACGATGCATTTCGAGTTTTAAGACATGCAAACCCCGTCAGCTCGCTCGCCTAAGTGCATGTGCTCACGGCACCTTGATATCCGACACGCACGCTGCTGTCGCAAACTTAGAGTGGTGGAGTAGTAGGCTTCAACTCGGAGCTGTCGACTTTGACGCTTCTGTTGCACCAAAACTTCGTCGACCCGTGTCCCAGGGTGCAGTATTAACCTTCGAAACAGCCTCTGGATAGCACCAGGTTCCCCGAACCCTTTGATCCCAGCACCCGGAAGGGGGCGCTCAACCTGGTTCTTGGGAGCGGCTGTCTCACTCCGCCGGTGGGGGTTCGCCACGTTGTAAGTGTTCGGTACAGTACGTCCCAAAGGAGTAGTACGTATTGAATGGACCCGGGGTAGCGAAGGCGTGGCTCAGCATTTTTGATGTCTCAGATTCCAGACGCAGATCAAGACAAGAACGAAATACGAGGCTCATTCCAGCAGATCCTGTACCAGAAGACAGCAATTGCAGGTTCTTGCAGATCAAAGAAATTTCCGAATTGCGATTTTACGAGATGCTCGATTGGGACAATGGACAGCTGCGAGAATGTATGGTTCCGCCGAGACACACATGCGTGAAAGGTGAAGTGGTAGCGAAGGCGTGGTAGCAAGCGGAATGGGAAGGCTTCGCGCTGGTTCCACCGCTTCGGACTTGACTCAATTGACATTGACCGAACCAAACTCTGGGTAACCACAACCACACCTTGCACAGCTTCGCAGCTCGCAGCTCCCCATCACTTCGTCATGATATCCTGTTGAGGTATACGATAGAGTTGCCACTTTGCAGCGCACACCGCAGCGGATCACCTGATGTGAGCTCTCTGCGGGCAGTACACTGACGACACCGGCGTAGTCGAAGGCCGCATTGGTCTTTGCCGCTTGCCTCTTTGGTCAATGGCTCAATGCACGAAGCCGAAGCATCGGCATGCCGAAGAGCGACGAAGCTTCAACGCATCCGGTAATGGCAGCACTACAGAAAAGCAATGCGCCGGAAAGCAGGATGAGAACTCTGAAAGACTGCCTCACAGAGCCATAGACGTGATGTCTAGACATGGTATACGGAACAATGTACAACAATGACTCGCCTAGTCAGGCACAGTAGATCTATGCATTGGCAGTGCCTCGTCCGTGGCTTCCATAATATATCATGCAGCACGAACTCCATCATGCTACGGACGTCTTCACAAACGTGAGAAGGTAGATAGATTGTTCAATTTGGACGAGCAATATACGTCGCGTGGCCGTACAGGTCGTCCAAGCTCATTGTACGTCGCCGCCTGCGCGTCATCAACTCATCTATTTGACTTCTTGTGAGTGCGGAGCGCAGAGCCATGGCCACTTTGCAGGGCAACAACCACGCAGGCTGATGTTGTAGTCCAGCCACAGACCTTTGTTCTGCTCCGCAGAATCGGTCTGCGATGTACGGTGCTCGTGGGACGCTCGAAAGTGATGTGTTTATTGAGAGCAACGAAGGGAATAGATGTCGAGTGTAGCAGGCCCAGCTGAAAATTCAAAGTCCACGGCCCCGACTGGCTATCCGGTTTATCCAGCAGCAAATGTCAATACCGGGTGTGGCTCACAGCCAAATTGTGCCTTTATCGCATCAGAAGCCTCTCACAACTCATCAAGAGGACCGTCCAACGGACGAACGTGATGTCAATGAACTCGCTGATGCTGTCAGCTGCCAGATGATATCAACCACGACGATGTGCGTGGCGTCAAGCGTCTACGGTTGCATCGCCGAAGCGGCAGAATGACTCGTCTAGCCAGGCACAATGCAGCTGAATCAACGTCATCTCACAAAATTTGGAGAGTGAGCGCAAGCAGCGAAGTGTGCTCGCAATGGGTTGCCTATGAAGGGAGTCTCAACTGCTTGCATTCATAGCATTCACAGCCAGTTCTGTGGCACCGCGTCCTCGAGCGTCCACGTCCTACGATTGCTCCCCTTCTGCCATTTTCGACACGATCCGAGTACGAGCTTGTTCGCGCGGCTGGAGAGTCGAGGTCATTCAAGTCTAGATAGCTGACGTCTGAGTCTGCATCGCTGGCAGAGCGTCCGGTCGACATGAAAGACTGGAATGTCGGCGAGAAGTCGTCATCAAGAGAAGCGATGAGGGTGTTGGCGGCGGTATGCTTGGGGTCCACGAGCCCTGATGGTGAAGCAGCCTCGGTTTGTGAACAAAATCCATGAGACATGTCAGGCATATCCAGGACAGGGCCAGTCGAGCGGCGAGCCCATTTGATGTCCGCATCTCTCATGTGTTGCATTAGCGACGGGTTTATGCTTGATATGCCAGCATGCGACGCGGAGGCTTTCAGGTCTGCGATCCAGGACTCTGCAAACCTACTCGACTTAGGACTATGAGACGACTCGCTGATTGTTGGCGAAGGACAAGGTGTCCGATCATGTCCCTGGCTGGGCCATTCGAATCTTGCAAAGTCTTCAAAAATTCGATCCGCAATGCGCTCGTCTTCTTCGTAAGACTCGCTCCAGTTCGATGGGGATGCGGTTGGACTGTTCATTTGGCTAGGAGCGGTACCCACACTGGCTCGATTCTCGAAGCGCATGCGCTCTCCAAATCGTCGTATCGTCGACCTTCTTGGACCGCTAGCAGCTGACATAGCGGTTTCGAGCATACGCAGACTGCAAGCGTCACAAATGGCTCGCCCTTCGGGGTTCAATGTTTGTTGGATGAGTGCAGAGTTTGTCATTTGCTTGTCAGTACCCACTCGAATAGTCGATAGCAACGTGTCACTCATTGTTTGTTCCTGTGCTAGAGACATCAGCAGTATTTATAAGGACTGCCACAAAAATGAGGAAGTAGCGATGAGCAGCCGTGAATAAGACTATGCAAAGAAAATGTCGTGAAAGATGAGAAGAGTGTAACAATCGTTGATGTACCTACGAGCATTCTGCTGTGGTGAATGGAAGGAGGGAGATAACTGCCAAACAATGTCATCGCCGCTTCCACACACTCCACCAGCATGTTACTTCGATGAGGTCGTCGTCGACTGCGGAGGACCAGTCATCAAAGCCGGTCTCTTGACCCTCTTCGTGGAGCACAAGACCGACGTCACTCATGGCCTGCCTGAACGCTTCTCGTTCGGCGACGTAAGCGTCGCGGAGTGGCATCTCGACTACTGCACGTGCATCACTGTTCTCGATCAGGTGATAGGATATCGCCTGGGCAAGCAGACGCGGGTGCTCGGGACCATATATCGGGTCGGCTGCAAATATCAGGGGAAAGGTGTGCGCCTGACCTTCGTGCATGCCTTCGAGGAAGAATGCCCCGGGCTGCATCCAGTCTAACACGGCACAATCGACTCTGCCTCCATGCAACGCAATTGCTTCTGCGGACAGCCGCGCATTGTGCTGAAGGTTAGGAACGATCTCTGGCAAATCGGTCATGATGACATGTTTCTTGAGGATTGCAGCAGCTGCCATTCCCACTAGCCCAGTACCTGCACCGAGCTCAAGAATCGATACATGTTGTGGCAGGCGGGGAAGTGTATGCTGCAGGACAGTAACTCTCTTGGCGAGGAGGTACGATGATGCCCAAGTCTTCAAGCCCAGGTCATCGCCAGTCAATGCGGGCTCACGGAGAGTGAGGTTGAGGTACCCGTCAATGGTGTCCGTACTTGCATGTATGTCATTCTCATTTGTCATGGTGGTCCCAGTGCTGTGGTCGTGGGACAGCGGCAGGTCTGGCTGTAGCGGGATGACGAAGGTCCTGCTAATCGAGCCCATAGCAGTCCTCCCACTCCGTTCGCTAAGGCGCTGCGCTGCCGCCTCCCAGATGCATTCCTTCTGCTCATCGTCCTCGATCCAAGCGAGGGGACTAGCTATGATCTTGGTCAAGTAGCTGGGTATGCCTTGACTACGTATCTTTCTCTTTCTGCGAAATGGCGTGGATGTGCCCGATAACGGCGACGTCGGAGTTCCATGGCGGGGTGTGGCATCCCACGAGGCTGGCTGCGAGCTCAGGTCGGCGAGGGTCAAGAGCAGAGTCTCTGCTTTCGGGCGCTGGTGCAGCTGCGGCAGATCGAGCACTGCACGGTCGATCAGCTGACCTGTCACTCGAATACGCATGCATGGGGCCTGCCTACCGTCCAGTGCCTCCTCATTCTCCTGCTCGCGCCCATCGGCGAGACCGAGATCTTTCGTGGTCAGCTGTTTTGCGGACGCATGCATGGTTCGAGCCTCGATGTGCGCTGGTTCGAAATCCAAACGTCTTTCGGATGCAGAGCCGCGGCGCGCACAGACCAACAACCACATGCAGGCCGAAAAATGGCGCCGATCTCCTGGAATGCTTAGTGCGCATCAATTGGGCATCTTTGCATCCTGCAGGCGTCGATTATGCATGCTGCAATCATTATCGCCAACGGCTCGCGCAGTCTGCGAACTACAATCAGGTGTATGCGGTGCTGTTATGCTTCTTCACACCCCGTTCCTGCAGCTAGCCAGCGTTTCGGACTGAATTGCTTTGCTATTCCTGGGCTTGGACGTGAGGCATATGACCCAGACAGCGCTGCCTTCATGCAATAGCAGTGCCTTGTATGCAGCAGCCCATTAGCAAAACAATACCCGGGTATTTGCATTGCGATCGATGTGGTTGTCTGGTTGTTTACGCGTACCTGCAGATTCGACGACTCAGTTGCCTTTCTATACCCCGGGCCGAGATTGACATGTCATGTCCAATTCGGCAGTGCGGTGCCGGTACATCGCCATGTCATCGGGTCGAGGCGCACAAGGCCGCCACGAACGTGCTCTATGATGACTCAGCTCGCACTGTGTGTTCGCAGGAACCTCTGCTACGGTGTCAGAAGAGCGCACGCCATTGCACTGACCGAGAGGCTTTGTGCAGCTTCGTTCATTGCGAAATCAATGTGACAAGCCGAGATCTCGAGTGATTGCCAGGACATCACATGTGACGAATTAGAAGCCTCGAACAAAAGTGCTGGCTTAGCACACCTCGATGTCAACTCAGACCCCTCCTTGGTGGAATTATCCAGATCGAGCGGATGATGGGTTCGCATGCAGCGGGAATTTACATCGGCCGAATCCAGAGGCGCACTCGATAACGCTCGCAAAGCTATCAAGATCGACGTTCTATCCCAGATGTGATGTCTGTGAGTTGCTGGTAGTACTGCATCCAAGATGAACCCACAGCCGACGCTGGCACCCTACCCAAGAGTAGCCTTGAAGCCCTCGTAGGCGGCGTTCAAATCGAATTGGAGGTCTCGGGCCTGTTCCGGGCTCAACTCTTCCGCAGCTCGCATTTGGTTCAAGGTAATCAACCATTGCACGATCTTGCCCTTGTTATCAAAATCCCGGTCGGTGACTTTATTGACCGCCTGAATAGTATCCACCAAAATAGGATGGAGCGTGTCCTTGGACAGAATGTTCATCCGGATGGCGTCAAAGAGTGTGATGAAGTTCTCCGATGCAGAGACGATGGCTGTGGCATTTGCGGCAGCTCCCGGACCGTTATTGCCTGGGGCGTGAGAATTGGACGCTCGGTGGTGCTGTGACGAAGTGCGCGTAGGCACACTCTCAATCGTCGCTGGAAGGCCGATACGCAGTCGTTCCGTGGCTTTGGGCACTTCGAGCTGCAATGCCGTCAGCACACACGGCAATGTCCGAGCGCACAATGGGCGCACGCACTCCCCACTCAGCCTTGAAGCTTTCCAGATCTCCAAAGGCAGCTTGCACGCTCTCGGCGGCGAGGTTGCTCTTGTACTGGCGCAGCAGGCGGTCGCATGTCTCGGTGTACTCGGCTTCGTTGATGCTGTCTCGTAGGTACGCTTTCTCTAGCGCATCGAGGGTGATGATGATGCTGTACACCTCTGCAAGTGATTCGTACAGGTCTCGTTCGGCGGCTGTGTCGGCGAGCTGCACTTCCTCGTCCAAGTTGATGTTGGCCGTCAGGTTATTCGATGGCGTGTAGCTGTACGGCGTGGGCGCGTAGGCCAGCTGCTGTGGAGCGTACATGTTGCTGCGGACGTCGGAGTTGTTGTTGATGCCATGTGTGCCCGCCTGTCGTCTGCTGTGCCGTCGTTGCTGAGCTCGTGGGTGCAAGCTTGCGCGGACCCCTTCCGCTTCTGTCCCCGGACCCGCTGAAATTTTGGACTCGAACTACGACCATGAGCTCCAACACCACTTCCGCCTTCCGTCAACACGCATATCTGCATCCGTCGCCACGATGCCGGTCAGCAAGGCGACCAAGAAATTTCAGAAGAAGCATCTGTCAGACACACTGGAAAAGCGCAAGGGACTGAAAAAGACCAAGCAGCAGCAGCAACTGAAGGAGCGCAAGAAAAAGCGGAGGGCAGAAGAGGAAGGCAAGGATGGGGAAACCGATGGGCAGCCGACAACGAATGGGAACAATCAGAAGGCCGTCGCGGATGCCTTCAAGGATATGAGCGTCGATGACTTCTTCCAAGGCGGGTTCGAAGTCCCGGAATTGCCCAAAAAGAAAGCCAGCAAGAGAAAACGAGACAGCGACGACGAGACATCAGATTCGGGCTCTGCTGCGGAGCAGGCGCCGGTGCGAGGAGATAGCGATGGCGACTCAGACTCTGAGAGCGACGTTGGCGACTTCAAAGAGCAGCTTGATCGATTGGCCAAGGAGGATCCAGAGTTCCACAAAGTGCTACAAAAGGATGAGCCTGAGGTGTTTGATGATTTGGACAATCTGGAATTGAGCGAGACCGACGATGACGAGCCTAAGCGGAAGAAACAGAAGAAGCGAGACGACTCAGAAGACGAGGCGGACAACAACGAGCTGGATCTCAAGACTGTCAAGAAGTGGAGAGCTGCACTGCAAGAACAACATTCTCTGCGTGCCGCAAAAGAGGTCGTAATCGCTTTCAGGTCCGCGGCCCAAATCTCTTCGTCAGACGCAGAGGAGAAGGAGTTCAAGTACTCGGTATCGAATCCACAGGTCTACCACGAGCTGCTCACTACTGCACTGAAGGAGATCCCCAAAGTCTTCGAGCACCACTTGCCGGTACAGGAGGCGAAGAATGGGAAAGTCCACGTCCAGACGGAATCCAAGAAGTTCAAGACACTCGGCCCCATGTTGCGCTCTCAGATATCTGGTATCCTGCACCTTCTGGACCATCTATCAGACCCAGCGACCCTCCGGCTTACCCTCGCATCGCTGTTGCCGCTCCTGCCTTACTTGCTTTCCTTCAAGAAGCTGGTGCGGGATGTCTCGCGTGCAGTGACTGTCGTCTGGTCTTCGCATAGCAACACCGAAGCGACGCGTATCGCAGCGTTCCTTGTCATGCGTCGACTGACCGTTATTGGCGATGCCGGCATTCGCGAAAACGTGCTCAAAGCCACTTATCAGGCACTAGTAAAAGGCGCGCGCAACACAACAGTGCACACTATGCCTGGCGTGAACTTGATGAAGAACTCTGCTGCTGAGCTTTGGGGTCTTGCCGGTGGCGAGGGTGGTGTAGCATACACTACCGCATTCACATTCATCCGAAGCTTGGCTCTGCACCTGCGAGGTAGCATCACGAACAACTCCAACGAGAGCTACAAAGCGATATACAATTGGCAATACGTACACAGCCTGGACTTCTGGAGCAGAGTTCTGGCAATGCACTGCACAGAAAAGTCCTCACCGCTGCAAGCACTGATATATCCTTTCGTGCAAGTCACGCTCGGGGCACTACGACTGATCCCAACAGCGACCTACTTTCCACTGCGCTTTCAACTCGTACGTTCTATGTTACGAGTCAGCCTTGCCACTGGAACCTACATTCCGCTCGCAGCCCCCCTGTACGAAGTCCTAAACAGCGCTGAGATGAGGAAGGCTCCGAAGCCAGCCACACTCAAGCCTTTGGACTTCAATACCACGATCCGGGCGCCAAAGTCATACTTGCGGACTCGCACGTATCAGGATGGTGTTGCTGAGCAAGTGCAGGAACTGCTTTCTGAATTCTTCGTTATGTGGGCCAAGAACATTGCGTTCCCAGAACTTGCTCTTCCAGTCACAGTCATGCTACGTCGTTGGCTCAAAGAAGCGAATCAGCGAGGAAAGGGCAAGGGTGGCAACAAGAATACCAAAATCAACAGCGCCATACAGCTGCTCGTCCAGAAATTGGAGGCCAATGCGAAGTGGATTGAGGAGAGGCGAGCAAAGGTCGAGTTTGCGCCAAACCACCGTCAAGGCGTTGATGCGTTCCTGAAGGACGTCAGTTGGGAGAAGACTCCGCTGGGCGCGTATGTCGTAGGACAGCGGAAGACCAGGGAGGAGAAGGCAAGAGTTATCGAGGAAGGCAGGAAAGAGGAAGAGAGGAGGCGCGCTAGCGAGAAGGCTGCCAAAGGGGGTGCAGAAGATCGTGAAGAGAGTGACGATGAGGCCAGTGAAAGTGAGGCCGACAGTCAAGATGATGACGATGAGGAGATGCTAGATGTCGAAGAGGACGATGACAGCGAGTAGCCATCAGTCGACTCAATAGTCCGCAGGAAGAAGTAATGCTGCGCGAACACGCGCTTCAGAAAAGTACAGATTGCTATTCTCCGGTCCAATTGGGCTGAGATCAATCCGTCAAGGTACCCCTCATGAGCGCTGAAGTCGGACTTATCCTTCGAGTGCCCAGAATCTCAGCACGGTCACATTGACAAACTCTTGGACATTGCGCAACCACGAGGTGTGGACTTCCACAGCCTCGAGCCACACACACACACACAGCTGCCCAGCGCAACCATCGCCTTTGGCAGTCGCCACCGTAATTGCACCCATTCTTGGTCCTGCCCTTGCAGTCATCTCTTTGCTCCAATTGCACTCAAGCATTCAGACCCGAACACCCTCACTTCTTTACCCATGCCACGCCCCACTCATCGAATTTCTTCGTGAGTACATCCAGAAACATCGTCGGTACGTTCCTGGTCCTCACTTCGGGTATCTCCGCATCACGCAACGAAATCATCATGTCGAAATGGCCATCGTCCTCAACTTCCAAACGTACGATCTCGATATCCCCAGGTTTTATGTTTTGGTCTCCTTCATCGCGAAGCAAAATTTCATGTCGAAGTGGCGAGGGTGCTCGAGCTATGGGAGATGCAGGACGAGACCCAGGTCTTGAGCACAGCGAGCCGGAGTCCATGGGATGTGTTCGTGGCGAAGGAAGTCGCACATCTCGATCTGTGAGGAAGAGACCGGATGTTGTACGATTGAGGTCTGGGGTGTTGAGGTAGGGATGTGAGGAAGGTCGGTCTGGCGAATGTATAGATGTCTTCTTGGGCTGATCTTGCTCGAAACGCGTGGGACTTGCTGTAGTTTTCTTGCTTTGCGATGGCAACTGTGTATTGGACGAGCGTTTGCGAGCTGCGAGCGAGATATGCTTGGCGGGTGTGGGTAAGGTCTTTGCGACTCTTTTCGAGCTCCTCGTGGTCGGCATTTTGGTGATGTTGGGCAACACTGCGTGGTTGGATCTTGCGGATCAAGATTCCTGCTGATGTCCAAGAAGGAGGTGTTTGTCAAGAACTACATTCCACAAACCCCACGCCCAGGACCAGTAGATTTGAGTCTCAAACACTGTCGTAGACAGCTTACATCACCAGAAACCAATAAATTAGTAGGCAGCCAAACATTAGCAGAGCCACGAAAGCCACCACGAACATCACGACGCGACTGCGTTCACGTTTCGGTAATTTATCGAACTGGGTCTCTGTTCGCGCGGCTGGAGGTAAGAAGTCTTGGGTGGAATTTGACGTCTGCATCGTACCATAAGCTGGTCGTGGGGTATGCACCTTGTGTAGAGGATATGCGCCACGAAATGAGACATCGTGAGTTGTGCCGGAGGACTCTGGCTTTCTAAGTGTGAGTGTGACCTGCAAGCCAAGGAGTCAGCTGCAGGATGCATAGGATTCCCGCTAGTAGAGCTGACTCCAACAACAAATAGTCACTCCATATCCGTCTCTGATGCGGGACTGTAGCTGAGGGAAAGCCAGCGCGCAGTACCATGTCCTTCGTTTTAGAGAAAACGTCCACTAGGTTGTCGATCAGTTCTCCAGACTGTACTTCCGCCGAGCTTGCTCCATCGCGCGCTTATGCTTCAGATTCAGTTCTTCTTCCACCAATTTGAAGCCTTCTCGCTTGTCGCCCCGTATCTCTGCGATCTTCTTGAGGAGTTGAATGTCGTCCAGGCGATATTTGTCGCCAAGGTCTTCGCGTTGGCGCTCGAGTTGCTCGACGGTGACGGTGGCGACCCCTTTCTCCTCAGTACGCTGTCTGCGCTCACCGCGCGCCGCCACACGTTCACTTCGCTCCTGTTTGGGGTCAAAATCGTCATCTCCGCCGTTGTCTTCGTCGCCAGACGAGTCGGCAAAGTCATCCGCCTTCACTTTCTTGGCATAAGGTTTTGGGAAGCGTGTCTCCGCGAGTTTGCGCTTGGTGGAAGCCTCAGGCGGTTGGAGATTTGGTGCCTCCGAAGCCAGCATATCGAGCGGAGATGCAGCTACTGCCATCTTCGCGGTTGCCGCTTCGTAGCTCGGTAGGGCCGTTTTCTCGTCATTTGGAGGCAGGGGCGAGCGGACTTGTGGCTCCGGTGGTGCAGGAACGTCCGTCGCAAGTTCCGGAAATTCATCACGCAGTGCCATAATGATCATGTGCTTCTTCGCGACATCGGTTGACGGCTTGGAGGCGGTCTCAATCCTCTCTCTGACCGACGTCTGCTGCTCGACAAGGGCCAACCAACGTGCATCCGTGGCGTCCACAACCTTGACTGGTTTGTACCACTTTTTCAATGAGCCCCAATCTTGACGGAGAGCAGCTGCGACATTGTCGCGGATACGGCAGCGAATGCCGGATCTTTGGCCGTCGAGTCCGGAACCGCCCATAATGATCGAGTTCCCTGGAATATGGCGCGGGATGAAGCCACCACCGTTGGCGATACCCAAGTAATGGCGCAGGTGATCGAGGCGAAGCACAACGATTTGGCTTGTTGTTAAAATGTTTGTGGTGTTGCTTTGCATAGCGTCAGAATGTGAATTCGAATGAATTCATGCCAGTTGGTGGGGCATAGAAGTGAATGCATTTGGAGCCAGCATGTGAGCAGCGCCGCACCTGCACCTCTAATAATTCAGAAGTGAGCACTTCCAAGGGTAGTTTGGAATCCCATGGCCCGCGAGTGGCAGTCGCAGAGCCGTCAATTGTAATCCCACCAGCGCAAATCACAGAACGACAACTGCTTTATCTGAAAAGGTATAGAGATCGGTGTCCACATGCCTGACCCGGACGTAGTTACGCCGCAGATAATCGTCTGAGATTGATTGGTCAAGATGCTTGGGCGGTGCACTCGCAGCTTGTATCCAGGCCGGGAGACACAACGGAGAATTGATGAGAACTTTGCAGATTTGTGGTGGAAAGGATCATGTTGATTCATCCTGACGAGACAGGTGGAATTATGGCTACTTCATCACCAGCCTGAATGGCAAGTCCCTTGTCTCCCTTCGCGCTCTCCTCATCAAGGTCCACATAGTCCAAGTTGACTGTTACAGCACTGCTCGACAGCACCTTCTCTTTGATGCCCGGATACTTCTCATCAAGCTTATCATAGAGCTGGCTGACCAGTAGCGGGGCAGGGAAGAAGTCGTGACCCTTCTCGGTGAACGAGGTCGATGCGGCGAAGTAGAGGAGCGTGAAGTGCCCAGCAGGAGCCTTGGGACTACTCATGATCACTGTTCGAGCGCGTTAGCAGCTGGCCCAGAGGATGATCGTGCTTCTTGTGCAATGTTGGTGTGCGTTGTCAGAAATACTCAAATGATAAAATTTTGATCGCCATGAGCACTGTGTGCTGTACGGTAATACATGCTATTTTTTGGTCATCATGAAAGGGGTTGGGATTAGGATGATTGAGGGTGCCTACCTTGAAATGGGTGATTGTCGCAGAGCAGAAGACGGAGCTGGCAAAGTCGAGTTTTGAGTGGAGGTGTGGGAAGGTCCGAAGGGGGAAGGTCTGGCGAGAGCCGAGAGTCCCTCAGGCTGCTCTCTGTACAACCGTACAGAGTCTTGACGCGTCAATGCAATGGTGTACTTGTTCCTTCACATCGATGCACGATATCACAACCTGGGATCCGTTGACCACGCTTGACAGATTTCTGGCAACTTCGCAGCTGCAGGAACGCGGCTCCTCTTCCCTCAGGCTGTTCCGCTGCATGACGCACAGCCGACGTGGTGCTGTCAATGTCGCATCCACCACCGGCCCAGCGTTACAGTGCAATATGTGACAATGCACGAGATATTGTACGACTTGCGCCTGTAAGAGCAGCATGGCACTCGAATCTGCTACATTGGATGGGATGCCTTAAACATCGTGCCAATCTCGCTCAGCGCTTGGGGCCCGTTTGGGCAAGCTACACGGACAAAATTGGCATGTATCTTGGTCGCCTTAAAGTCTCTCTCCAAGCACCTGTCGTATACAGCGCATGCTATGCTCGTGACCATACATCGGCTGCCGATCCCATACCATCCTCGTAAGCACTTGATGTGGTATGTGATTTCGTGGCTTCCGCCGCTCCTTCTGCTGATCAGACCCGCTTTCGGCTGCCTTCCCTCCAACTAGGTATCTTCCGATGCACAGATTCCTATAAGTATTCTCTTTTCTTCACACACCTGCTGCTACTGGATTCTTGTACTACCACTTGACCAAGATTCACCACTTGCAGTATGGGAATCCTCGCTACTCTGGCTCTGACTGCATTCGCAGCGTCATATGTCACAGCCTCGTCCAGCTCATCTGCCGCTTGCAAGAAGACTCACCACGAAGGCTTCAACAATGACACAGCCAGTCACACTATTCGCTCGGGCAAATTCGACAGAACTTACGCTGTCAAAGTTCCAGATGGGTACAACAAGAATCTCGGAAAGCAGTGGCCATTAATCTTGGACTTTCACGGCAACAGCGGCACTCCATGGCAGCAGTACCAGAACTCACGCTATTTCGACTACGCAAAAGGACAGCAGTATCTCGTCGTCTATCCCGCTGGCTATGAGGGATCTTGGCAAGGCCCCAGCTATGCAAACCAAGATGTCAATGACCTTCAGTTCGTGACAGATCTGACCACTCATCTGAAGACGGAATACTGTATCGACGACAGTCGCATGTATGCTTCGGGCAAGTCGAATGGCGGCGGCTTCGTTGACTTGCTCGCTTGCTCAGACAACGGAGACGAATTCTCGGCATTCGCCATGGCCGCGGCGGCTCTTTACACAGACACCAAGCTGAGCGACTGCAGTAAGAAGAGAGCCATTCTGGAATCCCACGGCGACAAAGACCAGACCATCCCGTATCACCCTACAAAAGATGGCAGCGGAGGCCCTCTACCCGACGTTGGTAAATGGGTAAGCTGGTGGGGCCAGCGAACCTGTGGCTCCAACGCAAAGGCGAAATATTCCAAGGATCTCGGTGGCTACAATACCACGACCTATTCTTGTGGCGGACGCAACGAAGTCGTGAAGCACTACCAGATCTTCGAGTTGGGCCACTGCTGGCCTAACGCTTTCAGCAACAATTGGGATGCGTCGGACAATTACAATCAAACCAAACGTCGCTGTCTGGATAAGAGTCTTGATTTCACTCCGGTCGTCCTCGACTTCTTCAGCAAGTGGAGTTCGAGCAATGCGCCTTGACCTCGCGGAAGGGTGGACTTCAAGCAATACGTGCCGAGGGACTGAGAGGAAATTGCAAAGGCGAATCAATTAAAAGTAGGAATGAATGTTGTATGTTTTGAAGCTCGATGAGCCCGAGCAGACAACGCGCACTTCGAAGAGGCAGCGACAATCTGGATATCCACGTTCGCACCCGTTTCTTGCTTCCAGTACACCCCATTTCCCAACCATTGACGCGGAAATCTCAATCGATCGCGGCTCGCTCGACATTGCCATGCACAAAATTGCTGCATCTTGCCTTGTTCACTCCACCCTTTGCCTGCCCATCACCTCCATCTCCTCTCATCTCTGCCGTGCCACCAACTCCCTCCTCTGAAACGGTCGTAGTACAAAGATGCCACCCGATCATACCGACGACCAACTCCATATCGGTCAACCAGATAGAGCCTCTCCGTCTGTCTTTCGCGTGCACGACGACAATCGTGGCAGTCGTAAGCCTTGAAGACTGTCCTATCATGTCGACATTCTTCCGTCCCGAATGGTAAGACTCTTTCGTTGATGCGAGCGTGATGGTGGTTGCTAGGGTCGTTTATCCGCATCATTTGATTGTAGAAGCAGTTGCATTGCCGACCTTGGACTTGATAGATGTGGCCGCAAGTGTATTCGTATGTTGTGAGGGGCATGCTTGTTGAGGGATCTGCCGTTCGGCTTGTTCTTTTGCGTCGTGGACTGTGCTGCGCTTGGCAAAGACGAAGGTGGTCAATCTGTATGCCATGTTGCACAAAATGGACTGCTCATATAGCGAGCGTGTAAGACATTGTTGTTTTCGTGAGCAAATAGAGTTATTATGAAGCTCAAAGAGACTGAAAGAGAGGTAGGCAAATATTGAGACAGCTCACGCAGCCTACATTGCCTTTCAAGACAACAACAGCCAGTCTCTTCACGAAACGTGCCATGCAACACGTGGTGCGTTGCACGATACATCGATTGCTCGGACATGCGAGGGCGGAGGATGTTATCTTTGAGGAAGTGAGGACAATGTGGGCTGTGCATGTATCGCCTGTGCGTGTTTCGCACTGCCCTCGTGGTGTCCTTCACGATAGTCGTATGGCTGTCGCAGTGCGACCGAGGCATGTTAGTACAGCCAACGCACATTATCATATTCAGGAAGTCCCTTCGGGTCGGAGTGGGCTGCGGATGACCACAATGGCGAACGGCTGCATAACAGCGAGACGGTTGGCCATCATTGCCGTCCGCGGCGTGCTTTTGCTGCCGTCCGTGGAAACGTGTTATTTGGGTTGCACCCACGGTAAAAGGCACATTGCCGTGCAAGAATGTCATCTAGTCGGCTTCGCATTAATCTTATGCGATTCGAAAGCCGTGACGTTTAGGAAAGCCAAGCGATAGGAATCCATCTCCTGATACAGAATTGGGATTGCATACAGAACTATGGTCCGCCAGATGAGTGGTGAAGATCGTCCGCTGTACTTGTCCGGTCACGACCGAGGACGTGCCGGGATGTTAGGCCTCTGGGCACTGATTATGTCTGTTGCAATGCTCGTCGATTGACCAAGCCCCACCGTGCCGTGTCTACGCTGCTCGTGCGAGTAGAACCGCCGCGATGTGAACTCCATATCTGGCGAATCATGACCGGTCATAGGCTCGGCTTCGTGCAGCACAGCGCAGGTTTGAAGCGGGCACGACATAGGATCGTCATCCTGAGGAGAACAGATCTGTCGCTTTTGCAGCATGAAAACGTCCCGGACGATGGAATGTAGTATGCGAAATCGAATTGGAAACCGTGCAGCGTGCGAATGGCAACTATGATTACCGGTAGACTACATCGCATGCGAATTGAATTCCTTTTGCTTTGCGACGATACCCATCGTTCTTTGCATGGCGAGCAGTGGCGATGTAGGCTAGCACAAAGGTCCGCAAGCCTGGACATGACAGCGGATAGCGACCGAGAGTGAACCAGGCACCCGAAGACGCACTGCCGACAACCAAAGCGTCCCGTGCGGCAGCGGCTCGGGCTTGACAGCCGAATCAAGAAATAGATGGCGACAGCTCATTGCTATTATAGAAAGCGGCTTGAAGGCGCCATAGTCTTCGAGTGCTCGAACGCGAAGTTTGACATGCCACTTCATCAAGCCGTATTCCATGGCGACGGCTTCCGTGCTGCAGGAGCAATTGTAGTCGAGGACGATTGATGACCGCCTCCTATTGGTAGTTTATTGACGCTGAGCTCGCCAAAGAAACCAGTCAGTGTCTTTGTAAAGCAAACAACCACAAGCAAACTCAAGAACAGATGGTGTGACAGAGCATCTGTCGATTTGTGGCCAGTATTTGACAGCTTCATATCTCAATGGCCTTGCAAGCCCATTTCCCCTTCGAACCCGGTTGCTGAGGTTGAGATATACTCAGGAACCACGTTTATCGTTCTGACAGCGGATGCGTGTCGTTCTCGGCGTGTATTTGGGCCAATAGACTTCTTCAAAGCCTAAGCCGACGTTGAACACGCTCTCGAAGAGGTCAAGCGTGCTGCGGCTTTCCGTTGTTGTGATCTTGGGTCATGGCGGTCTGTGCTACGCCTTTACGCCGTGCGACTAAGATTGCAAGCACGACATGTGGTATGATGGTATCCATGTATCCATCCTCAACATATCTTGGCTCCCTTTTCGGGTGACAGAACCAGGAGGCACAGCTGAGAGTGTCTCGAGGCGATTGACACCTCACCCTTCGTCCATGGCTAGCCCCTCATCGTCCTCCTTGTAGGTGTCCTCGATAGTCGGCACAATGACATCCCACTCTTCGATTATATCTTCGGTGGACTCATCTGCAATGCCTCCGTTGCCAACGAACTTGAATGCGACGACATCGCCATTTTTCATGCCAACGCCCTGTGGGCAATCCTTGAGCGAGTCGGCTTTGGCGCTGCCTACCGGTGCCTTCCCCTTGCCCTTGCCAGTGTCGCTGGCCTCCTCGAGCTCGCCAACAACTGAAGAGTAGCCTTTGCTGAGATCGTTGCGATCGTTGGCGATCCCGAGTTTGATGTGCTTAGCATTCTGAGGTATTTCTTGTCCATTGAGCTTGCCGCCAGGTGACGTTTCGACGAGGGCATGAAGGAGCTCCGCTCGAACATCAGAGAGGCTCTGCAGTGGGTCGACTTCGAGCAGGATGGTGCTGGTGTGGTTCTTGAACCGAAGTGTCCACGTTCGTGCGCTTGGAGCGACCTTGGACATGGCGGCGATTGTCGAGGTGGATGTCGTGGATGTTGCTGTTTCTGGTCTCACAGACTCCCTTTTCACCACTACTACCGGCTTGGGTTCATGTCAGGCAGCAGCGAGTCACAGGCAAATGTTGAAAGTGCATGAGCGGCAATGGTGAACGAACGTCGGCGGCGGCAGCGCACGCGTCACTTTCGCGTCGCTGGATCCACTTGTCAGGCAGCCACTTAACTAAATTGTGCATCAAAATTTAGCTGCGCAGGCTGACGAGAAGACGAACAGCTTGCATGACCAATCATTCTTGACTCTATCAACAATACTTTCTACACCAATCCACCTACAACAGTGGCTTAGCACCTCTGCACAAGGCCATTACGACCAACATGTGCTCTGTCCATCCTTCACATGCCAGTGCTTCAGCAGCTGCCGAGCCTATGTCCCATAATCGACCAGGGCCGAGTGGAAAGACTTCGCTACATAACCGACATTATGCCCGGTCACTACAATCACATTAGCAGGTACTCAAAAGCTGCAAAAGGAGATCAGACGATTGTACGGACATCCGGTTATCGAGATCCTCCCTGAAGGAAGCAAGTAGACGTGGTGTTGCTCTCTAAGCTCCTCGATTTGCTCTGGCAGCAATCCTGTCATCGAGAACATACCCACCTGGAACCGGTCAGTATGGCGCGGAGACGCATTTTCGAGATGCCGCAACCCACATCAGTCAAGATATGCTCCCACGAGCCTGGGGTCTGGAGCCGCTGTAGCTCAGACACTAATCGGGTCCGCATGCGCAACATGCGCTGGCTCATGTGTAGCAGGTCATCTTGCCACTGCCTTGCCAAATTCTCTTCGCTCAGAATTCGCGCCACAATTTGGGCTCCATGGATTGGGCAGCTGGTGATCTCGGCACGGGAAAGACGTGTCAGCGTTCTGACTGTCTTCTCTCTGGCTGTTTCAGTCCGACAGGCAACGTGCAGGACGCCCACACGCTGCCCATAGAGGCCAAAGTTCTTCGAGAACGATTGAGCAACTAAGATCTCCACTGATGTGTTGCGATAGAAGTGTCGAATAGGCCAAGCGTCACCGTTCAGATCGCCAGAGGCGAAACCTTGACTACTGTCCTTTAGCATGGATGGCCAACAATTACTGCCTCCTCCTTAGCTGACTTACTAGGCAACGTCGAAGAACGGGATCAGGCGCTTCTTCTCACACAAGGCTGCAATTTCTCTCCACTGTGCTTTATCCAGATCTATGCCTGTTGGATTATGTGCGCAGCCGTGCAAGATGACCACATCCCCTTCCCGGGCTCCTGTGCCTAGAGTCGACAACATGCCATCGAAATCGATCGTGAAACGCTCTGGATCGAAGTACGGATACGATCGACGCTGGATGCCATCGTCAACAATCTTCCAGATCTCCGTGTGATTAATCCAAGATGGATCCGATATCCAAACGGTCTGTGAACGACAGGCTTGCGCCAACAGTAGAGCACCAAGATGATTCGCCCCTGTACCTGCTATGGTCTGGATCGAAGCAATGCTAGCAGACTGGTCCAGTGGTAAGCCGAAGATGAGGTCTCGAGCTTTACTTAGCAGCTGTTCATGTCCGAGCAGAGGCAGATGTTCATGATCTCGGGATGGATCTTCGAACAATGCTCGTTCAGCCTGGTCATTGTTGGTACAGATTTGTTTTGAGGAAGAATTAAACAGTACCTGTTGCACAGATGGTAGTGTCCAAGGCTTTGCTTGTTCATCCCGATAGAAGCCCGGGCTGAGGTCAACTTTGTGCGGCGACGAATCTGCTTTGTACTGCTCGATCAGAGCAAATGCTGCGTCGGCGGCCACATCAGGCAGGTTCTCGAGACAGAACATTTTACAAATGATCAGGAAAGTGTAAAAAAGTCAAAAGGGACAGGCACGCACGGGACAGAACGGTCTTCCTGCCTTTCACATTTATCAACGCAGCGAAACGCTGTGCAAGGTGTCAGAATGAAGCAATTGTGCAATTCACGTTGCTTCGGTCAACGCGGCGACAAAGTTAGCGATCTGTTCGGGCAACGCTACTGCAAAGACTGCGAATATTCGAACTCTCGGCTTCGGTCAGACACATTTGCTCGCATGACCTGCCAAGCACCGAGCTTTTGAACGCGTCTCTGGTGGGCGTGTTGTCCTCGGCGTCGGCTTCGGCGTCGGCGAACGCTTGATGTTCACGGCCTTTCCAAGACGGCCCCTACTGGTGCTCCAGCGAACAGCCATTTATGAGTGCGTTCTCCAATATCTGGCTTGAAACATCTGCACTCATTCAGTTGATTGACAGTGGCCTCTCCTCTACCGCGTTGCGCCTCAGATCACACCCTAAACACCATGGATCCTCTCGAACGCCTTTCCGCATTTGATACAAACACCGTGTCCGATGCGCTGGACTTCTTACAATTGAAAGGAGCAACGTACGGACTACTACCCCTGTGGGACTGCCCGAAGGTTGTTGGGCGCGCCAGTACAGTACAGCTGGGCCCAAAGACCGATCAAGCTCCTACAACACATCTCATCACCCCTGTCATTGATGCAACGAAAACCAACGACCGTGTCCTTGTAATCGCCGGAGGCATCGATGGCGTTTCCTGTTGGGGCGATATCATCGCGAATGCTGCCCAAAGAAAGGAGATTCGTGGTACTGTTGTTGATGGCATGAGTCGAGATATTGATGGAAGTCGAGACATCGGATTTCCGGTCTATGGCAGGGGAGTCACCATGATCAGCGCCCGAAACAGAATGGTGCAGTATGACGCTGGTACCTCGATCCAAATGCGAGGAGTCACAGTCAATCAGGATGATTTTGTGATCGCCGATAGATGTGGTACAGTATTTGTGCCCGCAGGTCGGATTAAAGAGGTCCTAGATCTGGCTGAGCGCATCGAGCGCCGTCAAGACTCTATGGTTCAAGCAGTGCGAGCAGGGCATTCTGTTTCCGAAGTTATGCATGACAGGCAATTCGAAGCTATTGGGACTGGTAACTCGGATGAGCCGGCCACTTCGTTATCACCACGGAACACGAAAAGCATGTCGAGCGAGGAGCGAGAGATCAGCGCTTTGTTTGCAGGCCTTGACTCCGCTGCTGTATCTGATGCGCTCGATAAGCTCGGCATTCCTGGCCAAGCTTATGGCATAATGCCTCTCAGCAACTACAAGAAGACTATCGTTGGACCGGCCTTCACAGTTCGCTATGTTCCTGCGAGCGACCCTCCCGGGAGCGTTGGCGACTTTATCGATGATGTTGCTGCAGGCGACATTGTAGTCATCGACAACGACGGGCGCACAGATTGTACAGTCTGGGGCGATATCATGACTCAATATGCTGGCTTGAGGGGCATCTCAGGTACTGTCATCGATGGAGTTTGTCGCGACGTTGACAAAGCGCTGACGGACGGGTTTCCACTGTTCACCGCTGGGTGTTGGATGCGAACTGGAAAAGATAGAGTTGAGGTGGCAGATGTTGGCCAGGCTGTCAGCGTTGGTAAAGTCCGAGTTGAGCACCGTGACATTGTGGTCGCTGATGCGAATGGTGTCGTGGTTGTGCCACGTCGGCGGGCACGAGAAGTGGCTCGGGTAGCTGCGGAGATTGAAGAGGCAGAAAGCAAGATTCGAGAACTTCTAGTCAGTGGTGTTGGAATCGCTGAAGCTCGCAAGAAGCTGAACTATCATATGTTGCAGCGCAAAGGCTAGGAGTTTATTTCGTAGTTCAATTCAGAGATCACCACTTCAACGATTCTAGGAGTTTTGGTGCATCGTCTCAGTTTTGGTTTTGGTTCAAATATACGCCATGCTTGTCGGATATCATCTCTCCAGGCTCGCTAAATGATGCCCGCTCGATTGATTGCTTGCACTGACAACGTGTAAGCACTTCGGTTGCGTGGCAGGGCAAGAACTAACACAAAAGTGTGGAAAGCATCGGTATCAAAACATCACAATACAATTATGCATGTAGCAAGAACTATATTATCTACAAGCTTCTTCTCCTTCGGTGATTGCCCTGAGTATGTACCGCCACATCAATGGTGGATTCGAATACATTGGAAAATGTCCGCAGTCCTCGATCCTAGCCAGTGTCACTCCCGACTCGCCGAGCTTTTTCAGATATGACAGCGCATCGTACTGCTCGCCAAACATGAAGATCTTTGGACAAGGCAAAGCCAGAAATTTGTCGAGAAGATCGCCCGCATCAGAGAGCTTCACCATTGAGGAGAAAATTGGTCGGACTGACTCTGCTCTAGCTTTGAGCTGCAGACTCGTGGCGTACATTGCGCTGCCGAAGAACGTGGCGTTAAAGGTCCGATGAATGAAGTCCTGGAAGAACAGCTTGTCATCCGATGTCGGGTAATCGAATATTTGTCGGCTGAGGAAGCAGTCTTCGGGAGAGAGATTGCCTTTGATATTTGTAAAGCTTAGCACACGCGCAGGGTGCTTGTGCGATAGCTCGAGTCCGGTAAGTGCTCCCATGGAATGCCCAACGAGGTGGAAGCGGTCGATGCGGAGATAATCCAATAATGCTTCTGCAGTCTTAACTAGGAATGGAATTGATAGCTGTTTGTGTTCTGTGATTGTTGATTGCCCGCAACCAGGAGCGTCATATGCTACGAAAGCATGGCCGTCGAAACTCTTCTTAAGCAGGAAATCGGTGTAATCTTCTTTGGTCGATCCAAATCCATGCAGAAATAGCACGGGACAGAGCCGGCCTGGGCGATGCGTTATGGCAAGCGAAATATCAATATTGTCAACATTAAGATCCAAACGCTCTGTGACGTGGAGGCGGTTCGAAGTTGCTCCCATAGCCGGAGTGGTACTGATGGCAAGATGCGTGACCGAATTTCTGATGTCGTTAAGGAAAGGAATGTTGAGTTCGCTTCCAGCATTGATGACCTTCATTGACTTTCGGCGAGCCTTTCCAACAGACTCTCGGTCTCGGCGTCGGCCAGATCCTTTCTATGGTGTCGAATTGCCAAACGCCGAGCCTCTCGCCGAGCTCTCAGGATCCCAACGCCGAACAATATACGATGTCGCCCGCACTCGCCGAGTATCATACGGCCGATTGCGCCATGCAAGACCTTGCATTCGGACTTGTCTGTTGACCAGATACTGCAACATAGCAACTTCTCTCTATCTCGTTCTTGCAGCATTACCACACTACTCAATTGCAACGAGTTCAGCCGTCCTTGAGAAAATGGCCTTCAACCCGCGTCTGCGTCTCCTTAATGCTCTTCGGACTCGATCAAAACCGATCATGACTTTCATGGGCCTTCCTTCCTTTCGTTTAGCGCAGATAGTGGCGCAGACAGGATTGGATGTCCGTACCCAACATCTGTGAATGTAAAGCGTCCTTTGTGCTGATGAACAGGCTGTCTAGGGCGTCATCATCGATTGTGAACATGGACAAATCAGCGACGATGCGATGCATAATGCAACAGCTGCGATCGCGGCATTGGATGTCTCGCCGCTCGTTAGGCTTCGCATGACACACCCGGACTTGATCAAACGTGCTTTGGATGCAGGAGCGCAGTATGTGTCTGCCGTCGTGGATGTCGTCGACCAGAAGAGCTGACTTGATCATCACCACAAGTGGCATTGTCGTTCCGCAGATCAACACCGCGGAAGAAGCAAGAGCAGTTGTCCAATATGCGAAATTCCCTCCAGATGGACTTCGAGGTCAAGGCTCTCCATTCGCGGCAATCGCCCACAATATCGACATCGCTACTTATGTCAAAACCGCGAACGAAAGCTTGATCACGTGCGTCCAGATCGAGACGAAGGCAGGTTTGCAAAATGTCGATGCGATTTGTGCGGTACCTGGCGTAGGTAAGTCCGCGCTGCTTTCTCAATCGCATCCGCGGCCGTAGAGTGTCTTGCTTACGCTGCCTCATACGGCTCCAGACATGATTTTCATCGGGCCCAACGACCTTGCCCTTGCCCTTCTCGGCTATGTCCCTGCAAAGGGCGATGAGCCCCCCTTCGTCGAGGCAATTGACAAGATCGTCGCTGCCGCGAAGAAACACGAGAAATGGGTCGCTCGGCTTTCGAATGACGGCACTGCGTGTAGAGAGCACCTCAAAGTGTTTGATGCCGTAGCAATGAGCTACGATGTTCGCGCTATTCAAAATTGGTATTCCGCTGAGCTCCAAATCGCCCGTTCATAGTTTGTTTGCATCAGTGCCAGACATATATGAGAATTGCGATGTCGGTAAAGTCTTGACTAGGATAGGATCCTGAGGTGGCTGATTTGATAAGTTTCCCACGATGTCAAACTGTCACGTCTGGCCACAGCGGCCCAAGATCCAAATCCAGAAAGTCCGCTTGGTCGATGAATTGGAGCTCTGCGTCGGGCTGCGCTAGAAGGTTTTGAAAGAAAGGCTCCATCAGAGTAACACCTTGCGCCACTTGTGTGTTCTCGAGCTCATGACTGCGGCCTGTTGCCCCGAGAGAGTAGCCTGTCGGTGGCTCGTTCAATGTCGCATGACGTGACGGTTGAGCACGCAAGCGCGTCTCGAGATCTGCCATCAATGGCAGCATAGCGTCTGTATGCTGACAAAACTCTGCCGCGGGAAGATTGCCGTTTTGCTTGAGCTGAGCAAGCAGGTGTGTAATGCATTCTAGCCGGTTCTTGTCGAGATAACTCGATTCCCTCTCCCAAAGTGAAGAGATAGCCAGGATGATCGATGAAGAGAAGAGGTATTGTGTGTCGAAGTAATCGAAAAGCATCAGAGAGCCATTGGTCCACTTGTCAGTCAAGAGGCTGTAGGAGTGACGAGCGCACCTTACACAGGCCTCTGCTAGCCCTAAAGCAGATTTCGGAACGCCAATGTCGGAGTCTGGGTTGGCAATGCGAGTCTTGAGCACATGCAAGAGGACAGGTCTCGTTGCAAGGATGAGGAGCTTCTCGGCCGTCAGACTGGCATGATTGCTAACATTTCAAAGAAGATGGTGCACTTTACCTGATTGAATAGTAACTGCAGGGAGCAGGCTCTGGGGTCCATTTTGTACTGATCTGCACTGTCAATCTTCAAATCATGGGGAAGCTTGTCCATCCACACTCGCAGATCTCTGGAAACAGATTGCACTTTCTCCGATAGGCGAGTGTCTCGTGATGTTCGCGTATATATCGAACATATGATCCTGGATGCCGATCTGGCGAGACTAACACGGGCAGCGAAAAAGGACGGATGCAGAGCATCCGCGGCGTCGCCTTGCTCCAAGTGGTCTGATGGGAGGTCGACTGTGATATCATCGTCCGAGACAGCGTGTGGGAAGCCCAACTTCGCCGACCACATTCGGTCGAAGGTGTAAGCAGTCCACCATAGCCGGCGCCTGTGTTCTCGTAAGGCTGGGTCAGGCAGCACTGCAGGCGGAACTTCTAGGTGCAAACCCATCACGACTGCAAGTCTAACGGCTTGGCCGGCTAGAGAGTACGCCGAGTGCCGTCGATTGAGGCAAAGGGAATAGAAAGACTAGAAAGTACCAATTGTCAGCGTACGATCAGTAACATCTCAGAGACATAGAACTTGCAAGTAGTAGTTTGACTTCGATGAACCCGAGCACTGGTCTCTCGGGGCTAATTTGAAGTATTCTAGTAGCTTTTGCAAAGTAGCTAAGGCCAGGAAATGCATTGTCGACAGTCCTCGTTCTAGTCGCGTAAAGCTCGCCTACCGCGAATGCGGCCAGAAGCTTGGATTTGGTCAGGAAGTCTGTCGAGGCAGGACTGCGATTGAGGGCTTCGAGTTCTTCAGACACCACGTTGCGTAGTAGAATATGATAGGTGCGCCCGAGACGTTTGAGGGCCGTGTCGAGGAGAAAATGGGCACGGGCTGGCCTCGGCCAAATGCAGTCAGCCTCTGACAGTGCGAGAATATCCTCATCGCTCACGAAGTCGACCCGGGGCAGATGATCCTGCTGGCTTGTGGAAATCGTTTGACGAAATCGCGTTGCAAAAGCAGAGTCAGATGACTCGGCGACCAGAATCGGAGTGTATGGTACGTCCATGTTAACAAACCACGGACCATGAAGAAGTGCAGGATCTCGGGATAGAGATACGCGCCCTTGATTACTTCGGACTTCGTGATGATTTACTGCTGTGTTGCTTGGGCCATCTCCACGTGGTTCCTGACTGTGAACTTCCCCATTCTGCGCTGATACAGTGTTTGGAACGTGAGCGTCACTACGCAATGAACCCATTAGTTCACACCTGGCTCGCCAGGTTGATAGAGGTCTGCCACTGACTGCTGCGTGGCTTGTGTGCGGCGTCGCTGGGGCGTCGCATAATCGCACTCATCCTCTTTGCCGGAGCGGCGACAACTGTCGCATGGGGAGCCGCCATTGCATCGGACCTTTCTCGAGTGGCATCGGCGACAACTTGAGGGCCATCAATGCGAGGACCCCAATGGGTGATCTTCTCCAGCGACTGCACTTACGCCTTCAACCTACCGCCAGCCCGAGCTCGGGCGCGAGGCAGCGCTTCCTTCGTCCGGATGGTGCTTGGAGATACGGTCATGGAAGGATCCGAGCCTTATCTCATGCTCGGTCAGAAGGTCTCGTTCGCATTGTTGTTGTGCAAAGGAAGCAGCAATTCGGCAGCCAGAAACCGAATCTCGGAGTTGGAGTTCGACAGCTTCGGCCTCGGCGAAATGCATCAGCTTCTAATCAAATATTCGATGCATATTTGATGCAGCGAAGACGTCATATCGATACGATGGAAAACTCGAGCATCAATGTCGCCATCAGACTCTTCCGGTCTCCATTCCATCGACATCCGGCAACATACTGAGGATGGCGGCAGCAGCATTGACAAAATGCGCACTGCGTGCATCCCGACTTTCGGCAACGCATCAATGCTTTGCTAGCAGACAAGCATCACCAATCTTCAAGAGGTTCCTAAGCGCTCCTGCCGAGCAACCAAGGTGAGCACTGGAAAGTCAATGCTTCTACACCATTGCGCGAAGCAAATCTTGCGCCCTCTTGGACCATATCGAGGTGTTCCCCCATCCGAGAATCAATGCTGAGAAGTGTACAGACTCCGCCTTGGATCAATTGCCCCCAACTTCCAAGCCCAGACGACTCAAGGAAATATCGACTTCCATGAATTCATCGGTGATAAGGTGAGCACTTGTTTTTCCTGCACTCAATAACTCGAAAGCCCATATCATGCTGACCTGGAGCCTGTCGCAATCATAGTGGGCCATTCTCTTCTCCCACCCAGCAGACTTCACTCCAGTCTGCACCACCGAGCTCGGAGCATTTGCCAAACTCCGCAGTGAGTTCGAAAAGCGCGGCGTGAAAATGATCGGGCTCAGCGCCAACGATCTCGGCTCTCACGACAAATGGATCCAAGACATCAATGAGATCTCCAACACCCAGCTGTCGTTCCCAATCATCGCCGACGCAGATCGCAAGGTCGCGTTTCTGTACGACATGATTGACCAGCAGGACTTGGAGAACATTGATGAGAAGGGCATCGCCTTCACTATCCGCTCTGTGTTCGTTATCGATCCCAGCAAGAAGATCCGCTTGACGATGATGTACCCTGCTTCGACCGGCCGCAACACATCTGAGGTTTTGCGAGTTATTGACAGTCTCCAAACTGGCGACAAGAAGGGAGTGACGACTCCGATCGACTGGCAGGTCGGTGAGGATGTGATCGTGCCGCCTAGTGTCACCACTGAGGACGCAAAGAAGAAATTCGGATCGGTGCGCGAAGTGAAGCCGTATCTGCGTTACACTCAGATCTAGATTACAAACAACCTTTTTGTCTTCATTATGACATGTACTGCCGCTATCAAGGTCAACTGTGTATGATATTACTAATTTCCATGCTGTTCGATCTGTACCTGTTTGATTCGTCAACTTGGATGTCGCCCTTCCAGAGTCCTTCTGGGTATAACCCGGTCAAAACTCCGGTACTGAGAGGTGCGTTCTCTTCCATCGTGATTCTGGGACCACGTCCTGACTCCCGAATTTGTCTGATCCAGTCTGGAGTCTTGCTCTGCCGAATTTCGGCCAGTCTGTTTTGCCAGAATCTGTGCACATGTTTGCCATCAATTTCTCCGCGTTCCGGCAGAAGTTCCTCGTGCATGGCGAAATCACCGCGAAGTGTGGCTAACACGCCGTCGCACCACCGCAGACCTATTTTCTTGGAGATGTACTCTATGCGGCCGATGATCCACATCGCTTGCGCGAGGGCTGCGGAGGTACTGGCTTCCACGTTTGGCGTGAACTCTTTTAGGACAGTGCTCCATAGACCTGGTCCGATGCGTTCGAGGGCACAAGTGCCTGCGAAAAAGAGTGGCCATATGGATCCATATCCTGTAATGAGTACGTTGGGCGAATTGTTGAACGGCGCGTGACCTAGTTGCGTAGGAATACCATGACAGATGTCGTCAGTCATTTGTCTCCTCACACTTCGGAGATATCTGAACTGGTTTTCACGTTCTTCCTCGTTAATGTGTAGCCTTCTTATCAAGAGTTCTTGAGTCCTGGTAAGCATGATACGGATGTTTCTGTACGTGCTCCACACACTAGCGGTTGGATGGCCGTTGTACACGTGCACCAGACCATTCCAAACATTGGGACTATCTGGCACCTCGACTTCGCGATAACGCCAAAACGGATTGTTGGCCATGAGGTCTACGGACCACTGCTCCATTCGCATCTCGATGCCAGTCGCGGCAGCCATTGCGTCCAAGTCTGACATCATTTTCTGGCGTATTCGGCTCCGCAGTCGCGCAAATTCGAACACAAGAAATGTGAAATGATCTGCAGGTTCGATCCATTGTTGATTCTCAGACTGCTTGAGCAGTTCTGCATTCCAGTCCCATAAGAACGCAGGAGGTTCAATGTCGTCCCACAGAGAGCTGATCAGTACTTGCTGGCGTGTCTCTCGGAATAGCATGCGTCCAATTGGACTGAGGAATTGATCTTTTCCTCGTAGTTGGAGGAGCTGGGTGGCACCTCGAATATGAGCTTTCCACGACTCGATTGACTCTCGACTGTCGCAAGTAATATTCTCAAAATAACCCAGCATAGACACAGCAATGAGACTGTCGTCAGTCTTGCTTTGTCGAGGGTCGCGCAGAGCAGCGTTCAGCATGCCAATTGCCTGTGAGTACATTTTCAGTGAATAGCTACGGCCCATCTCGATGCCGTGCACATTATCCAAGGCTGCAAGTCCGCAGGCTTTGATCGCATAGTCGAGAACCGGGTTGAGAAGTGCCCTCTTCTCATAATTGCGAAGGAACGGCCAATGTCCAGATTCGGCGGTGAATTGCGAGAAAAAGTAAGTGGTACCTAGATCGCCAGGGCTAGGTTTCATTGTGAATGTGGGCAAGTAGTTGCGTGCACCGAGACCATCGTCACATTCCGTCGAGTCGAACACGATCACCGCTGGACTTGTTGTTTCGTGATGATTATTTGGTGCAGCATCTTTGGATGACCAATCTTCGTATGTCGGCGTCGCCACGACACTGGTCCCGGGAGATGCTATACCATAGTCCAATTTCGTGCGTACCAGTACACCTGACTCTGGCGTAGTCGGGGTCCTCGGTTTCTGTCTGTTAGCCTTGAGAATGACCGCCTGACTTTCGTCCTGTATCTGAAGTTGGCTGACATCTCGATATCCACCACAAGGCTTCTTCAGCTTAATGCACCGCGTGCAAGCCGGCTGTTCCAAATCACAGCGTTTCTTGGCTTTCCGGCAGTTCTCGCAACCAGCGGAGGGCTAAGACGCGATACAGTCAGCGGGAGCCTCCCAGCTTGGGCTTGGGCTTTGTACCTTGCCACGATATACCATTTGGCCACTTGGGTCAAGGAGTGTCTAGACACGACAAAAGGCATGCAGGATGGATCCAGGATCAGCCACGAGGGAAGTCTGACTTGCGTGGAGGCAGGCCTAACGTGAACGTGGTGCAGGACATCACCTCATTCACATCTGTTGTCCAGCGTGTGCAGGTCTGGTCATCGCAAGCCGAAGGAGGAGGCTGTGATCGACCGAGTCGTGGTAAAATTGGGGGGAGGACAATTTCAATGTGCAGCCGAGCTAAGTCGCGACACTTAGATGACGTGAAGTTTGAATGAGAAGTAGGTGTAGGAGGTGATGGAAGTTGGGCGAGGAGAGTGCACACGAGCTGCCTGCCTTGTCTTGGATCGTGAGACCCTGTGGCTCCTTTGGGACTGGTAGCGCCATTATTTCGCATGCGGGGTCCAGGTTGATCGACGTTCACGATGGTTGGTCGCTCCGTACAGGCTTCGCTCGCATCACGTCAGGACTGTCCTCGGGCACGGCGTGAGGTGGGAGGTAAATGTGAAGGGAGATGGAGAATACCGGACACGCAGCGAAGTGACGAGCACGAAAATGCTGATCGTCGGTGTTGACTTGGTGGAAGGAAGCTCGAAGGTGTGGAGCTGTGCGTACTACTGAGGCTGGCTGGGCGTTGCTCGTGGACCAGCAGGCCAGTGCCAAGCCGCTTTCCGCCGAGCCTCCGACACGCACTTTCGACTTCGATTTGGCTGCGCTGCGTTTGAAGTCGACAAGGCACGAGGCCACGAACACCCAGCACCACCCGCCAATCCACCAACGTCAAGGTACGCGAGACCCATCAGGGGCGAATTCGAAGGAGCATTGGAGTCGGAGAGGACGATCGCGACACAATGGCATTTTCGAGAGGCCTCCTGCAAAACTTCCGTGGCTTGGAGAAAAGTTGGATAAAAGAGCAGCTGCTAATACTGCGTACAGATGGGTGCCCACAAGTATCTTGAGGAGCTGCAGAAGAAGAAGCAGAGCGATGTCATGCGCTTCTTGCTTCGCGTTCGCTGCTGGGAGGTACGCATCCAACACCCATGAGCGGCATATGGCACATGTCTACATGTGCTTGTGTCTTGAGCGTACTCGTTGAACATTTGCTGAGAGTACATCAATCTAGCTCCGCCAGCTGAACGTCATCCACCGCGCCTCCCGTCCATCGCGCCCCGACAAGGCTCGCCGTCTCGGATACAAGGCCAAGCAGGGCTATGTCATCTACCGCGTGCGTGTCCGCCGTGGAGGCCGCAAGAGGCCAGCACCAAAGGGTGCCACCTACGGTATGAAGAATGGAAGTTACACCGGAAACTCGGCAGAGGGCTGATGAATTGCACAGGCAAGCCCACCAACCAGGGTATCAACCAGCTCAAGTACCAGCGCTCGCTCAAGTCGACTGCTGAGGAGCGTGTTGGCCGTCGCGCTGCCAACTTGCGCGTGCTGAACAGCTACTGGATCAACCAGGACAGCACGTACAAGTACTACGAGGTCATCCTCGTCGACCCACAGCACAAGGCGATCCGCCGCGACCCACGCATCAACTGGATCGTCAACCCAGTGCACAAGCATCGCGAGTCTCGTGGTCTCACTGCCACTGGCAAGAAGAGCAGAGGTCTCAACAAGGGCCACCGCTACAACAACACCACCAGCGGTCGCCGCCACACCTGGAAGCGCCAGAACACCCTCTCCCTGTGGCGCTACCGATAGAGCAGAGGCTGCTAGGATGGGTCATATGCTGGGCGACGTATTACAGCGATTATGCTCGGGAGTTGCATCGGTCTGGGAATGTTTTCTACGAAGGGCCGGGTCGCATACAGTGTGCACGCGGAAAGACTTCGGTGTGGTCGTATAGCCAAAAATGGAGCTTGCTACCCATGGTTCAGACGATTGCCATTGGCCCAGCATACATTCACTGCGTTGCATGATCTGCCACTTTCCAGTCCGTCGTTGTTGTGCTATTGTAAGCGCTGAAATGTTGTGTCGTGCACTACTATTTCGATGCCAGAAATGTGCACTTGCCCCAATGGGTCGTGACAGTCGATGCATCCACCCATCGGCTCCTCGATGAACGAGCTTGGAAGTACCGAGCAGTGGACCTCCTCTCAAGGATCCCTGAACTTGTTCGTAACCGCTCTTGGCAACAACATCTGATGCTTTGCGCTGGCGCACCATGTCTCGTACATGTATGCCGCGCAGCGCGATGAGTTGCTGCCGGTGCCCATCTTCTTCCACTCACTTGTTCCCTCCCGAACCCTCGTGGCGCGGCTGCCGTCGGCGTCGTGCAATGCGCCTTGCAGGAACGCTTCAGTGACTTCACCATTGGCAACGGGCGCCGTGACGTTTGATGCTCGCGTGTGCCTGAGCTTCCGCCTCCTCTGACCGCGCGCATGATTGACATTCGCTGCGGTGGCACACGATGAGCAATGTCATCGACCTGGTCTCGCCTGCTCCCCAAGCATGGATCGTCGAGCAACCACAACCGAACCAAGCCGCGACCCCCGAATGAATGCCTCGACCCGCCCACGCTCAACCCCGAGCGCGCAGTGCAATCGCGTGCGCCCGCAGCACGCCAGCATGCTCACAGTCGGTCGGTGAGCCACCCGCTGCCGAAGATCTTTGGCCGCAAGAAGAGCGCCGGCAACTTCCACGAGACCGATGTGCCGCTCGACGACGACCTTGTGCCTGTCCTGGACGAGCCCGCGCCCAAGAAACCCACCCGCGTCATTTCGGGCAAGAGAAGTCAGGTCGTGGATGAGGATGGCAAGGCGACCAGAGTATGCATGTGTTGCGATAGCAAGTGCAAAGTGCCCCAAGAGCTGTCCAGATTCAGATGCTTGTGCTGTCTGACCATAAATGACCTCAAGCCTGTCGAGGAACAGGTCGAGGACGACAAGAGCCGGCCCCATCCGCATAGAGCAGCCACAGATCCAGTTCCAGCCCATGCGGCTGGTGCAGCTTTGCCCGTTTCGCTGGCGAAGACGCGCGCCATCATTGACCGGTGCGTTGTGACATATTTGCAAGGACGACGGCAACGATCAGGACCGACTCAGCAGCGGCCGACCAACGTCCAGAGTGATGTGTTCGGCCCCGATCAGCTACCCGCAGCACTCGCTGTGCATCAGCTGAAGGCAGAAGATAATGCTGGAGACCTTGCAGATACGCCTTTGTCAGCTTCACCATCTGACGGTCCCACAGCTTCATTGGCGATTCCTGCGTCCGGACGGACAACGCAGGAGCGGAACGACTCTGAACGTTTTGCCAATTCGCGGCGTGATTTGCCTTCCGATTCTGCTGTGCCCCCTCCTAGCAGAGGTGGACAATCCAGTGTGACACCACGAAAGCCAGTGCCTGCTCCACCGAACAGAAAACCGCCTCCACCTCCTGTGCAGATGCCGAACAGGCGGCCTTCGCATAACCTACTGCCTCCAACGAACGGCCAATTGACTCCACGTGCTCGCGCACATTCGCCCCGGGCTCATCAAAGCCCACAACTAACAGCTCAGGAGGTTGAGCAGCGTCGCGAATATGACAGAATCAAATCCATTTTCAGACCGCTTGAGGACTACTTGGTTGCGAGCTTCGGTGACTTCAAGTGCCTCAACAGCTCCTTCAGTACAGCTCGGCCTGGCATGAATGGTCGCACGCGGAGTGAAAGTGAAATCAAGACGCCATTCAAAGAGCCCGTGGCCAGCACTTGGAATCCTAGCCCAATGGATGGCTTGTCGGAGCTCGATGCGAAGACATTGTTGCTCGGTGATATTGGCGAAAATGGCACTTGGTGGACTGGTCGTCTTGCCAGCAAGGAGACCGAAAAGGCAACAAGGCGTAAAAAGGTGGGCGAGGGACCGCGTCGGCCTGTCAGCTCGAAGTCACCAAACATCGATTGGACCGAAGTTGCGCTGTGGTACGACATGATACATTCCGCTGGCGACGATTGGCGCACGAAACAAGACCAACTTCTGTCTGACGATGAAGGAAGCAGCAATGCTGTCCTCCGGCATGAAATAGACAGCGAAGAAATTGATGACGACATGGCAGACGCGAGGGAACATGCCATCAGGACCTTGCTCAAGTTGACAGAAAACGTCTTGAAGCGGCCTTCAAAGCCATTGCGGGAGCCCGAAGATCTGCGATGGCTGCTCATAATCCTCGCCAATCCTTCCCTTTACCCTTCCACAAAGCCTCAGCGGACACGGTCTGGTGGAGAACGATATCTGAGCAGGTCTACCTCAGACAAGCTTGCGGGAAAAATGCCCGCCAGTCCTGTCCAGCGCACTCCTGGCAAGACCTCTAGCCGTGGCGGGAGCCAACACAATGGACTGTTGAAACGTATCTTTGGACTCTTGGCGCACGCCAACGAGAATTGTCAGCGATACCTCATCGGCTGGTACTCGCGTTTTGATGAAGAACTCTTCATCAAGCATGTAGATCTAGTGGCAAGTTTCGTGACATACAGGATTGATCGCAGGTCCAGTCGTGCTCGGGGCAAGAGTAGTGCGGCCGACAATGGCCTCATTCCTAATCTTTCAGGCGGCTCCATGAACACTTCTGCTCAATTGCATTCCGCCATGGGCCTGAGTGGTTCGATTAATCGAGGAAGGTCCGAGAATGTGGATGAGCCTGATTGGTCGGGCGACTGGCAGCTGAAAGCTGCCGCTCGCGTGATGGCAATGCTGTTCCATGCGAACAATATCTGGCAGGGCAAGCGACTCAAACTGGAAGACAGTCATCTGGTGAGCGCAGACCTCAGCAACGGCTTGTTGACGCCGGCAGCAAAAGCGAAACGTAGCGGCCAACTACTGCACACTTCCAGCTTCTACAACACACTGCTTGATTATCTCGATATGATCGAAGACTTCAAAGAGTGGGAGAAGCGAAGGGACAAGTTCACTTTCTGCCAGTACCCGCTGTTCATCTCCATTGGCACCAAAATCAAGATTCTGGAGTTCGATGCTCAGCGACAGATGTCATTGAAGGCCCGGGAGGCTTATTTTGATCAGATATTTCGATCCACAAAAAGCGACGGTCATTTCCACTTGCGCGTTCGAAGAGAGTGCATAGTGGATGACAGTCTGCGGCAGATCAGTGAAGCCGTGGGCGCCGGGCAAGAAGACTTGAAGAAGGGTATGCGTGTTCATTTCGCCGGAGAGGAGGGCGTCGACGCCGGCGGACCACGAAAGGAATGGTTCCTGATGCTCGTGCGCGAGATCTTCGACCCTGACCACGGCATGTTTGTGTACGATGAAGAGTCGAACATGTGCTTTTTCAACCCAAACTCATTCGAGACTTCGGACCAATACCATCTGGTTGGTGTGTTGTTAGGGCTGGCCATCTACAACAGCACCATACTCGATGTTCCGCTACCTCTGTTCACCTTCCGCAAACTTCTTGCTGCTGCTCCCGCCTCCATAACTGGCTCTTCGAATTCCAATGTTTCTTCTTTGACCGGAACAAAAGGCCAAATGACATACACCTTGCAAGATCTCGCCGAATTTCGACCATCTCTTGCTGCTGGTCTGCAAAAGTTGCTCGACTTCGACGGCGATGTTCAGGGTACCTTTGCCCTCGACTTTGTTGCATCTGTCGAGCGCTATGGCATTGTTCAAGATGTCCCGCTGGCCCCAAATGGACAAAACACGCCTGTCACAAATGCGAATCGCCATGAGTTCGTGGATGCATATGTACGCTATCTGCTTGACACGGCTGTGGCTCGACAATTTGAGCCCTTCAAGCGAGGCTTTTTCACTGTCTGTGCCGGCAATGCTTTGTCTCTATTTCGTGCGGAAGAGATCGAACTGCTCATTCGCGGCAGCGATGAAGCGCTTGACGTTGACTCCTTGCGCGCCGTTGCCCAATACGAGAATTGGCGGCACTTCCAGCCTCCCCATCAGCTGATTGCCAATCCGGCCGAGCAGGTCCCCGTCATCGGATGGTTCTGGGAACTCTTCAGCGAAGCTTCCCCAGAGAAGCAAAGAAAATTGTTGACTTTTGTCACGGGTTCTGATCGAATCCCAGCTGTTGGCGCCACCAGTCTCATCTTGCGAATCCAGGCTGGCGGAGATGGTTGGGGCGGAGGTGGGCCAGATGAACGAACGAGGTTTCCTGTCGCTAGGACGTGTTTCAATATGTTGGTGCTGTGGAGGTATGATTACCGGGAACAGTTGGAAGAGAAGCTGTGGAGGGCTGTTGATGAGTCGGAAGGCTTTGGGTTGAAATGAAGTGATCAAGTCAACTGGCGCGGGAGAGACGGCCAACTGAAGTTCCATCGGGATTGGCTTCCACCTGAGACAAGACCTGGTGTCTGGATAATGATGTGTGTAGTAATGCGATCAATAGACTGTAAGATGCCGCGGCTTTGGCATGTAACCTACATGTAAATAGAACGATGGAACTCTGGCCTGTTGTTCATCAATTACCTCTACGAAATCTCACTTGAGAACAATTTGTTCCGGTATCTCCAAGCCAGGAGCTGCTGTTTGTTCATTACTCGACTTCTGCTACGCAGAACACGGTTGCCCATATGCATATATCTACACTGATCCCATCGATTCTATCCAAAGCTTGAAACGCCAGACTACTCAAAATACCTCATTGCACGCGAGCTCGCGTTATGACCAACCAGACGAAGACAAAGACCTTCGACTACCAGTCCTCAGTTCAGATGTTATCCCGTATGCATCGACATCCTTTTGCCGGACTCTCATGTACTTTCCCAAATGTAATTTCGATCCAATCGGCGTTTCAGCCAAGGCATCTTTCACACGATCCATAGCGCCTTTTTGATGCATATACCAACCTGACACAGTAATCAAGCAACCGAGGAGAGCGCCCATCATCACTGCTATTGTGGTGTGTGCGCCGCTTGCGCCGTAGTCCGAACTAGATTTGCCGTGATCGATTGCCTTTCCGCTGGGAAGTTCATAGTAGTATTTCGACGTATCGTATCCTCGGTTCGTTGAAAGAAGTGCTTCATCTGTTGCGACTTCTGCCTCCCAAGGCGTTTCTTCCTCTACCGCGACTCGTTCGGCGTAATCGCATCCTCGATCATGGCAAAATTCTCTCAAAGTCTCGCTGGGGACCCAAGTTTTCGTAATCGTACTCGCTTCCATTACGCGCCCATTAGCATCGATAGCTTCGGCATACGCCCAAGGCGCGAATCCTTGAATATGATGTTCGGTCTCGAAGCCTGTTTTCCATACGTTGCCGGACAAAACCCAAGGTCCCTTGGCCGAATTTCCAGTGTAGAATTTCCAGCTCCTGACCTCGGTGGCTCCGTTCCAGGATACCCAAAGTCCCATGTGATCCTGTCCGAATCTACTATATGTCCACAAAGCCGGCTTCGTCACCGGCTGCGCTGTCCAATTGTACTTGTTCGATCGATATATCATCACATTCGAAGCCCGTTCTGCCACGTGCGCGTACATGGTGGCTTCGCCATCGGGCAAATGCTCCGAGAAATAGGCGTGTTCTCCCCATCCAATATGCGCCCCGCCGTTGGTTAGTAGTTGCAAGTTTCCTTGTGATGTCGAAAGAAGACCACCTTCGGCTTCCGGAGCACCAAATTCTTTGACCATAGTCGCAATGTTGTTGACATGATCCAATTCCACGATCCAACCATGCGAGTACTCCCCAGTGGCGTGGAAGCTATTACTGCCGTTATCGAAAAGGGAAAGAACTGTGTGAGTCTGATTCTCCGAGATCCATCTTGCGTGGTGCTGATATGAAAACTGAAAATTCGTCTGATTGAAGTGCCCGTTTTGGCCACCCAGTTGCCAGATAATGTCTCCCGTCTCCCCAGAAACTTTGTAAATGGCACTGCAATGTCTCGCTGACAAAAGGTAGTCGCCTTCTTCGTTTTTGTCGATGCTGTTCAGGTGAAAGTAGTCCCATGGTTCCTGTTCATTGAGGCCTGTGCCACTGGTGTCTGTCGTTCCTGGGAATGTCCAGGCCTGGGCGGGATCGACGTGATCCAGAGAGCGCCACTCGAAGACCACTTTTCCAGTCTCAATATCGACCTCTTGGAATACGCCTTCCACAATCCAGCCCATGCCATTGCGCAAGTTGAATCTCGGATTGACAGTGAGGTCGTACTGTCTCGGCTGATAAATTGTCATTAGGGCAGTCTTGCCATTGGAATAGGGCGTGAGCTTGAACTCGTGCATGTCACTGCTGGCGCCAGCGCCAGAGCTATCCACTTGCTTCACCACCCGGTAATGCTTATCCATAATCACGCCATGCCCGCGCGCAAAGCCTTGATGCTGCTCGCCTGTAAAGAAACACAAATGGTCCTCATCTCGATATCGACATACTCGCGGTGTATGTGCAGTCATCGGGCCCACCTCTCCTGCGCCTGACCACACCAGCTCTCCATTGTTGTCGTAGATGTACGGCCCGGGATCGACATTTCGGTATGGAGCGAGGAAGATGTATCCTGGGATGATCTTCTCCGGTTGATGAACGTAAAAGGTGATGATGGGAGCGTGAAGATCAGGTCTCTATGTCTCGGCAGCAGTAGTCAGCGCCACCATGTCCACAAGTGAGGTCGCCAAGGCAGCTCGTATTGCATCTAGACCATAGAAAGTCAAAAACTCAATGCCGACGTACCGACTTGAACTGATGGGTAGGAGATGTTTCATTATTCAGCTCGGTACATCGCACGTGCGATAGCAGTGATGCGATGGCCACCCATACCCGTCCCACTGCAGGCAACCGGGCCATCGGGCTGCGCAGCAGATTGTATGCAGTGCTCGTCCAGGGCTGTCGCTCTAGTTAGTGATCACGCAAGAGGGTAGCGTCTTGACAACATGCGGAGTGCCACGCGACTATGGCGATTGATCTGCTGCAGTGGTCCGATCCGGTCCTAGGATACTTGCACTTCACGTTATGAACACAGTAAGAGGAGGAAGAGAAAGGGTACGAGATCAGGCGCTGAACGAACCGAGGAGCATAAGAGCGGTTGTGAGGACAAGACGGCGACGGCGAGCTGGTATCGGCCATCACACCAGACACCATGAGCAAGGCGCCCGGAATAGCAGCAAGTGCCGATGAGCGCCGACATCGTCGTTATTATCGCTAGCAGAATTCCTCGACACCAGTTGCAACGTCGTGGTGCATGCGTGGACGGCAGGGGGAGCTCGACGCGGTTGGCGGCATCCCGAGCGAGCGACGCAAGAAAGGGCGATGCGCGCGTCCCGCTAGCAGCAGGAGCCCGCCGTCGCCACCGTGCTTGCTCGTGGTATTGATTGATTGTTATTGATCACTGTACGGCGGATGCTGGAAGCAGAACGCGAAGAGGTGGTCCCGTGCGCGGAAACGCGTGGCAAGCTGATGATCCGCTGCATTCTAGGACAATCCACCTTCTCCTCTCGAAGCATAATCAGCACGACCGGTTGCAGTACCAGGCCTGTCCGTCTTCAATCGCTGACTCAATTGCAGCGCTCAGCAATCTCCCTCAGACACTCAATAAAGGCGGCTCGATGGTGGTGTGACTACCGCTCGCCTCCTACCTAACCGCGCGACTTGTTAAGCTTCTCCCGAACAGCATATGAGCTATGATTCGTACACAGGACCAATGCACGCGGCCGACAGACAGGGAAGAAAGCCGCCCACTATTCGGATCAACGCAAACCGATGATCTCTCCTGCTGGCAAGCGGCGGCCCACTGCATCACTTCGGTCTGAAATCGCAGGCATCGCGTTTCAGGTCGTCGGCAGCCGATGCGAGTGCGTACGACGATATTACGCGTTGCCCGTCGACATGGCTACGTACGACGGTGAGTGGAGCGGAAAAGCACCGGGCGAGCTGTTGCAATTGGTACTCCACGTTTTTTGGTTTGCGTCCATCAAATTGCGACTCTGCATTTTGTTGCCTGCCAAGACATGCAAGCCTAATCTGTCCCGACGGCGCATGGCCCGAGAAGCAAGCATCGGGTCCCCTGGTTGAGTAACCTTGCACGCGCTTTCAATATGAACGTCACAGATCAGTGTCTCAATGTTGCACCGATACTTTTGAAGCTCTGGACAGGCTCGAGCACGGACAAAAGACTGACGCATCGATGTTTCAGCAGTGATTCAGTGGGACACGGAGCAACTATCATCAGTTTCTTACTCTCCATATACATTGTCTATCTGGATCTCAAGTGCTGATCAGAATATAGCTTTTATTTCTAGTGCTGCCACTGGTGTCTTCAGATCACTGGCAAATCTGGAACCCAATATGCAGCCTTTAGCCCAAACAAACTCCGAATATGCTATGCCGTCCGATGAAACAAATGCCCAACTCCGTACACCATGCTGATACTCAGTGATGAGCGATACCGTGATGCATGCAGAGAAAAGGAAAAGCTTCGCGGCGAACGCATGGTGATGATCTCACGCCCGAGTATGGCCATGCTCATGACAATAGACTGCCGCGGCTGCCGAATAACCTCCGAATGGTCATGCTTGCGCTGAAAACGATTGCCGCCAGCGAGCCACCTACGACAGTCGCGCGGAAGAGGACATTCATCAGTTGCATACGATTCCTGCGTCGGCAGCGGTCCACGAATCCATCGGTGTCGTTGGTTCGTGGGAACTTTTTGCCCTCGGGGACAGGAACCTCGAGAAAATCGCAGAGTGGCTTCCAGCCTTCGCCCATCTTGTACTCCAGTAGGTTCTCCTTGGGAACTAGTGATCGAATTTCATCATAGTACTCATTGAAACGTCGCTTTCCGTTCTTCTCGAAATCGCCTTCCCAGAACTCAGTCCAGAACTCTGCGAGGCAGTCAGTACAATTGTTGTTTGTTTATTGGGACAAGGAGAACTCACTCGAAAGCATGGGTTGGTACAGTCCTGCTGCCCAGTCAAATTTGGAGACAAATTTTAGTTCCGGCTCGGTAGCACGCCAGTGCACAGTCTTCATAGTAGAAGCATGCCAGCTATCGACGTCACGGGTAGTGACAAGAACTTTTGCGTCCGGATACGCTTCAATCAACTCCTTCGCAAAGGCGACAGCGGGCCAATCGCACACGGCCTGACAGTGACCAAGCAGCTGGTCCCATTGCTCACGACCAAATCTGCCCTTGCCGTCGTACTTTGCAGCAAGTGCATCAGACCACATAAGGCAGTCGGGTGGGTTCTCGACCGAGGCGGACATCATGTGGTAGCAGTCCCGAAAGCCCAATTCCTGCAAGGCACTTCGAAGAGAGGCGGTTCCAGTTCTGCCAAGGCCCAGGGCCAGTACTCTCATTGGCACGACTCGCCGGCATTCTCGACGGTTGATATCGGTGTCTGAAGTGAAGATGTCCGTGACAGGCTTGGGAGTGTATGGCTGGAAGGCCATGATTGCAACTTCTGCGTCTTTCGGGGATTTCGGAATGGTTGTGCTTCAAAGTTTTCAATGAGTTCGGAGGATGAACGAAAGTGCTGACAGAGAGTGAAAGAATGAAATCTGAAGTGGGTGTTAAGACGTCGGTGAGTGAAGAGGTAGTGAGTGGCTTGGGGGGAGGTTGCCCAATGCGAGTGAGGTCGTAAGTCCCAGGAGCATAGCGGCGGGTAAGAGCTTGGAGTGATGATCCCCGTTATCCAGGTTGCGCTAAGGTCGCTAAGAAGCAGAGATGCCAGGGTGTGCGCCACTATCAAATTCAATGAATCGAGTGCCACGAGCGCTCCGCTGTCTTGGCCGTCTCGCTTGATTTGAGACGCGTGTAGGTGACGTACTTCAAACAGTTTGCCCCCAACGAATGCCAGAACCTAATGGGAGTGTTTGCATAGCAAATCTGGCGGTTGAAAGCCGCGACCACCTGGCCGTGACAGTCTTGCGCGTACCTAGCTTCGTGTCCTGCTCGTGGCCTCCAGGCTGACTTGACAACGACGAAGCATCCCCAACCTGGCGCATCAGGCCGCAGAGGGCAAGACGACGGGCAAGATTGGCGGCTGGGCGTTTTGCCGCTCAGAGTGGCTCTATGGCCGGAGACCTCCCAAGTGGGATGTTACAGCTGCAGCAGCATTCCATCGAAATTCGATTCGCGCAGCCACGCCAGCGCTCGTCAAGATTTTGGGCGACACCGGGCGCTGGACACCGTTGAAGGAACCAGTTTCTTGGAAGGCTTTGTCAAGGCTTGGATCGAGACTGCGCAATGGCAGCAGATCGTTTCCTCGAGAATGCCAACGGCACTGTGCTAGCAAAACGGAGGGGGTGAGCTCCTGCAATCCGCGCCGCTGTGCGGGTAACATCTGGGAATGCGAGAAACGAAGGTGCTCGCTTTCCATGTGGAGTGCACCTGCTCGATCCAGAATCTTGGCAGCTCGGCGACATCCTCCAATCCCATACCACGTGGCGGCAGACCGAAACCTTGCTGTACACCTTAACTTTAGGCATTTCTGGATGACAACAGGAAGCACAGTTTGATCATGGCCAGTAGGTGCACCGGAGAGCAAAACTGCTGCGTCCCGCATCCATTCCAGCCGCATGGCGTTCTCCGAGCCTCTGCACATCTGGGGCAAGCGATTCCAGTGAACGCACTTCACATACCTCTCGAAGCTATCGGACTTGCATCGCCGATCATGCCAATCATGTCGTTCAAACACAGGGACTGGTGAGTTGCGAGGGGTACTTAGAACACTGCCCGAGTAACCTCTGTCGCACATTCTGCCACGAGTATAGACAATACTCTGCAACACTTCTATCAATGTAGTGTTTTGCAAGGTTCAAGGAGTCTCGACATGCAGGCATCTTGCATAGTAAAAGTCCAGATGCGTCCATCAAACATCTGGCTTGAAAGAGCCTCACATCTAGCCTGATACTGTTGTATTGTGTAGATGGATGGTGACACTCATGTCCCGTCTCATCGAATGTATTGGCCCGCACATTTCGTTCCGTCCTCGAGAGTTGCTAAAATTTCGAACACAGGCTACACTATGGTGTTGATCTGAGCGCTGGCTCAGGAGTCGCTGCTTCCGCACAGATAGCTGGACACAATGTAAACCTGGTACTCGAGGAGCAGCTCGCATGGCTTCTGGCATTGCCATGCATCGCTCTCTACAGTATCCACGAGTATCGTATAGTGGCAAAGAGAGGTGCTCAGGTGATCGACAACAATTAATCTCTGACCATGGTCAAGGATATCGAAACCGCCTGGAGCGAACGCTTCGAATGTAGAGCACAGCAGACCAGGAGGTGACTCTCGCGGTCATCGATCTTGGAAGCAATCTCGAGATGGCGGCTCCAAGTGCCGCAAGCGACTTGGCGTTGGACGAGTGTGGAAGAAGAATTGTGGTGTTGGTGGTGGTCCCGACATCGGGCAAGTAGAAACGAGGGTTCGCGGCTGTCGGTTGTTTTGCAAGTTTGCGAAAGCAGGCCCACAGCAACGCATCGTCTCCTGCACACTCATCACTCGGACCCGCGCCCGCAGACAAGCATGCGATCACTCCTGCTTGGCGAAGTGCACAAGTCCGGCCGAAGGGTGTCGCGGCGGGCAATAATGGCAACGAGGAGGGAGGCCATGTACGCGGCCGGCCAGCGTCCGCAGCCTCTCGCCCAACCTCGACACGTCGGTCCAGCGTTGTCGTGGCCCAGCAGCGCCTGCTCTGACGTATCTCATCTGGCGCTGCTCGTTGTTCACTGCAATCACTACTCGATGCTCTCCCTCCACCGCTGAGACGGTGGCTTTGCATCTTGACTTCAGGTTTTCTTACATGCAAACCCGGTGCAGCTGTCCAGCACGCCATCGCCCGGGCGCCCAACCTTACTTTTAACCTTGCAGCATGTCACAACACCAACGCAGCACGTCTCGGCACTTTCCCAATGCTCCGAGAAATCGCGCCAGCCTGACCGATGCCTTGCTGAACCAAGCACCAGAGCTTCCCGCCCAGCATAAACGAACAGATACGGCTGCCAAGGGCACGCCAAAGGAACACGAGTCCCCGCCCGAGTCCCCTCAGCGTGGGCCGCACTTTGGCGAGACGACACCTCAGATTGTTGCTGGCCAATGGTCTGGAGCACCTCTCACCTATGAAAATGGCAGCGCCGACAGATACTCCCAATCGCTTCCGAACTCCGAACGACTGAACGATACACGAGCATCCATTTCCTCCGACCACTTTGCAGCGAATCCCATGATCGAGCGAGTCGACCCTTCACAGGCCCCAGCAGTGACTCCGACATGGGCAAATCTACCCAACAAATGCCAATTGGCCATCCTCGCCGCATCCCGCTTCGTCGACTTCTTCCAAATGGCTGCCCTGCAGACTTTCATGGTGCACCAGCTCAAAAGTTTTGACCCAGAGCTGTCAGATGTGGTCATATCACATCAAGCGGGCGTGCTACAAGGCGCCTTCACAGCCGCCCAGATTGTCACGAGTATATTCTGGGGCAGAGCGGCAGATCAGCCAAATTTGGGCAGGAAGACGGTACTTCTAATAGGCTTGATCGGTACTGGATTTGGGTGCATTGGTGTAGGGTTCAGTAAAACATACGGACAAGCAGTATTTTGGCGATTTCTGAGTGGAGCCATAAATGGGACTGTGGGCTCGGCGAGGACAATGGTTGCGGAACTCACCCCAAAGCCATGGCACCCAAGAGCTTTCTTGCTATTACCCGCGGCGTTCAACGTCGCCAACGTGGCAGGTCCCATACTGGCTGGACTACTGGTGGATCCGGTGGTCAATTTGCCTGGTCTGTTTGGCCCAGGAAGCACGTTTGGGGGCGACATTGGTGTAACTTGGATGAAGAACCATCCTTACGCGGCAGCGAATTTGATGAGCACCGTGTTACTTTTTGCTGAAGCCGTCCTCGTGCATTTCTATCTGGCGGAAACACTTCCAGGAAAACACGCGAACGTCGAACCTTTTGATCCTATAGCCAAGGTGCGCAATATCTACGATCAAGTTGTTTTGCTGAAAGCTCGCGGCTTCCAGGCACTGCAAGAAAGCCAGAGGGAAGGCCTACTTTCCGGTCGAGAACGAAGCTCAGTAGAAATGGATCGATTGAACTCTACTGGGGAAAAGGAAGAAATAAGGCCACTGCAACGACTTTCCTTTCGCAGAATCTGGACTCCGAACGTACTCTGGACGCTGCTCAGCATAGCAATCTTTGACTTTCACATGGGCGCATTTGCTAATCTTTGGATTCTGTTTCTTGCAACGCCTCGAGAGTTTGTGCCACAGTCTGCGGGTCAGGATAGGACGCTTCATCCGAGGAGCGCATTCAAATTTGCCGCCGGTTTGGCTTTTCCCCCACCTACGATTGGATATGCCATGTCTATCATTGGCTTCATAGGCGTAGCCCTGCAATTCCTCCTATACCCTTGGGCGAACGGCAAATTTGGCTTGATGCGCTGCTTTCGAATGTCCTTGTTCTTCTTTCCAATGGCGTACTACCTTGCTCCATACTTGGCGCTCTTGCCCTCCACCACTGCGCCTCCCGAAGCCGCCAGTGGTGCCATTATCTGGCTTGGGATCAGTTTCGTCCTTTTTCTGCAAGTTGCAGCAAGGACTTTTGCGCTTCCAGCCTCAATCATCTTGCTCAACAATAGCTCGCCACATCCCAGTGTATTGGCTACTATCCACGGTATCGGAAACGCTTGCTCGGCAACTTTTCGAACCGTAGGACCTATATTGGCTGGTTATTGGTATGGGATTTGGACCGAACGCGGCATTGTTGGCATGGCTTGGTGGATCGTTGCTACGATAGCGGCGGTGGGCTGTGTTGCAAGTTTCAAAGTGCGGAATGGTAGTGGACACGAAATATTCTTGCCTGGCGAGGAGGGTGACCTTAAAGAAGCTGAGGCAGGGCCTGGGCGAAGTGGCGATAGCAGATGAGTAGATGCAAGCAGTCGCGGCGCCTGATCTGTCTTGACCGTGCTGTTACCGCGGCATGATCAGAATGACCGTCATCGCATTGCGAATCTGCGGCATCACAACACCCAGGCTTCTCGATTCATCTGCACGATACCAGCTCGTTACTACAGAAGCACTTTACTCTCCTGGATGCTGCTCGATCTGGAACCTATGCTCACTTACCGAAGCTTTAGGCCTCGAGCTTATGAAAGTGTAGCTCTCCAACTACTACGGCACAACAGCTAGGCTGTGCATCTGCGAATGGTCGATCGGAAGCACCAGCGCAGGCTGAAGGAGACGGGATCGTCATCGAATGGCTGACAGGAAGGCCGCGTCAGTATTCGTGGAGGCTTAAAAAACCTCGGGACCACAATCGCAACCTTTGCGTCAAGACGCGTCGAGACGCATCGAGACATGATCAAACTGCACCAGAAATGTACCCGGCGTGTCAGCAAATTCGTTGCAAGTCGCTGGACCACCTGACAGGCGTCGGGCAACTCCGCAGATCGACTGTTTCGGTGAAGTTCGTGTGGCAGAGCCTCCAGCGGACACATTCGCCATCTGATCACTGATGGCACATGAAAATTTACAATTCCCTATGGATGAGGTGGAGAACACAGATGTAAGTTGCAGTAGCATGTCAACCAGTGCGGGGCTGGTAAGTCGAGGTATTTCGGAATGGCATGAGCTTTGGCAACATGGACCCAATCGCATTCGGAGCCGATGCACTGCACGATATATCCGTTTCGACCTAGAATTAGGTAGGAGTCAACTCCTAGATCAATCGAGTAATGGAGGCTCCACCACGCCAGTCTGCTCAGTGATCAGAGAGTACGCCTCAATTCTCCTATGCCGCCCATAATCGAAAGTCTTCTCCTTCCCCTTCCTGCATTCCGCAAGATCAATCTCAGCCACGACCAACTCATCCTCCTTTGTCTTAGCCTCGGCAAGCACTTGCCCCTCCGGACTCACGATTGAACTGCCTGCGATCAGATCATACTTTCCATCATCGACGCCGCAACGCGCAGCGGAAATCGAGAAGCAAGCATTCATGTAGCTATTCGCCTGCTGCACCAGCCTCGAATGGAACAATGCCTCCTTTTCTTGCTCTTCGGGTGTCATCGTATTCGCACTTCCCCAGAGATGGCTCATATGCGATCCAGTGTTATACCCGAACATGAGAATCTCAGCACCCTGCAGAGTGTAGACTCTCCATGCTTCGGGCCAACGTCGATCGTTGCAGATTAGCATTCCCATTATGGGGTCGCCTTTACCATCTGTGTTTTCGCTGTTCGCAGTAGATGCGGATTTCTTCAATGCGTCCTGGACCAGACCTGATGCGCGAAAGGCTTTGAAGCCTAAATCGCCAGGTTTGAAATATCTCTTTTCTAACTGATTGGTGGCATTTGGATCCTCGAATGGCTCAACGCGGCCTGGGAGGTGGACTTTGCGGTATTTGCTTATAATCTTGTCCGCAGATGCGGAGTAGTAGACTGATGTGTTGTATCCAGTACTTTCTGGTGTTCGTTCGGCATATCCGATGCTGACATCGATGCCAAGTGCTTTCGCTTCCTCGAATAATGGTTTCACATCGGAAGACTGTGTAATGTCTTCGCCATGTTCGAAATACTTGTCGAGCTCCTCCTGGTCTTCGATGAAGTGACGTGGGAAGAATGTCGTGAGAGTGGCTTCGGGATATACCACGAGCTGTACTTTCTTCTCTGCTGCTTCGTGCAAGAGCTTGATCAATCGTTCCACTGTCTCCTTCTTCTCTGCTCCTTTGTGAACTGCGCCGACTTGTGCGGCCGCAACGATGATCTTTCTAGACATGTTGTGAGAGCTTGGTGAAGGGATGTGTGGTTGGGTTGCATTGATTGACGACTACCACGAACAGTGAATATACGCTTAGAGATATAATACATCTAGCTGTGCCTTCGCCTAGCTACCCGGAGCGGCCAGTTGAATAGAGTTCCACCATACGCATTGGATACCCTACAGCTCAGCAGAGCTCATCCTTCGCCGCATTTTCCGCCTATCTTGCCCGACAACCTTATCGAAGCGGCCAGGCTCTCGGCGGAGGAATGGGTTGCATCTGTGCCACTTCGATCGGCGGCAATGGAGAGTGAACACATAAGAGATGAGAGAGAAATGGTGGTAAGATGTGAGATTCGTGCGCAGCAGTAGAAGCATTCTATCTTCACTTACTCCCACATCACCATCCCTGTGTAGATCCGAGCTCCGCAGAGGATCCGACTCTTGGCACCAGTGCTGTGCCAGCGACCATAAACATGGACTTCGATCTAGTGGTAACGAACGGCATTTTGGTCACAGCGAGCGAAGTCCTGCCGGCAGGACTAGACATCGGTGTCAAAGATGGCAAGATCGCATGCATTGGCACGAATTTACCACGATCCTCAAAGATCAGGATCATAGATGCCGAAGGTGCCTACATCACCCCGGGAGGTGTAGACAGCCATGTTCATCTGTCGCAGAAGAATTCGCCGACTGGAGATACTTGGGAGACGGGCTCGCGTTCTGCCATAGCGGGAGGCACTACTACCATCCTCGCTTTTGCGTCTCAACCCAAGACTGAGCAAACACTTTGGCCGACGTTGGAAGACTACAAATCGAAGTCAACGAATCAGGTCTATTGTGATTATGGCTTCCATTTCATTCTCACCAACCCTACGCCTGAGATTATCCGAGATGAGCTGCCGGTATTGGTCGAGAAGGAGGGTATCACATCCGTGAAGCTTTATAGTACGTTCCACGCTACCCCGAGATGCAAGTTGCGGCGGTGGCATTGAGTCCTGCCTGTTTCTTGTTGACTCCCCAAGACTTGGTAAGAATGGGAGCTAACTGGTCGATCGATCTGCAGTGACCTACGAAGCCATGAAGTTGAATGATCGCGAGATCCTGAGGATATTATTCGCGTGTAAGGCGCTCGGCATGACGACCATGATACATGCAGAATCGCACGATATCATCAGCATGATCATCGAAGGTCTTGAGAGGAACAAGAACACTGACACTTTCTTTCATGCGATCGCTAGGCCCAGAATCGCCGAGGACGAAGCATCGTACCGCGCAATCTCTTTGGCGGAATTGGCCGATGCGCCCATGTTGCTCGTCCATATGAGCAGCGACGTTGCAGTAGCACATGTACGTGAGGCGCAGACTAGACTACTGCCCATCCATGCAGAGACTTGTCCGCACTACCTATTCCTGCTGTCTGAAAAGATAAAGGGCGAGCCACACGACCATTTCTCTGGGGCGAAGCATGTTTGTTCGCCGCCGTTGCGGCATGAAGTCAAGGATCTGGAAGGCTTGTGGCAGAACATCGCCAACGGGACGTTCACCACTTTCTCCTCTGATCACGCTCCGAGCAAGTACGACCATCCTGGCGGAAAGCAACTTGGGATCGTCGACGGCGTGGCCAGATTCTCCAAGATACCAAACGGACTGCCTGGTGTTGAGACTCGAATGGCACTGTTATTTGGCCAGACTCCAGCTTGCCAGGAGGCAGCAACTGCGAAGCTGAGTCTGCCACGATTCGTTCAGCTGACGGCAACCAATCCTGCGAAGCTGTACGGACTTGATGGCGTCAAAGGTAGTATCGCGCCGGGGTATGATGCTGATCTGGTCATTTGGCATCCCGGCAAGACAGGCGCGACCACAATCTCGCAAAGCAGGCTGCATCATGATATTGATTATACACCATTTGAAGGGATCGAGGTCGGAAATTGGCCCAGATATACCATCTTGCGAGGCGAAGTTGTTTGGGATCAGTCGCGAGGCATTGTTGGTCAGATGGGGCAAGGTCAATACCTGAAGCGAGGAAGAGGTCAGGTGCTTGTGGGTAAGACTGGCAATATACCGCGGGGCATGACAATGAATGAAAGAAAGTACTGGGCTGCGTAGATATGAAAATATGCCACACTGGGTCTTGGTCGTTGTTCTGCGCATGCATGTGAGCGACGACGTGAGACGGGAGGAAAGTGCGGATGGAATGCCTGAGGCTTCGGCCTGGATTTCAAGACCAATCCATCGAGCATGACTCTTCTCTGCACTGGACAAGCATGAGGTGTTGGCCTCTGCCGTCATTGTCGCGCTCCTATCAGACTGGATATACGTGCATCTCTCGAAGAAGATTTACATCCGCTGGTAAAGTCGCGTGTAGGGCGAGCCTCACTACTCAATACACGAAGATGGCCACAGATTACACGTCCTGGTCCAATGCAGACCTGATCAGACGTGTCAGCGAGCTGGAGGAACAGTTACGATCGCAGAACACGAGGCATACGAACGGACACTCTTCTCGAACATCACCCGCTCCCCCGAAGAAGAAGCCAAAGAAAGAACCCAAAAGGTTCGATGCGAGCAGATATCACACGCGCCTGATCGCATTAAAGTTTGCATATCTCGGTGGAAAGTACAATGGCTTCGAGCATCATGCGAACAATACGACGCCTCTACCAACGATTGAAGAAGAGCTGTGGAAAGCAATGCGAAAGGTGAAGCTCATCTTCCCTGAGCATAAACCTGGGCAAAGTGAAGAAGAGGTCTGTTGGGACGGCATTGAATACAGCAAATGCGGCAGGACAGATCGTGGCGTGAGCGCGTTTGGACAAGTTATAGGCGTACGAGTTCGCAGTGCGAGGCCGAAAAAGCAAGCAGCGCCCAACGAAGTGAGCGCTGGCGCAGAGAGTCAAGGCGCTGACAGTCCTATGCCAGATGCTGTTAAGGAGCCTCCGCCACCAGAAAAAGAGTTTGATCCTATACGAGACGAGCTCCCCTACATCCAGCTCATCAACCGTGTCCTGCCCTCCGACATTCGTATCCTTGCATGGTGTCCCGACCCTGGCGAAGATTTCTCCGCTCGCTTCAACTGCAAAGAGCGAAGGTATCGTTACTTTTTCACGAACCCAGCTTTTGCACCACTGCCTGGCAGCAAGCCAATCGAGAATAGTAAACCTGCAGAGGGATATCTTGACATCGAGGCAATGAATGTTGCAGCGAAGAAGTATGAAGGATTGCACGACTTCCGCAATTTGTGTAAAGTCGATCCCAGCAAACAGATCACGAACTGGGAGCGCAGAATATTCCATGCTGGTATACATGAAGTGGACCCGCACCACAATGCGGTAAGTGATGGCGCATCGCCAAAGCTTTACTACTTCGAAGTCCGTGGCAGTGCATTTCTATGGCACCAGGTCCGCCATCTCGTTGCCGTGCTGTTCCTTGTCGGTCAAGGCTATGAACAACCTAGCGTCGTGGATGATTTGCTTGATGTTCAGAAGACACCAGGCAAGCCGCATTATGAGATGGCGAGTGACGTTCCACTCGTGCTCTGGGATTGCATATTTCCCGACAAAGAGCAAGTTCTGAATGCCGATCACGCTGCGGATGATAGCGCAACGAAGTCCAGCTACCAGGACGCCATGAACTGGGTGTACATCGGTGAAGAAGCTGGCGGCCGAGAGCAGGCCAAGCGGTCAACCACTGGTGTTGAAGATGGTAAGCACGGGCGCAATGGCATCATGGACGAGCTCTGGGGCCTTTGGCGCAAGAGGAAAATGGACGAGGTCCTAGCGTGGAGTCTGATGAACGTTGTTTCGGCACAAGGGCAGAAGCCAGTCATCAGCGAAGTCGGCTCCCGGCCTATTGAACAAAGTGCTCGAGTCTTCGATGGCAGTGCTGTGCCTCGAACAGTCGGAACGTATATTCCACTGGCGAAACGCGAGCAGATGGAGACTCCAGATGCCGTCAATGCGCGCTACGCGGCGCGGAAAGGCCTAATGGGAAAACCAGCGCGTGATGTAGACGCTGATGAGTAGTCCAATTGATTTGGTTACAAATCCCACACTCATCCAGATTTTGGTTCGTACAGGCAAGCCCTGGCTCCTCTCCAGACTTGTTCCAGTAATTCACGTCGTGGTAAAATGCTCTGCTCGACTCCGTTAGAAAGTTCCAGTACGCGCCTCACTTGATACGGGATATACCGGGAAAACAACAACAACATCTTCCTCTCCCTCGACAACAATGCTTAAATAGTACCTGACCTCAAATCCTTTGAATGCCTCGTAGATGAAAATGTCTTGAATCAAGCTTGTGGGGATGAACCTGGTAGAGTTGGTCCAGAGGTAATTAGGACTACTGGTCGTAGTTTGGACTCCAAGACCTCGAATGACCAAAAGCGACTCCTCAGTATGCCCTCTTCGGAAGATGAGCAAGAATGTAATGAGATATATCGCGAGTCGCCAGGGGCCAGATAGGGAAGTGAAGAAGAGATATTTTGCGACCTGTCCGAGTGGACTGTGAACTACGAGAGACACCAATGAGTTTCCAGCATCCTGATGCTCAGCTTGCTTGTTCAAGGCTTGGTCGTATTCGAGCACGAGAGAGGCGAGAATGAGAAGACCAGCGAGGATCCGGAGTGACAAGGATATCGTGGTTCCGAGGCGTGATATTATGGTCTTGCTTGGAGATTGTGTCGATACAGTGTAGAGAACCGTCGTTTCCGTGGGTCGTTTCGTGGTGAGCATGATGGGGAAAATGAGAAATGCTACGATTGGGATGGAGTGCGATGTGATGTTGAACCTGAGGCTTGATGGGGGTCGGCGATAGTTTTACTCATTGGCTCGCTTAGACAAGACGCTAGCGGATGCCTCCTTCCAACTGACCTCGCCTCTTGATCTTGGCAGAATGGTCATGGCTTTGGCATGCAGCCTGATGCTTGCTATGCTTTTTCTGTGTCATGTTCCGCTGGAATCCTTCTCGTCGGTCATGATAAAGCTAATCCGGAATTCGGCTCCGTGGGACTGGAATGACCACGAAATGCTCATGCCACATTCGTCCGGCTGCTGCGGGAACTACTTCATGTCTGGCCAAGAAGACGCTACAATGCCGTTCTATCCTGCTCGCCGATGTTGGCAACGATACACAGCATGTGTGCAAATGAGATCGGATCAGGACGTACTGCCCTTGCATGTGATTTCTACAAAGCCGCATGCGCTGCTTAGATAGCCCGCTAGGAGACGAATACGGGCTGCAGGTGGTCTACAGATGCTGAATATATGTTAGGGCTTCAAGAAGTAGTCTATCGTTCGTTGCTCGCGCCCAACAGAATTCTTGTTGTAGTACAGTTGATACTATCAGACGTGAATGTCGTGAGAATTATGTTCCAGACAAACAGCACCATAAGCCTGATTGTTCGTCAGAAACACGAAGTGTTTGAAGCTAACTATAGGAGTCATACCATCATGCAAGCATTACTGACGCCTAGCCATAACGCCACGCTTTAATTCATTCCCAAACGCAAAGACGTCGGTGTCTGAGCGCAGCCGTATCTGTAACGACGGCTTGTAGGTATCATTGCCCTCAAGGCAACCAACTCCGTACTGCTCCTACCACCATTGTGTTGCTGCAAATGCCCAATCTCATGCAAATGAGACAAATCGTCCTCAGTCCTCCCAGCTCTTCTCCACAGTCTCTCGAACTCGCTTCGTGTATTCCTTTCGGTTGTCTTTGTAGAGGTTGCTCGCTTCCACGTTCGCCGGACTCGATGTGTTCGGATCGTTCAGGAGACTAGTTAGTGATCAGTCAGTATCGTTACAGGGCAAGCGCCCATATATAGCCCTGAGAGGGCCTGTTTCGTATCCACTCACCTTTGAACACTCGTCAGAATAGCCGCGACATCGTAGGTCGGACTCCATCTGTTCTGCAAGATATCCAAGCACAGCTCTCCGGTTCCATACACGTTTGGGTGAAACATTTGGCTGATGAATTTGACTCCTGGAGGCTTATTCGGATACTGCTCCTCGAAATGCATCACGAGTCTGAATGTGCCGTCTTCGAATGGTGTGTCTGAAGGCCCGATGATGACCGCGTTCCTGTGCACCAGCTTAGCCCGTGTTCATGATCTAAGCGACCTTTTGTGCTCGTCGCCATTCGACCTCGACCTGAGTCCGGGCTGTGCGATCGAGCTTATGCTGGGGAGCCATACCACGTCATCACATTGTCTGCGATGGGACTTGCGCTGACACCAGCTGGAGGGTCGGTTTGCATGCGCTTGAAGTCGCGCATCAGTCTTCTCCGCGCTGCCGTGGACATGTTGACTGCTGTTCTTTCTCTCTTTCCAGCCAACTCTTGCTCACAGCTCGATTCTCGTGCCTGGTTTCTCGTTTGCCGCTTGCTGGGATGTACAGTGTTGGTGTGATGTGGACCTCAACGTAGGTGAGTATGTTTGTTCGTTTGCGGTCGAAGATGAAGATGCGGTGTGGGCGTGTCGAGTCCGGCTGTGGTAGAATCCGATCGAAGTCCTGGCCTGGGTTGACGGCACCCGTCACTGCCTTCACCGTGATGAGTTATGAGTGGGGCAAGGCACGTGCTCAGCAGGAGCAAGTGCCGAACCGCCTTCCCCGGCCGGTGGCTGTTTTCAGGGTTCTCGTTCACAAATCGCCCAAGATACATCAATCATGTTCACTTCGTCGCAAAGCAGATATATTGACGCTTCAGAGACAGATACACGATCGCGTTCAAAGCTATCAACACAAGAACTGACCTCCTCTCACGAATTACCGCCTTCGTCCTTCCACCTCCTAAATTTCTCCTTAGAGAGCCCTCCTCCCGTCATATCAGTCTCATATCGATACACCCTCATCTGTGTTGCATAGTCTTGTGGGTTTGTTCGTGCATATCGGTTCGGCAACCGCTTGAGTCCAGTTTGACGATCCCCGAAGAACATTCGGAGTGGCTGAGCTTCGGGCCTCTGCATATTTCTGGTAGAATCTCCTTCGCTCAACGCAGAGCTATCGATACAGTTCCCGGGGCACGAAAACCGCTGGCATAAGCAGTGCACTTGTGGCGTGGAGCCCCAGCCTCGAAAGCGAGTGCGTAGTTCGTCATTCTTGCTGGCAAGCTCTTGCTGCTCCATGGATGGCTCATAAAATGATGGCAACATTGCTGGTTTTTGCGGATCAGAGTGGCAGTGGCAGGAGCGTTTAATGTCGGCTTGACGCCGACATCATTCACGACTACCTTGTCAAACCATCATCTCGAAAGCCGCCACGAGCCGCATGCAATACCAGCACTGCGCAAGTTAAGATGATTTGCATCAGCGTCCGTGCCAGAATTCGTCCAAGTGCTGCTGGCGCACTTCGAAAGCCCAGTGGTGGCAGGTCTGATGCATGACGGGTGAAACTTCAACACCCTCCTCATCTTCTCCATCATCGAACACAGTCCTGACACCTGCCTGGCCATACTTCTTCAGCAACATCCGTCTCCACCTGCCTGTTTCGCCAACGCACTTCTTCCATCGGGACACCTGCCTATCGTCGTCTTCACATCTTCGGCCTCGGAAAAACCTCGTATACCATTGGAACCAGCCTCGCACATCGTGCTCATGAGATATCCAGCCTGCAGCCTCCCATTCTTCGATGGACTGTCCGCACGGCACTTTGTACTTGTTCACATCGGGATCATACTGCGGACTGGTCAAGAATCGTTCCACATTCAAGCCCGAAATCCAGGGCTCCGGAATTTCTTTCCAATCGTCTTCGACTATGATCCCAAGCTTTCTCGATCGAAGAGGGCGATAGTACGATCCTCCGAAACAGCCTTCTCTCAGCATTTCCTCGGGCGACTTGTTCGGCGTGAAGTCTGGGTAGTCTTCGAAGTGGAAAACTTGATCTCCATCTCTGGTTGGAGGAGAAGCCGTCGACGACCATGCAGTCCAGCCCTCACGGATCTCATCGATGTTCTTGCTTGGCACCAAAGGCTCATCCTCGCCTTTGACTATTGAGCCTAGATTTGAACCACCGGTCTTGCCCTTCTTCACCGCCGACCGAGGTAAAGCTATAGGCCGTGCTATCTCGTCTTCGTTATAACTTGGCTTTGATGGCGCTGCTGCTATCCGAGCCGAGCTCCTCGCTGGCGCAGTCTGTTCTTGAAAGACCTTGCGCTTCTTGGCCGGTGGTTTGCCATCAGTATTCCGCGCTACCTTAGGGACGACAGGTTTGATATCGAGATCAGCAAGCAATTTCTGATTCTGCTTGATCTTCTCAAGCCGCCGCGTCTCGTAATCATTCATGATTCCTCCACCACTTTCTGTTGTCATAAGAATGAAAAGTTAAAGGCAAGGACTGATGGACAGCTGGAGCTACGATGGTACATGTACGAGTCTACAATTATGACGTCACGCGTTACAACGCGTCCCCATTTCATTAACGATGTACTGTAGCGGTGGTAGCATCACATCTATGTCTAAGCAATAACACCATTTGCATCTTTCTCTTTCTGCTCTTCTCGCTCCTTCGAGTGCTGACTGAGTCTGCCAGCGTGCACATCTTCGAGCACATTCTTCACTTCTTTCAAGAATCGAGTAACTTCAGGCTCCGTCCCAACAGTGACGCGGATGCACCCCAGACACCCTGGTTCTTTACCTCTGAAGCGAACCACAACTCCTCGTCGCTCTGCAAGCCTTTCATATACTTGCAAGGCGACCTCATTACTGGGTTTACCGGCAGAATCGGTCATCTCCACAAGCAAGAAGTTGCTTGCCGTCCCGCCCCGGAAGCGTCCAACGCCTGTAATCTTCGGCATCTCTGACAGAAGTCTGTCTCGTTGCTGGATGATCTTTTCACGGTTCTTGTGGCCTACTTCGAGATTTTGAGGCTGCAGTGCCTGAATGGCGAGCTGTGAAGTCGGATTCGGGATGTTGTAGGGGGCTTTCATGTTGTTAAGCAAAGTCGCCACCTCTGGGCTTGCAAAGGCTGCGCCCAAACGAATACCAGCGAGGCCAAAAGCTTTCGACATTGTCTGCATGACTACAAGGTTGGGCCACTCCGCCACCCATTCGGCGAGCGACGTGCCTTCGGGTGCGAAATCGATGTAAGCCTCGTCGAGAATAACAAGACCGTTCCATGTGGGGTGCTCCAGAATTTTCCGAACAGCTTCCTTGTCGACGAGGTTGCCAGTGGGGTTGCCAGGGCTGCAAAGGTAAACCATTTTAATCGATGGATCGGCCGACAGTGCCTCGTTGATCTTGTCCGGTTGTGCAGCAAAGTCGTTGTCGACATCTAAAGGCACCTTCACGATACCAACATCGTTCACTTGGGCGGATACGCCATACATGCCATATGTAGGCGGACAGGTGACGATCTTGTCGTGGCCAGGTTTGCAGAATGCTCGCAGCAAGGCATCGATAGCCTCATCGCTTCCAACGCCCACGAATAGGTTCTCTGGTGTCAGATTCTTCTTGGTGTGAACGTGGGTGTTTCTCAGATTAATCAGGTGCTGTTTCAATTCGTGCTGGTGACTGTCTCATCGTCAGTATATGTGTATGCGTGAGTCACAGAACAGTGAAATCTTCACATACGGATCAGGGTATCGATTCAGACCAAGCAAATCGATCTCAATGCTGGAAGAGGAGCCATTGGCGAGCTTGCCGTCATTGTTCAGCGCCAAACCAGGTCCAAAGGCGTTCTCGTTGGCATCCAAAAGAATGTTGGTGCCGTCATCCTTGTAGTCACTTTCGAAGTGCAATGTCAGCCATTGAGTTCTGTGAAGTGATGGTCAACAAGCGAAACATACTCTCTGGCACATCTGTAAGGCTCGAGAGCCAGGATGTTGGGCCTCGCGCACTTTGCTAGGTCGAATGGCATCTTTGTATTTGGTTGTCTCGAACGTTCAAGATGCGCATTTTGGTCTAGCAGGGACGCATCGGCGGATGCAGTTCTTCCGAGACCCGACGTGAGTCTTTCCGACTGTCCGAGACGCTATGCATGTGATGCCTACAGGGGTGCGAGCGTGTGGCAGTGTCGTCGCAAAGAGTTCTTACAAATTCCGTCACCCGACACTTTATCATATTTGTTATACGGAGCACGAAGTTCTACTGCCTGTGATCTTCCAGCGGCCGTTCGGGGCTTTCAAACGAGCGACGATCGGGAAACCGCGGATAGGCCGAACATGTCAACGTTCCACAGCACGCGTCAAACTTGATTCGCAACAACGACGTAACCACCTTTTCCTTGTCGGCACGCGTCGAATACCTGCGCGCACATCTTTCGACAACCGCTTATTCAGTATAGCGGACGACTTCACTGCACGCATCCTCACCACCTAAGCAATCCAACCCTTCCCCGTCAGCTCCGCAGCGGTCCGGCAGCTGCGCACACGGTGCATATTGCGCCAGCACCTGCAGCAGCTCTACCCAAAATGTCGTCGCAGTACCAAATTCCAAACACGCCCCGCGTGATCTCACCTTCACCGACACCCTCCGAGACCAGCGGGAAAGAGGGCTACTTTCCCCCAACGACGCGGTCAAAGGGCAAGCGTGCGAGCGCGTCAGTGGAGCCTATCGAGGAGCACGCGACCGATAAGCACAATGAGCTCGGCGTTCATGAGGAAACAGATCCCGACTTGATGCGCGCCAGGAGCAGAAGTCGCAGTCCGCAGATCAGACGAGAGTCGTTAAGAATGACAGCGAATGCGAATGGAACTACGACTGGAGCGAAGACAGCTCTGCCGCCCAATTCCGTGAAGACGAGACGGAAATTAGACGAGAAAGCACTCACGAATGGGTCTGCGAAAGAGCCTGCACAACAGAATGGACTGCTTTCGCCGGCAAGCGCAGTTCCACAAGGCTTTGGATCAGCATATTGGCGAAACTTGTCCCGAAGTCCCAGCCCATTTGGCCTAATCCCCATACATCGCGAATGGCGTGCATTCGTTCACAAGCATGAAATACCACGCAAGGTGCTGCATGTCAGTATTGGGTTCTTGACGCTCTTCTTATACTACCAAGGCGCCCAAACGAGCTCAATACATCCTCTTCTTCTCGGCCTGGGGATACCGATATTCTCGGTCGATTTGATTCGTTTTCGATGGCCGGAGTTCAACAGGATATACATACGATGTCTGGGCGCATTCATGAGAGAAAGTGAGGCGCACGATCGATACAACGGAGTCATTAGCTACATCGCAGGCTTGTGGGTAGCTATGTACTTTTGCAGGAAAGATGTGGCTGTCATGAGCGTTCTGCTTCTCAGCTGGTGCGACACGGCCGCGAGCACGTTCGGAAGACTCTGGGGAAAGTATACACCTAGGATAAGGCGGGGAAAGAGTTTGGCTGGATCTCTCGCGGCCTTTGTGATCGGAGTGGCCAGTGCGTTGTTGTTCTGGGGTCTCATTGCCTCGAATACGCCGGAAGAATACAACCAGGGTGTGAATAGCTTCGCGTTCCAAGGCGTTCTCACTCTACCTGCTCCAGCGAGAGAGTACCTGGGACTGAGTCCGAAGCAGGCCACGATCGCTGGTCCTTTGGCACTAGGCGTCATGTCCGTGGTTTCTGGTTTGATCGCCAGTATCAGCGAGGCCATCGACTTGTGGGGCTTGGACGACAACCTGACGATACCTATGTTATGTTCGGTCGGCCTGGGTGCCTTCTTATGGGCTTGCGGGAGCAGCTGATAATTGTTGATAGTAATAATGCACATATCACGACTCTTGTTACGACCAAAACTCTTTCATGTATCCGGTCCGAGCATGCGCGCGTAGCGCCGAGAATTCTATACGGAATGTTATCTACCTTGTCCAACAAGCAACCATGTATGCGGAGTGCCTCGACTGGCGGCGAAGCGGACTACTGGCGGCCGTTTGACGATGATCGCCCAGCAGTTTGATTCGCATTATTACCGCCAGCACACTGCGCCTGCAGTGGATGGGCTTCCGTATTGAACACCCACGCTGACAGATCCACAACGCTCCCATCGACAAAGGTCAAGTAGAGATACTTCAAAACTTCAGCAAAGAAGAAACTATCGAGGTTGTTGCTCATAGAGCCACCTACGTGCATCAGCATCTCCCCATTTCAACGCCAAGTTTCAGAAAATGACTTACCATACGGCATATCAACATTATTCACCGCAGCAAAAGCTTCAGCTGTCCTCGCAGTCGTATTAATCGCCTGGAAAATTCGCCAATTCGCATCAGCCCATTTCTGATCACCCGTAATTCGATAAGCGTAGAAGACACTTTCCAGCGGCTCAGGTCTCGAAAACCAATTCTCCAAATTATTCGGAATGAACCAGCCTCGTGCTGCGGCAGAACGAAGAGCTGCAGCATCGTTCTGGAAATTCTTGTTCACTGTATTGCCTTGCTGGTCGGACCAAGACCACACGAGAGGCCCTAGACCTGTGGTGGAGGTGTTGTACAAATGATAGCAGCCTGCTGTCCAGTCCACACCCAGCTGAGTGATCTTTGGATCGTCTAGGAGAGCTCCACCAAGCAGCCAATTCCCGCCTGCGAAGCATGAGAAATCATCTGCGAGATTGTCTACTGTGCCGTTTTCGGATAAACGAGATACGAAGGAGAGTTGATTGAAGCCTCGAGGGTGGATGACCAGGTTGTCGATTGTGGTCTGCGTGGCTTTGACCCAGAAATCTTTGTATTGTTGTGCGACGTTGGATGGGGCGTATTGGTAGTATTTGATGAGGTACTCCAAGAAGCTGTCGACTCCTGCTTGCCAGCCGCCGTCTTTTGTGAGCATGTTACCGGTTTCAACATCGAATTGTGTGCCGATTAGGTTGGTCAAGGCAGGTGCGGGTGAAGGGTTGATTAAGTAGCTGTCTGCTTTTTCGACGATTTCTCGATAGCTTGAGTTTCCTGTTAGATCAGACAGCCGGCCCCACTCGAGGAGGAATGTTCCTATGGATGCTGCGTTGGTTGAGTTGTAGGTCGTGTTTGTGACTGGGTCTGTATAGGTGTCGTAGACTGGCTCATTAGAAGTGAAGTTGGCAAACGCAGCGGGAAGGCCTGAGGGCGTATTGAAGCCATACGCAACTTTATCGGCAAGTATTGTAGCTTGTGTTAAAAGCATATCGATCTTCTGCTGGTCGTATGTGCCGAATTGGCCGCTCTTGATGAGGTCGTAGGCACCTAGCAGTCCGCCGATGTAACGAATGTTGGTTTCTGAAAGGCCATTAGTAGAAACCACAAGAAAACGTCACTTCTGTATCTCACCAAACAGATTCACGCCTTCATCCGCCTCAACGAACTCCGTCTTCGTGAAATCAACTCCCGAAATAAAGTCCAACATATCATTCACAATGTCCGTCAATCCCATAATAATGGCAGTATCAATGGAATCGACAATCGTAAGCCCCCAGCCATATCGATTATTCGTACCATTCAAAGCCAGAGGCCCCAACTCGTCGAATCCATTCGCATACTTGACATAAGCATTCCAGCCATGCAAGAAAGCCTCCTTCACAGCAGCAGCTCTTGTCTCATCAGCTCGGATATTCGAAGACTGCACATTCTTGCAGGAGCCGATGCTGTTAGAACTGGTGATAGGACTGGTAGTATTCTTGCTTGGAACAGGCGGTACAGGCGGAGCTTTCGTAGCAGCGGGATTATTGTAGACGGTTCGAGTGATGGTCAATGTCGGTTGTTGGCCGTAGCCATTCGGAGCTGCGGGTGCTGAAGGCTGCTGTAGCGGAGGAGAGTAAGCGGCGGGACTATCGAGATTCAAAGCTAAAGCGGCAGTTGCCAGACAAAGAACGAGTGGAACGCGTGCGAACATCGCGAAACGAAAAGACTGTGGAGAATGAATGAATGTGTGAATGCTTCCTACCTGAGAATTGCGTTCTCTAACTTGCACACCATCGGAGTTGTAGATGTGTAGTCCTGGTGACCTCCGTGCTTCGTGCATGGTACATATTCATAGCCGCAATTTCTTGGTGCATGGGGCTCCTGGACGTCAGACGTGGATGTCAGCAAATGCCAGCTTACAGACCTGGATTACCTGCTCCATTCTCAACCGGATGTCCCATGTTCGGTAGTACTCGCGAGCATCCCGTTGCTGGCGCAGGCGATTCCACTACAAAGTCATTGTGTCTTAGGAAGTAGTGGACAGTGAGTTGACAGTTGGCCTGGGTCTTGGCGTGAGGCTTCGTATTCCTTGCTATTGCATGACATGCTGTTTCAGATGCAAGGATTCGGCCACCGAATGGTCGCGTGTACTGACGACATACTGCTCTCGTCTCCGCTCGAGTAAGCCGTACGAGACAGCGAGAAGTCGAGACATTGACCAGAACGTCAGATGGGCAGCGGAAACGATTCAGAGGGCAGTCTGCACTGTAAATATGCATTGCTTCGAGTTATTCGGTTTCACGGGAAATATCTTGCTATCACAACTCGCTCTTCTGATCTTGACTATACATTCTGCCGTTACTTCGTGGACTTCATGCTCTTTTCCGCGATGTACATACTAGTTATCGACAACGCTAAACTTGAATTTGGCGTAGTTGACGATCGGAGGCGTGGTGGAGGAACCAATCTGGTATTCCTGGCGGCCCCATGCTGGGTTGTTGACGCCGTCGATCCACTGAGAAGCTGTCAGTCGCGCACTAGAACAAATAAAAGCGGAGGACTTACATCTTGTGTCTCAATCACAATGCAGCCGTACTTCTCGACATAAGTTGTGCTGCCTTCGATATGCTGCTGGCTCTGCTTGACTGGAATGGTTCCGTTCTGTCCGTTGCAGGTGTAAATTTGGACACCATTCTGGTCTGTCTCGACGGCCAATTGAATTCCCGTTGCTCTGTTGCACAAGTCAGTTGCTGCTGAAATTCACTTTTGCGTACTAGTAAATGACTTACGGCGACCAAAGCTTGAGCACTTCGAGGCTCGGATCTTTCTGTGAAGCATATGGTGAGCGATCAGTGATGAACGCATTGTCGACTCCCGTGCAGCCAGTTCCGCACGCGCCCTCGGTGTTTGGAATGTTGTCGCCAATAACAGTTCCAGGCTTTGTGAAGTCGAGACCTGTGCCTTCTGTAAGACCAATGCTGCCATTTGGAATCAGAATGCCATCTGTTTGGATGTAGCGCTTGGCGTATGGCAGCTCAAGTGTATCGTTCAAAATTGTCTTTGCGTCCTCATTGACGTAAGCGCCCAAGTTCCAATAGACATGATTGGAAAGCATGATGGGTGTGGCATCGTTGATCGGGATCGAGACGAGGCGCGAGGTCCAAGATCGGTCGTCCTCGAGAGTGTATGTAGCAACGTTGAGCACATCACCCGGGAAGCCTTCCAGACCAGCGTCGTAGAAGCTGAATGTAATGCTGTTGTTTGTATGGCTGACGACTGTCCAGTTGCGCTGGTCATATCCAACATCGCCACCGTGTAATGTGTTGATCCCGTCGTGCTCATTCTTGGGGATATCGGAAGTCTCGCCGTCGAGGGTGAAGGTGCCGTTCTTGATGCGGTTGGCATAACGTCCTACGATGCATCCAAAGAAAGTGTGGTTGGTCTCGGAGTCTTCCAGATAGCGGGCACCTTCATCGTAGCCGACAGCAACGTCCTGCGGGTTTCCGTTCTTGTCGGGAACGTAGAGATGTGTCAAGCGCGCTCCGTAGGGAATGAAGGTCGCATTGATGCCCTCTGCGCTGATGGTATATGCCTTGAACGCATCGCCTGAGAATTCCGGATACGGCGCAGTTGTCGCACCGCCATAACCACTCTGCGCCGACACGACAGTCGCTGCGACCAGTAAGCAGCTCACGGAGGACAACATGTTGAAGTTCGATCAATGCAGTTGCCAGTAGCGACGAGCACGGCACAAAAGTCAACACAAGAGAGGGAAGCTTCGGACAACGCTGACCTCACCGCGCCCACGGCCGAGCTTTTATAAGCTCTCTAGTTAATAGGTTCATGCTTCTGCAGGAACCAAAAATGAGCTGGAGCTTGTGCATGCATGGTTTTTCCAGCGGTGCAACGTGGAGATGGGCGCATGAACATCCCTGGCGCGCCCGTGGTTGGTGCATCGCCTCGCTTGAGCGCCTGATTCGATGCTCACTGCTCGCCGCGTGGTGCGCGTGCGGAGAAATGCATATTGCTGCTCACGCCGCAGGATGACATGGAGCGTCTTTTGGGTTAAGATCAGAGTGAAGGTGACGGAAGAATTGAAACGCTCCAATCTCGTCATGTGCTGGTGGAGCCGGCTAAGATCGTCTGCCGCTCGTACCGGAAATGAACCGGGGACGTGGAGTAGTTAGAGTGTGGAGAGGCAAGGAGGGCATCTCACACACAAACCATTGTCTTGCACGTTGTCACACCGCATTGTTCTTATGCTGCTGTCTCCCATTCGGACGATATGTAACGCTACAGTATACACACTCATAGATGCCCGATCTAAAGAGCCAATGCAACATAGGAAAACGCTCATTACACGCGACACATCGCCCTCTACCAGCACCACCACCAGCTTGCACATCAGTCGTAATATCCTCTACACTCCATCATCAGTCATGTGAACGACATTCTTGTTCGTCCACGCCTGCCAAGTATCGCACTGCTCAGTCATCTGTCGTGGAATTTGCATCTGCTTGATATCCTCCGGCCTCTCGATAACAGTCCAGACGAACCCGGCTGCCGAGTGCCATGTCAAATGACAATGCCTAGAAAGAGCAAATTGTTAGAATCGTCTCAACAATACCAGAAACTCCAGAAAATTACTCACAAAGTCCAAACCCCAGGGTTATCCTGCAGCCACTGGATCACAATATACTCCCCAGGCAGGAGCATAAACACGTCTCTCCTCAACGGATTCTCCGGATTCACAATATGTCCATCCCAGCAATTACCATAGTCTCGATCAGGAGCTTCTATATCAGCCGCAGCGACGCCATCAGTGCGACCGAAGACGAAGTTATTATCAGTGCAAGGACCTTCCGCCAGAATAAACATGTTGTGGCCGTGAAGATGCATCGGGTGAGGCATTTTGCCCGTGTTCTCAATCACCATGAGGATCGAATTGTTCGTGCCGTAGTTGTGAGCGTTGAGGATTGAAGGGAAGTCGAGGTTTCCCTTCTGAGCTTCCATGAGCATAGGTTTGTTGTAGTCGGTGCGGAAGGTGCGGCCTGCCATGTACCAGAGCAGATGCGTGCCGTTGACTTGGGCGGAGATGGGAATCACGCTCTTGGATTCTGGCATGGGAGGTGTGATTTTGTAGAAGGGCACACTTTGTGCCAAGTCGTCGTTTCCACAGTAGGTGTTGTAGGCATTGGGTCCGGGCATCGAGATTGGTAGAGCTTCAGTGTCTGCGTTTTCGTAGTAGATCGCGGCTCTGGCTTCTGTCTGACCTTGTGCTTCACTGCAAGGCGCGATGAATGAGCGCATCCAAACGGCGCTGGAGGGGTCTCTGTTGAAGGTGACGAGGATGTCGGTTCGTTGTCCGACGCTGAGAGTGACGTGATCGGTCTTGTATGGCACGACTGGCACAAAGTCGTTCGCAATGACTGTCATCTCGTGATCATCAATAGTGAACTTCATGGTTGCTGAACATGCTGCTGAGATCAGTCTGAAGCGATAAGTCTTGCCTGACTGGATACTGAAGCCTGCAACTGAAGCGTTCATCGCGCCATAGTATGGGTTCAGTCCGTTGATGAGGACATTGTCTGACGGCGGAATCTTCGCGTTCGGGAAAGGCGCCATGAGGTCGTCTACCAGATCTTGGTAGTATGCGTGTACCCAATCGCCCAGCATTACTGGTCCGAGGTCTTCATCGTACTCTGCGTTTGTAGGTCCATAGATGACGATAGGTCCGTAAAAGCCGTTGGCCGACTGTCCGTCAAAGTGTGAGTGGTACCAAGCACTTCCGTACAACTCGGCTCGAGTTCGGTAAACGAATGTCTCTCCTGGAGCGATAGGGCATTGATGTACCCCAGGAACACCATCCATGTACGGCGTGCCTTTTTGCAGAAAGCCGTGTAAGTGTATCGCCGTCCCTTCATCTAGCCTGTTCGTCACTGTAATCTCGATGTTGTCTCCCCAGTTGGCTTCGATAAGAGGACCAGGAAACTGATTGTTGACGAGTATACATTCCATGTCTACTCCATCAGGAGCACATTGCCCTCGTGCGATCTCGAACACGTAGTATCGAGTGACGCCAGTTTCCGGCCATGTTTCGTAGTAATTTGTGTTGTTGGCTGTCATATCGCCCCACGGTATTGCATCGGGCGCGGCTCCATCGTTCTCCAGCCATGGTGGGAGGTGTGTTCCATTCAAGTGTTGTAGTGCTTGCGGGTGTCAGCTCTTTTCGTAAGGATGATGGTGTCTATCAACTTACTGCTAGGCCAATGAGCAGCCGCCTGCCTGATTCCCAGTGCTAGCACTGCAGCTTTTGCCAAAGACATGCTGGAGGATTGTGTTATGCCGCAACGACGGACAATACCATCGACAGTGATTGTGATCAACACAAACACTCTGTTGCTGGTCTTGTTCTCAGGAAGTGATGTTGCTTGAGCGAGTTTGAGCACCTGTCAACTGCAAGTACTCTTTTGTATAGTGCAGAATGGTGTCCACACCACTAAATACATTGGAATTGCCATGGTTGCGACACTGCAACCTGGGCAACGCACAGCACAAACGATTGCCAGCCTTCTGCAACGAGGCAGGTGATCGAATCGACAATGCCTGGGCTTGCGGTACGCCGTACGTTGGTAAAACGATGGTGTTGCCACACGATTAAATGCCCCAGTAGTTGAACCAAGTCAGCTGTCAGATCCACCGGAGAGGCTGTAGTCACCATGGCAAGGCAAAGGGTGGCCAGCTTGGTCCGCGGAGTCGTTGCGTCTCTCGAGCGACGCGCCGTGATTGATCCTTCGAGCGTTGAAGAACTGCCCATTGCAACGGCTTGCTTACTCTAGATAGCAGACAATGTACCCGAGAGCCTCGAAGAGACATCAGCATGCGAAATGCAATAAAGTGAAAACTTGTTCATCGATCGTACAAATGACTGTTTCCTCTCTGTGCTATCAGTGTCATACATCTCGATGGCAGCCAACGCCTATCAAGGCCGTTGATAAGTCCGCATTTCGGGTGGCTGAACGTTGGAAACGTCGGCAGCGGCGCCATACGACGACGCCGAGTGCAAAGAGATAGATAATGCCATTATTAGACGCCTCTACTGATCGTAACCATATAGCAGCTCATACTTCTGGCCTTGTGCTTCGAGCGCATCTTCGAGCACTTGCATGCCAGCGATGACCTTCTCCTCTTCAAGTCTCCTACCAACAAGCTGGACCGCCACCGGAAGTCCCGCCATTTTCACAGCATCGTAATGCTTGTACGCACCTCTTGCAACGCCGTTCATTTTGCTGACATTGACACTTGGTGGCAAGATGTCTTTGCTCGGATCTACGTGTGTCACGGGCACGATACCGCAGGAGTAGTCCAGCAGGTTGAACAGGAAAGTATAGCCACAAGATGCACTAGCCTCTTTCATGCCATTGTGCGGGACTGCCGGTGTAGCATTTGGAGGCGTGAGGATAAAATCCATGCCGTCGCCGAACTCGCCGAAGGTATTCCACCACGCATGGAATTTCGCCTTATAGACTTCTCGCTTGGCGACCCATTGCCAGTTCTCGTGAGCGCTCTTCGCGTGCCAGTGCTCCAGGAGGCCAGCCCAGATCTCATCACGCTTGATATATTTGACGTAGGCATACCAGAACCATTTGAGGAATCGAGGAAGACGCATGTATCGGCCGAACTCTCGAGCACCCGGATCATCTGATTCACCAGTGCGAAAGAATGATCGGAAGGTCTTGGTTCCATCTGCGTTGAGGAGGTTGCTGGCGATGACCATGGCTTCATATGGGCTTGGCGGCGATACGTTGAAGACTTCGTGGCCTTGAGCCTTGAGAGCCGCGACGGTGATATCCACTGCGCGAGCACAAGCTGGAGCCGGGTCGACCACCTGGTCGGATCTCATGACGCCAATCTTCAATTTCCTGTTGGAGATGTCGTCTCCCACTTCGGATCTCCAAGCAATGGGGTGTACCGACTGGTCATAGTTCCACGGCTTCATCTGTATCATGGCGCGAGTGAAATAGGCGAGATCTGGAAGTGTACGTGACATGGGCGAGAAGACAGAAGGGATGCCCTCCTGGCCAGGCATGCTGGTATCGATGCCGTACTTGGGCCATCGACCAGTACTGCATCGCAGGGAATAGCAGCCTGAGAAGTGCGCAGGAGCACGAACGGAACCAGCGACGTCTGATCCAATACCTATTCTACTGCCACCGAAGGCGAGGATGGCGCCTTCTCCACCGGTACTGCCACCTGGACTGTACTTTGGGTTGTGTGGGTTCAGACAGCGTCCCCAGACGTCGTTGAAGCTCTCGAAGCTCAGCAGGGTGATGGGCAAGGCGGTCTTGACGAATGGCACAGCACCTGCATCTTTGAGCAGACGGACAATGCCTCCGTCTGCCGGGTATGGTTTGCCGGTCTTGCACGAGTAGCCCACAGTGGTGTCGAAACCACCAACGACAATGCTGTCCTTGAGACTGACGGGTATGCCGGCCAGCGGCCCTTCCAGATTGATATCGCCTTTTTCGATCCAGCCTTCAGCTTCTCTGATCATGACCTCGGTCACGGCATTGGTCTTCGCGTGGGCCTTCACGGCAGCCTTGCCATAGGCTCGGAGCACGTCCACGGCGGAGGTGGATTTCGTTTGGACATCTTTGACCAATTGATCAATGGGGGCATCGAGGATGTCGGACTCGTCGGCGGTGATGGGTTGCTGGTATGGCTTGGGGAGGTTGGCAATGCGGGCAGCTCGCTCGTCCTGTTTCCGCTTGCTATGCAACAGGAGACGGAGCAGTTAGCATCATGTGCAGCTCATGACAGGATGCGGTAACACAGCGTGGGAGGAGTGGGGTTGGGGGTGTGGAATGCTCGAGGGTCAACGCGTACCACGCGGCGCGGTGCTCGAAGTAGTCGAACGGAGGAAGCATTGTGCCGACGAGTGGCCGTGTCAGAGCTCACGCTGGACTACGCTTCGCTTTTCTGCTGGCCGGTCTTCAATATGATTGTTATCATCCCACGGGAGAGCGTCAGACCAAGATGTGAGAGCGGTCACGAGAAGGTATAGGACGTGCGTGCCCCGCGTCGTGGTGGGTGAGTCGAGCGTGTCGTGGACCTCAGGCCCGGTGTCCAGCTCCCAAGGGCGCGTGGCCTATCCATACCGAGATAGGCGCTGTCATCGGCTGCAGCTACCGCATCAGGAAGGCGACGCTCACTGGAAGGTGCTTGTGGACATTGGCGGTGATGAGAAATATCATCGATGCAAATCAACAGTCCGAGGGAGCAATGGAACAACGTGAAATAGCGTGTCGAAGACATCGGCGTACACGGTCAATGGCATGTCTGTGAGCCAGCGCGCCGATTCTCCGACGCTCCGGGTGCCGTTCCTGCAACCTGGAGAACGACCAGATACGTTTTTCCTCAGACTACTATGCGACTGCCCATCGCACGCTCAACCATCAACAGCTCCTGCACTGGTATGCGACCTGCAACTTCCCAAATAGCAATGGCAACAAGAATCAAGATGCACAGACCTGTTCGGCGCCCGGATCTTCCCTCGCGACCATTGCGCCATACATAATCCCACTCCTACATATACCTTGCACTTCACCTCCTGTCCTTCCTCGTCTTCACCTCCTGTCCTTCCTCGTCTTCACATCCTCCCATGCATCGGCTCTGTGCAGCACGCCCAAGACCATATATCGTCCAAGAATGAAGTCGGCACTGTGCTACATTTGGCGCACCCGCCATCATAATGTACACCACGGCAACACGCCGCGCCCTGCCGGCTAATGTGTGCCGGGAAAGCAGCAGCTGTCGTCCAATGCCCAGCGCTTGATAGGATGACCAAGCGGAGAATGCACGCCCTTCTACCATTTGCTCTCCGATCACGGACCCGCAATAGCGGAATGACTCTATTCGGATCTAGCTGGTAGACATCTCTAAGCTCGGCAGGCACGCGCTTGCACTTTTTGTGTATCAGTAATTCTTGCTCCATCTCAATGATTAGTCGACGTCATGTCAAAGCCACACGAGCCTTACGATCAAGCCGAAAAGGGCGAGCGGGACCTTACATCCACTGCCGGCAGTGGCGAATCCTTCTCCTCGCACGACGATTTCGACCGCATCGAACAACATGAGGAAGCCTCGCTCCAAGATCCAGATGAAATACGATCCACCAAGTTGTCCACGACGAGGGCATCCCACGACCTCAGGAGAACTGCAAGCAATGTTCTCGCCAAGGTCGCCTCACGCTTGACCACGCATTCCATCGTAGATCCTCCTCCACCGCCAGATGGAGGTCTTCACGCATGGACGCAGGTCGCCATGGGTGCAATTTGTGCCATGACCACTTGGGGATTGGTCAATTCGTATGGCGCCTTCCAATCGTATTACACTTTGAACCTGGGCCTTCCAGCCTCGACTGTGTCCTGGATCGGCTCCGTACAGAATTTCCTGACATTCTTCATTGGTGTTTTCTCTGGACGCGCTCTCGATGCAGGCTTTTTCATGCCAGCACTCATTATTGGTGCGACAGTCCAGGTCCTGGGGATTTTTCTCACTAGGTAGCCATCCCATCGACCTAGACAAGTCGCTCGAACGATGGCTAATCAACTTTCAGCTTATCCACGCAGTATTGGCAACTGATGCTGACCCAAGGCATAATGACTGGCTTAGGCGGCGGGATATTCTTCACACCTGCCATGGGCCTGATTGGCACTTATTTTAGCGGCAGGCGAGCCTTAGCCATGGGCATGGCTAGCGCTGGCAACAGTGTAGGTGGCATAATGTAAGTCTCTGAAGGCCTTCGTATCCGTTGTTGCCGATCGTTGATGACTGAGTTCTCTGGTCACAATGTTGATTACAACTCTATCATACACACCTGCTCGAACCGACCAATTTTCTAACGATAAACCCTAGATACCCAGTCCTCGTTCAACAACTCTTGCCCAAGCTAGGCTTTGCTTGGACCGCTCGCGTTCTTGGGTTTCTGAACCTTGGCTTATTGATCATTGTCATGATCTTCATGCGGCCAAGGTTGCCACCTCGAAGATCAGGGCCTATCGTTGACCTGTCTGCATTCAAGGAACCGACGTATGTGTTCCTGACTGCGTGCTGTTTCTTCATAATATGGGCAATCTATTTCACCCTTTACTACGTAAGTTCTACTGCGAAGCTTGACTCATTCATGTGTGCTCACTGTCAACAGATTTCGTCCTATGCTATTGAGGTGGCGGGCGTTTCCTTCACCTCTGCTCTGAACCTCACAATCATCATCAATGGTGTGGGCCTACCCGCAAGAATCATACCGTCATTCTTCGCCGACCGTTTTGGACAGCTGAATACCCAGGTGCCCATTCTCCTCGTTCTTACGGTTGTCGCATTCAGCTGGATAGCAGTGCGGGACAACACTGGTCTTTACATCTTTACCGTAATCTATGGCATTGTTTGTGCCGCATTTCAAGGCCTGGTGCCATCTACGGTAGCGAGCATCACTCTGGAAATGAATAAATTCGGCACGAGGTTGGGCATGGCGTTTGGGATTTTATCGTTTGCCGCGCTCACTGGGCCATCGATCGGCGGCGCACTGCAGGGCGCGATGGATGGCAGTTATCTCGGGGCACAACTTTGGTCTGCCATAGCTACTGGAGCGGCATTCGGGCTTTTGACCACGGCGCGCATGCTTCAGGCCAAAGGGAGATTACATGCTAAATGCTAGTTCTCACTAGCTCGCTCCGCTCACATTGTACTCGTCTCATCGAAGCATATTGCAGGAGTGACACATCGAATCTCACTTTCCAGATCAAGTGAGCGAAGTTGCTCGCTGCGCGACTGCCAAATTGCTACAGTACAGGGCGTGCCGACTAAGCCGCTCCACAGCCATGACAAATGGTACGTCACTCGTGGTGCATCACTTCAAGGTCATAAATATCATTGTTGCGAACAGCAGTCGATTGACCGACAAGCCTCAAAAGACGAGTCAACAACATGTCGAAGCAACACACTTCCGAATTCGGCTGGGACGCAGTGCCGCGAAACAGGTCCAATGTTCCCTCCGAGGCCGAATCAAAGACAGCACCGATCGACATCAACTTCGAAGCTATCTGGCCCAAGACATCCGTAGTCAAGAAAGCAGACGAATATGTCAAAGCACATCTTCCCAAGGAGACATATAACCACAGTCTCCGCGTCTACTGCTATGGTACGTCGCAACTTCTCAACAATAATATCAAATAAACCATTCTCACCACTCTCCAGGCCACGCCATCATAACCCAACACTTCCCCGCCTGGTCCTCCTCCCCTTCCTTCTTCGAAACTTGGGCCTTGACATGCCTCTTCCACGACATTTCCACCACCTCAGAGAACCTGAACTCCACCCACCTCTCCTTCGAATTCCACGGCGGATTCCTCGCCCTCCAAAAACTCCAATCCTTCGGCGCCCCTCAAGCTCAAGCCGAAAGTGTCTGTGAAGCCATCATTCGTCACCAAGATCCTGGCGAAACAGGCACCATTTCTCGAATGGGTCAATTAGTTCAACTTGCAACGGAGTTTGATAATATGGGCTGGCAGCCGTATTTGATTCATCGAGATGTGATTGAGCAGGTCGTGGAGAAGTTTCCGAGGATGAAGTGGTCGGGGTGTTTTGCTGGGGTGATTCAGAAGGAGATTGAGGCGAAACCTTGGTGTCATACGACTGCGATTCCCGGGTTTAAGGAGGCGGTTGAGGGGAATGAGGTTATGAGGCCTTATGACTGAAGGTGTTAGTGCGGACGTCGAGGTCAGAGAGAAGAAAGTCTGAGGAAGAGCTAATGACAGAATTCAAGAGCATTTACATTGCTGTAGAAGTTGAATTCTGCATGACGAGTGCCGAAAAATGTACTGTACATGAACGATCTCCCTTGGACCTCCTGCTCACTATGCAATGTTTCCCAATACTGCGTCCCTACTCAGACTGTACAGCGGCATGATATCAGTCCATAACTTGAACTGATGCACGCCTTGCGCGACGAGAGCCTCAAGCCCTGGCACAGTCTTCCATCCACTCTGCTGGGCCATTTCCATGAGCTGTGTGACGGCAGGCTTGTAAGCCATCTCTAGCAAGATCTTGTCGCCTGTTGATGCCGTTCCAGCCTTGAGACCCTGTCCGAAGATAACTTTGAGGATGCTTTCGAGGGTAGCATCAATCGGCAAATCGCCAGGAATGGTACCGACAGCGACCACAGGTGCTTGGTCAGCCGGGACAGCCTGCGCCTCCGCGGCGCTCGAGAGAAGCACAACGTTGTAGTCTTTCGGGAATGAAGCAGTGAGCTGAGACAACTTCTCCTTGTTTCTCCCAAGCAAGTAGATCGGGCTGTATCCCATGTTCTTCAGTGCATAGATCGCGGCGCGAGCTGTGCCACCACCACCAACTACCATGCCGGCTTCGCGCAGCACTCCTGCAGTGCCTCGGGCACCAGCATTGCGGAGGGCTAGAACCATACCTTGCCAATCTGTGTTGTGGCCGACGAGGATTTTCTGATTGTCAGACGTCGTGGTTGGCACGATCGTGTTCACGGCTCCAATCGTCTCCGCTGCCGGGTCAATAGCATCAAGGAGAGGCATGACATCCAGCTTGAGAGGGATCGTGACGCTGGCTCCGCCGAACTGCGGCGAACGAATGATGTCCTCGGCCTCGATGATACGATCAGTCTCGTACAGACCGTAGGTATGCGGCAGGCCAGTCACCCCGAAGAGTGTGTTGTGAAGTGCCGGCGAGCGCGACTGCTGGATTGGCTTCCCGAACAAGTAGAACTTCTTGGCTGAGATCTCTCCGACGATGCCCAATACCTTCCTGATATCAGCTGCAGACAGTTGTCCCGGAGCAGCCTTCACTGGCAGAGCTGGATGGCTGACAGGTGTCATGAAGCCGTTGGTGACCCGGCTCATCTTTCCTAGCTCCCCCATATTCATGGCGATGACAGGCAGATCAGGAAACTCCTTCGCCATAGCTTTCTTGAAAGTCCTCAGGTCGTCATTGTCGTCAAAGTCTTTGGCCACACCGACGAGTTTGACAATATCGCCGTATTCTCGAGCAGCATCAAAGTGAACTCTCCACTCTGGGGCTCCATCGGCCCAGGAGAGCTGTCCTTTTGGATCGTGGTGAGAAGCTATAATGGTGCACATTTTCCTGTGGTTGAGCACATAGTCCTTCACTTCAGGTGCTGCCGTCAATTCCAGATCCACAAAGTCGAAGCCCATGCGCAGCCCCTCAGCATACAGCGCAATGGCCTGCTCAGTCGCATCATCCGGAAATTGTCCGCCTTGACTGACACTTCTCAGCGTGAAGATCAGTGGCAGCGTTGTAGAAGCTCGCAATAACGCCACTTGCTCGCTCAAGAAACCAGGCCTCCAGTGCGTCTCGCCAGGTTCCTTGTCTGGATCTACGAGCAGATCCACTCGGAGCTCTATCGCGTCGCTGCCCATCGTTATTTCAGGCAGAACAGTCACAATGTCTTGGATTGTCGGGCTCGTGAGGGACAGGAAAAAGGAGTGCTGTTTAGCCAGGATCTTTTGCAACGCGCCGCTTCTCCCCGTCATTGTGTTGAGGAATCTGGTGAAGTCATCCAAGGGACTGGTCCAGCCCACGATAGCAGTGGTCTCATCCACTGTCTGGCTGTGGTAGTGAAGATTGCTGCACTCCTCGAACCACGGCTTCCGTCGCAGATAGACTCCCATCATGTCCTCGACGTAAGCAGGACGAGTCTTGTCAATGTTGAGGTAATCCATGATCGCTTTGACGTCTCGCGTGATGTAAAGCACCATTCCGTCCTTTTGCCAGGCTTTCAGTAGTTCACGGGCTTCTGGGGTCTCGACCAGACCACCACCAGTAGCGAAGACATAGCCTTCAGGCTTTTCCTTCATCAGACGCTTGAGCAGTTTGAGTTCCTTTTGACGAAACCCATCCCAGTCGTTGTCCTTCAACATCTCAGGAATCGACATGCCCTCTTGCTCCTCCAGCGCTGTATCCATGTCGACGAATGGCCAGCCAAGAATTCGTGAAGCCCAACCTCCGGTCGTCGTCTTACCAGCGCCTCGCATGCCGATGATGAACACAGACTTCTTGACCTCTCCATTCACGTACCCATGTCTCTCATCGACACCATTTGCGTGGCCGTTCGCTACCGCATTATGTTCGGGTTCCACTCCTTCGAGCTCGACGCCGAAAGTCTGATGCAAGATATCCCACCAACCAGGCCAGGTCTTGCCTGTACATTCCCTTTCGAGTATGAGACTGCCTTGAGGAGCGACAGTAGCAAGAACACTGAAGCTCATGGCCACACGATGATCGTCGTAGCAGTGAATCGAATCACGCGGCGCCTGAATCGCGGTTCCGACACCATCAATCTCAATGCCATCATCCAGCTCTCTGCAAACCACGCCGTATTTCGCAAGCTCGTCAATCATGGCCACGATACGATTGCACTCCTTGACCTTTTGGTTGGCAATGCCGATAATTTTCGTCGTTGCACCGTGCTTTCCCGGCTGCGCAACAGCAGCCAGAACGGAGGCGGTCAAGAAGGCATCTGTCATCGGCTCCATGTCAATCTCTGGCAGAGGCTGCAGCTGGCCAAACGCAGGACCGGTCACCGTTGTGCTAGTTTCTGTCTGCTCTACGGTGCATCCCATGGGCCGCAGGACATCAACAGCGAAACGTGCATCTCCCTGCAGAGAAGCGGAGCCGATGTTTGGCACTGTGCACTTGGTGCCTGTGATAGCAGCGATAGCAAGAGGATAAGTAGCACTGCTGGCATCGCTCTCGACCTCGTACTCAGGTGGGTTGGCGTAGCTTTGCTTGGGAATGTAGTACACATTCTCCTCCGTTTTGCTACGCGTCACATGAACGCCGAAGCTGGCCATCATAGCTATTGTCATGTCGATATACAGCTGGCTGATGACCTTACCGCCCACAAGACGCAGCGTCACAGGCTTCTTGGCATATGGTGCGGAAATGAGGATAGACGAGACGTATTGCGAGGAGACCTTCGCCGTCAATTCGATGTCGCCGCCTTCGAAACCGCCAGCCGCACCAATGCGAAGCGGCAGACTTTGGCTACCTGGCTTGCCCAAGTACTCCATGTCCACTCCGTTGGCCTTCAGGGCGTCGACAAGAGGACCTTGAGGACGCTCCTGCATGCGAGCGTTGCCAGTGAGGACCGTGTGTGAAGCATCCTTCGTCGGCTCCGCCAAAGACAATGCTGTGGTCAAGAAGCGGGAAGCAGTCCCAGCATTGCCGATGTAGATCTCATCTGAAGACGCCTTCAGCTTGCCACCATTTCCATTGACCACAAGCACACGTCCCTCGTCTTCCCAGCCATATGTGGCGCCCTGAAGGCTTGCAATCGCTGACAACATGTACTGCGTATCATCGGAGGCCAGTAGGTTCGTGATCCTACAGCTGCCTTTACCCAATGCCGCCATTAGCAGGATTCGGTTCGATATGCTTTTGCTCCCAGGCGGCTTGCAAACCACGTTCAAATCTTTCGAAACACCAGGTCTGACCAGAACAGAAGGACAAAGCACGATCCTGATGTCTTTATCGTCGCACTTCGTCGCACCTGGGCCGGTTTCGGGCTCGTAGCATTTCCCTATTGATGCTAGTAGCGCGATCTTCTTCTTGGAGCCTGCATTCTTCTTGTCGACAGCCATTCTTCTCAGCAGCTCATCAGCTTCGCATACTTTCCGCGTCTTGGTAGTTATCAGCTTGTCGTCCAGACTTGTCGGCAGCCCGTAGCTCTTGATCGCCTTCGTGAGCCTGGCGACAGCAGCCGGCTCCAGAATACCCAAGTACCTCGCCAATTCTGCTTCCTTTACCATCCCCACAGCGACACACTCGCCGTGCAGGATCTCAGGGGTCAGAATTGCCTCGTACGCATGTCCGATGGAATGACCAAAGTTCAGCAAGTTCCTCAGCCCGCCTTCTCTTTCGTCTGCAGTGACCACCTCAGCTTTGACTCTTGCGCTTCCAAGCACAATCCTCTTGAAGACGTCCTCAATTCCCTCGAATCTGCCTTTGCCTAGCGGTCTCTCTAGTGCCGCCATGATCGCGTCAGCTCCCTCTTCTAACCTCTCGAATTCCTCCTCATCCCAGATGGCAGCAGTCTTGACAACTTCGGCCATTCCATTGCACACCTGTCTCTTGTCTAATGTCTCCAAGAAAGCAAGATCGATGTATATCCTCTCTGGCTGCCAGAAGGCCCCGATGAGGTTCTTGCCTAGCGGGGTATCAATTGCAGTCTTGCCGCCAATGGAGCTGTCGACCATGGATAGCAGCGATGTGGGAATCTGGCAGAACTTGATTCCTCGCATGTATGTCGCTGCCACATAGCCGAGCAAGTCGCCCATAACACCTCCTCCCAGTGCAAGTAGAATTGTATCACGCGTACACCCTTGACTGAGCAGCCAGTCTTCGATCTGAGCTTTTACTGTTCGACTCTTGCTGGTCTCTCCCGGAGGAATGCTGTCAAGGACGAGAAGCCGCACATCTTCCGGCTTCTTGCCCAGTCTCGCTCGCTCGGCATTGAAAGAATCGACAAAGGCTGGCACGTATGGGAGCTTGGCGAGGTTGGAGTCGCAAATGAGGACGTAGGTCGACGAAGGGATGTTGGTGAGCAGGTCGTGGGTGGCATAGTTTGGCCACAGGCCGTAGTCGACAATGATGGTGTCTTTGCCTAAGATTGACACTTTCGTGGCAGTGGACGTGCCATTGGGGTTCGCCATGTTTGGCAGCGTATGGATCGGGTTGTTGCAAATGTAGCTGGTCTGCTGCTTTAGCTCACCAGTTGCTCCGACACGAACAGCACCGCGGCTTCAGCGAGGATTAGTTGGAAAGATCCGAGATTGGTCAAGTCCCAGATGCGCAGCTTCTGCATACGAGGTTCACTTGCGAGCAGCAAAGACGAGAAGAGGCATTGGGCGTGTTGCGAGTGCGTGGGTGTGGTGAAGAGTCATCAATGGTGGGCACAAAGAGTCAGAATCGCAGTGCGGCCGGGAAATTTCCCAAGTGCCGCAAGCTGTTCGCAGCCATGTGGAGATGCTTGCTGCAGATCCTCTAAAGGGTACAAAACTGTCACAACATGTACCATCGAACACGGACGTAAATACGACAGAGGTGCAGGAGACTGGTGATAGCGACAGGAGCAACACACGGAGAGAGAACGCGCCTGAAGATATCTTGTAATGACTCTACAGACCCGGCAACTTTCGTTGAACCGATCGGGCTTCCTAGCACAGGGCATTCTCCTTTCATCACTTCACATGATGACAGGCTTCTTTCCCTCATGAGCGCCAGTACTTTCTCCTAGCCTGTGAGGGCGAATCGCTTTTTTCAACGTACCAAAGGTCTAACACATCTACCACTGGTTGTCTGGAGCAGTCGCAGCGCCGGTGTTGCCGTCAGCAGCCCAGCCCTGGTTGCCGGTCTCGACTGGAGCGCTGGCAGCAGCCCAGTCAGCACCCTCAGCATCCCAAGTGGATGCGGCCTGAGCACCAGCAGTACCCGAAGCAGCAGCGAAAGCGGAGCTGCCAGCATTGCCAACCTCCCACTCGTTGTTGAATCCGCTCTCGACGGCGCCTGGGCCAACCTCGTCGGCACCTGGCACCTTGGCCTCGTCCTGGCCAGCAGAGTCCTTGTTCTCCTCCGCCTCTGGGTCACGGTAGAAGTACAGATCGGTCATGACGTCCCACTCGGTCTCACGGCTGGCAAGAGTACCACGGAGACGGAGGACCTCACGGGCGAGCATCCACCAGATCAGACCAATGGCATGACGACCCTTGTTGTTCGTTGGGATGGCAACATCGACGTACTCGGTTGGGGAGTCGGTGTCGCAAAGGGCGATGACTGGGATGTTGACGTACGAGGCCTCCTTGATGGCCTGGGCATCGGTGCGTGGGTCGGTGACGATGATGAGGCGTGGCTCCTTGAACGAGCGAGTGATGTAGTTGGTGAAGTTACCGGGGGTGAAGCGACCGGCAATGGCGGAGGCACCGGTGTGGGCGGCGAACTTCAGGACAGCACGCTGACCGTATGGACGAGCAGAGATGACAGCAATGTCAGCTGGGTTGTCGATAGCGGCGATGATGCGGGCAGCGAGGACAATCTTCTCCCTGTGCGCGCATTAGTACTCTGCCGGCTCAATTTTTGCCAGGGCATATCAGGCGGAGCAAATGCAATAAGAGTCGCAAATTCGCTCGCAATGCGCGTATGTGCGCCGCCTCAGCCGAACTGGCTGCAGAAATATTCACATACCAGGTCTTGCCAATGTTGATGACATTGACACCGTCTGGGCGAGTCTTCCAGAGGTATGGCTCCATGTGCACCTGCAAGTTCTTGCTGCCAATGTGAGCCTGAGCCGACAGGAGCATCTCAATGTCCTGGGCAGTGGCGTTGAACACCGATGGGAGGTTCTTTGGAGTGGCCATCTTCGCGGTTGAGGGCGAGGTGTTGGGCGGTCGAAGACGGGTGGTGTGGTGTTGTCGCGAAGTCCTCGATGCTGCTGGTGGTGGGCTGTTCGGAGCATCAATTTACAGAAGTGCGTGCACGGTCGTTTTCGTGTCTGCCTCAGGACACAACACTTGGCATCCCCGCGGCGTCCTTGAGCGAGCACAAGTGAGCGTTGATGGCGCCCAGCGAGCATAGAAACAGCATCCATCATGCCGCCTCGAATACCGATCGCCACCTGCCTGCGGGCACAGAGCAGTACGTGAGCCTGTCGGAGATCGATACATTAATGTTGACATGTGCCAGCAGCACCCCCTTCCACGGCCACGCGATCTTTCTCCTCCACACCCTGCTCCCAAGCGTCCACAGTCACGCAACGACGGAAACATCGCGATCCATATGCCATTGCGCAAGCGCGAGCGAAGAAAGCTGCGAATTTGAGTAGACAGGAGGTACTGAAGAAGGAGCGGGCCAGCAGTCTAGGCGACCCTGTTCGCGGTCTCACCACGCCTTTCGTACGCTCCTTCGACACTGCCCTCCCTCCCGAGCCCTCGGCAGACACCCCTTCGACGCAAGTCCGGAGTTCGAAGTCACCATCTGAAGATGCCATTGGACCCAAGACGGAGACAGACAATCACCTCAACTTCTACTTGACCAAAGAGGAATTGGCTCGCGGGTTAGGGAAGAGCCAATGGCTGACTACTCCTGCTGCGCAAGACGAGCCAGAAGAAGCCGAGGGAAAAAAGGCCCGAAGAGATGGCGGGAAAGAGTCGCGCGGACTCGATGCTGAGATTAGCGGAATCCTTGGTGGTGCCAGAGACGCGGATGCGAACAACCCCGACTGGGAGCGCGCCGCAGAAACGATGAAGGACTTCACTACCGGCATGAGTCCAGCAGCTCGGAAGAAGATATTGGAGGAGGAACACGCGACCGCGCAGGAGGCATTGAGACGAATCTCGAGCTTAGCACTGGGAAGCAGTAAAGATCGGCTGAGAGTGAACAAGCAGAGATGCATAGACGTCTTCGGGCGTCATAACACGGAGCAGACACTGCCTCCGAAACCAACCTCTGCGGGTGTAACCGGCGGCGAGCAGCAAAAGGTGGAACGTGTTGGAGCAGACACTGGCAGCAGCGAAGTGCAGATTGCCATCCTGACCGCTAAGATTCGTGCCGTTGCAGACTTCCTGGAGACGAGAGGCACGATGGACAAAGTCAACAAGAGAAACCTCAGATTACTGGTTCATCGCAGAGCAAAACTCTTGAAATATTTGCGCAGAAAGGAAAGAGGTGGGCCGCGGTGGCAGAACCTGGTTGAGACACTTGGTTTGACCGATGGAACATGGAAGGGCGAAATTACCTTGTAGAAGATGGAGCATTTGCATAGCGCAGGAAAAGCCTCAGAACTGGGCCGGTGAAGATACATCATGTACAGATATCCATGTACTATTACGACACTCGCCACAACACCAACAGCGCCCAAAGGCAGTTTCAGCATTGGTGCATCCTTCCACAGTACTGCCCAAAGCCTCAACAGCACTATCCAGCATCTCAAGCAGCAAAATCGTGAATCTCGTCGGACTCTGAGAAGGGACATGTTGTGCAGTGGACCACCATCCCATGCCTCGTTGACTGGTGGCGCTCGCGATCCTGAAAGTCTCCTCTCCAACTGTAACCCACCACTCCAGACATCGTTGGCAATCTCCTCTTCATTTGTATCCCCGTCAACCAGCATACCGACTTCCCATCACCTTCGGAACAACTCGGCAGTCTCACTCCGCCAATCCGATGTGCTTACCAGCCCTCTCGCCTCCGTCGGGTCGAGGCGCAGAATATCGATCATAAACAGCACACAAAGTGCCTGAATGAAGAAGCCGAAGGACCGGGTTGTTGTTCGCCTGCCATTATACGACCTTGTGGATTCTGAATCTCCGCAGTAGTTGAGCAGAGAAACCAATACTGCTGCTTGAATGATTCGAGCAATGATGGTGGGAAGCACGACAACCATCGTCTTTTGGCAATTGCTGATCCAGGCGAGGAAAAGCGGCAAGAGTAATTGTGTGAACCCTATTCTGGGAGCTCGATCGGAGGTATCATGTTCTGGTAGTCGTTTCCGCTTGTAATCTTCTTCAGCCTGGAGGTTTGGAGTGCATTCCGTCGTCGTGGTTATGGCCATGTTGCTGGAATCGACTCGCATAATAACTTAGGCAGTGTGTTTCTCGAGTCCGAAATGTAACGTGCAGAGCAGTCCAGTGATATTGTTGGTTGATAACAAATCATGTATCCAGCATTCGAGACAGCTTATTGACCGACACTCGTGGTGGTAGAAGATCCGAGAACAAAGAGAATAGAAACCCAGTGATCCTTCTGCAGTAATAATAATCACTGTACTTCTAGTCCCGCATCGCCACGAGCCCTCGTTACTCAGCCCGACAAGTGCCACAGAATACCATGCAATATAACCCGAGCATTCGATCTCCGACTCCAACTGCATGAAATGCGAACTCTCTGCGTCCAGGGTGCGGCCGCCGGCAGAGCTTACTGCTCGTGCTGAGACAGACACCCCACAATGCGGCTGCAGTCTACGCATGTGAAAGTGGAGCTCCTAGCTATGTCTCAGCGAGTCATAGGCGTTGGAATGCTGTGCAGACTCAGGTGGAGCTACCTGCAGCGAGGGCGCGTACTGTACAGCACTGCCAGCGCATGCATTGCAGCGAAGGCCGTCTAGATCGGAAAGGCATCGTGCTTGCGTTGAATCTGTGTCCGCAAAGCACTTCGACCTGCATTTGTTGGGTTGTGTGGGTAGAACTCGAGGATGATCGGTCCGGACACATCCGAGTCGTGAAAGTCAGCATGGTGACTGAAGGTTCCGTTTCAGAGTCGACAGCGTCTAAACGACCAGAGTCTTGTACTTGCTCTGTACGTTTCCTCGCGCGGCATCTTCCACGCGAAGCTCACATTTCTATATACATTAACGTTCAATGCGCCGGCAATCATCGCCAAATAGTAGCAGGGTATCTTATCAGCATCAGGTCGTCTCAAATCAAATCAAATAAAAACAAAAAGCACGAAAGAGATCGGTCAATAGTTGCGATAGTCGCAGGAACATTCTGTGTCCACAGACTGTGGTGTCAGTCCAGAAGTTATGCGAGCCCCCTGTTGGCCCTGGACGAATTCGTAGCAAGCCGGAACGTCGGTTCCGCCTGGACTGCTCTGCCGGATGTCTATTGCGTAGGGCCATTGCAAACCGCCGTCCGAATTATTCGATTCTGGGTATGTTCGAGGTGCTGAAAGATAGAGAGTGCCGGTGAGGCTCGTTTGGTTGAAGTAGCATTGGGTCGCGACATTGTTAGCGGCCAGCGATACTGGAGGATTGAATGCCTTGTCCATGTCAATACGGAAGGTATATCGAGCGGAGCTTGAATTTGATTTAGGCGAAATGTAAGTAAGTGGTGTGTCCTCGAACATCAAGCTGAAAGGATTGCTCGTTGAGCTGATAGTGAGATTGGCAGGTTCGCCGTCGTCTGAAGTTGAGCCTGAGCCAATTGTGGCATACGTGGAGGAGGTATTCGAGATGACCCAGTTGTATATCGACCTGCTGCCATCTGACGTAGCTGCGTTTGCTGGATCGTAGACCTGGTACGGGAAACAATTCCAGGTCTCTGCGACCGAAGTGCAGCTGCTGTTTAAGGTCTGAAGCCTGGTGATCATGCTGTACTGGCCGATGGGGAACGGCTGTTGGTCCGCACCGCCCGAACTGGTTGGATCTGACGTGTTTTGTGCGGCTCCGTTGTTTGAATTTGAACCACTCCGTCCAACTGTCAGGCCAACTGCAAGACCCACTATCAAGGCGATTGCGAGCAATGCCACGCCAGCAATAATGAGCCATGTCCGCCTTCGCCAACTGAAAGGATTCTTTCTCTGGTAGCCGCCTGACCGTCGCAGAGCTGCGAGCTTCTCGCCTTCCACTGGCCTGTTGTCGTCGCTGTCGCCGGCCACAGGCTCTGGAACCCATTCGTATGCTGGAGGAGCCGTCCGCCCAGTTTCGTAGCTGTCTTTATGCGCATGAACGTTCGTCACGGGCGAAAGCGGGTAGGGTAGGGCGTGCAAGGACTGCTCAGAAGCACTCTGTCGCAACGCGCTCTTTCGCGGGATCGGCGGTTTAGGAGCGGCTGTCGCCATGATGGAGTTGACCTCGGACTGTCGCGACGATGATGGCCTCGAATTGCTTGCGCTCCCCGGCCGTGAGCGGTTCATGGCGGGCGAGAGGACGTTCGTGCGAGCAGCGCGGTGAGGGGAAGAGGAGGTCTTCTGCGCCGTCTGTTAAGCTTCGAGATCAGTGGATGGCGGCGCCAGTGGCTTGCATTGATAGGCAAAGCAATGAGATGGTGGAACGGTGGAAGGCGGATTGTGGTGGAGGACTTGTTGATGATGAAAGGCGATGGGTCGCGATCTACAGAGCTCCTATATACATCTTCAGCCATCTTCGCGATAGGGCCGGCAGTGCCAATAGTGCCATCGAAGACGGGCGGGAGGTGTAGTTAGAGCGCATCTTCATTTTGGGAGCGACGCCTAATTACGCTTCCGCGCACAGCCAATCAGCGCGTCGCGTGGTGCTCGGCCAGGCCAACCTCTCGAGAGTCTCATTTGAGAACTGCATCTCTCACCTCGCATTGTATGCACGTTGATGACCGTTTCCACGTGGCTATCCGGTATAGCAGTAGTCGTGATTCAAGACACACAAGACGCTCTTCCCGCCGTGACAGTGTTGCTTGACAAGTGAGGGAGGGTGCTTCTCGTCGCTGCCGGTCGCATCAGGATTGCGACTGAGGGCATGCGCATGCACCATCGTTAGCCACCTTCCATAGGAAGTGGCTCGATGAGGCCGTTGCTTGTTCCTTGACATGCACTCACCTCTAGCCACGTCCAACTGAAGTTTGTCGGCTTTCTCTCTTCCAACTTTGAACTTGGCACGCCCGACCACCGACATCGTGTTAAGCGACTGCACGCGCCGCGCCAGCCAACATGGCCAGAAATGTGGTCACCATCCCCGTCTGGAATGACTCAGATGGCCAGCATGCGTCGAGCAAGGATCGCTCTCGCAATGATGGCTACTTCGAAGAGCGCCTTGGAGAACTATGGATGAGAGAGCGCGGCCAAGCGCAACCAGGTGTTGTGTACAGATTGGATCGCATGCCTGCCGGCTATTCAGGGTGGGAGAAGCGACGAGGGGATAGTAAACACGTCGATCGATGTAAGCTGGGCCCGTAACATTGTAGAGAACTCGTTAACCTGATTGCGCAGATATCGCTGGCCATCCGAGTGGAAAGGACTTTCGATCGCTAAATGAAGCGTGGCCTCACTTCCAACATCTTATCGCACACGGCAGTGCACATGGGTGCCTGTGTGTGTTGTGCACGGGCGGCCGGAAGAAAACCAAGACGAATAGAAGTGGCTCGCTCACATCCGGTAGTTCTGGACTACAGTCGCGCCACTTTGGTCCTTCATCGACGTCAGCAGTTGCCAAACCTGTTAAAGTCGCTGCACGAAAGACGCAGAATACTTTCGACTCAGATTCAGAGACACCACAACGCGGCAAGCAAGCTGACCCAGAAGGCATTCCGGATTATTACCGTATTCTTCTCGACAAAGTGAAGGCCGCTGGTCCCGACGGGATCGTGCGTGAAAATGTAATCGATCAACTATCGCCGGACTGGCGAGCAGGCCATCAGATGCTACAGGGCATGCTTGAAGATTGGTCTCAGCAGCCCAGCTTCGTACCTAGAATTGGGGAACTAGTACTATTCATCCGTTCCCTCGGCCATGAAGACACCTTAGCATGGGATGCTAACTCGAAATGCTTGCGGCCTCGGAACTCGAAAGGCTGGCTTGACCACTATCGATGGGAAACCGGAGTGGTAACACAATCGCCTATAGAGTCGGTGTCGCACGATGACCTGATTGGCGTTCCAGCGAGCAAGACACACAATGTGACTTATTCTGGTTTCCGCGTGGAGCCATTGCCCGAGCCGGGAAGCCAGTCCAAAACATACAGCTCACAGCACAAATACGTACCGCTTCATGCTCTCCGACCATTCTTGTACTGGAGAGAGTGTCTGGGAAGCACAGACGAGCAGGACTGGCATCCGACGGTCAAGCACGCATTGACGGTTGCGAGCTCTTGGAGCCTGCTTGGGAAGTACAATTTCACAGGTAGCTGGCCCGAAGCCACACTGTTCTGTCGCGGAGTGTACATTGGCCCTGAGTTGATTATGATGGGCGACCTGGTTCGCCTCGAGCCTCGCCCAAAAGACAGCCGACAGGATGCCATCGTGGATGTCATGGTGGTGTCATCTATTCGCCTTCGCTTCGTTAAGCTTGATGAATCCAGCGACGATGATTACGATGATGGAGATCCTTACACGACGTGCCTGCACATTGCTGGTAAGGTTTGGAGTCTGGATCCGAAACGCAGCTTTGCGGGAATTGGTGCTTCGCCCGCCAAGCCAAATCAACCTGGCTTCCCATCCGAGCTTGCAGGTTATGGGAACTGGTTCAATGTGACTGACCCTTCAAACGAGCGGCAGAAGCTTGAGGTGCCCTACACCAGGGTGCTGGGCCGCTGTCTTGCTAAGGACGCTCTACATCGCTGGTTTCCAACATCCGACAAGGGGCTTTCGAATAATGGGCAAGTCGCTCGCAGTCAGCCATTAGAATTATCGCAAGGTCTACACAGTATGCGAGAAGCGCGAGCTTACTCAAGAGCTCATGACACTCGCATCGATCGCGCTAGTGGCCAGTCATGGTTCTGGGCAGAGACACGCATAGAACAACTTGACCTGCACGAAATCAATGGAAAATTCGTTGGTTCCAAGGAGGAAGCCCGCGATAGAAAGCAAGTGAATGCATGGCGTCAAGCATTGAAGGTTCTTGACGGAAAGAAGGGCAGCCTCGATGAGTATTTCGCTGCAAAGAGACAGCGCGAGGAGGAATCGAAGCAGCCAACGAGCAGCGCATTCGGTATGATGGCTTCCGTCGCTCAGGGAGATAGTGCAACTGAGGGCGATGCTGCGCAGGGTGAGGACTTGATGGACGTGGACGATGATGCTGCCTCCTCACGTCGTAGAAGCTCGATGCAGATGCTATCGATGGACGAACACGAAGGCGACGATGACTCCGTCATGATCATCGATGACTGACCGGACGCAGGGCATGAAGGGTATTACTGATATGCGCACTGCCAACACCTTTGCCTGTCCAGCCATATTGGGCCTACACTTGCGGCTTGGATGACTCGGACCTGAAGCAAGAGTAAGTAGAACACATGATGGCTTCATGTCGCTATGCGAAAGCAGCGCGGCGTTCGAAACCACACTCGAGCCGTGCACGTTCGCCCATGCCAGCATCTATGTCTCACGGAGCAGAGGCATCGCAGGGCCATCGAGGTGACAGCGCACACGAGTCATTCAAGCCATGTAGAAATGGAGCTTAGCAATGGCAGTGGATTTCACACTGCTCATCAAAATCATGCTATGTACATTTGTGAGGCTTTTCTTCGGCGGTCGCTGTCATCCGAATTTAATGGCAAAGGCCGAACTTCACAGTTGGTATGGTTGTGAACTCATGGCGGTTGATCTGCCCTCGATGTGCAATATCGATAAGACTCGGCAAAACTGGACAGCTATGGCCGATGCTCCTTCCTGTGCACAACATAGGAGATGCATGTACACTCACTTCCATTTGCTCGCCATCTATCGCTCCATTGTTTTTCATTGCACTATCATCACTGGCATCCATTTGCACCGAAGGCAAACCTTCTTGCTGCATTCTTGCATCCTGCGAACTATACATTCCAGCCGGATCACTTCCTATACGCTACATCTCGCGATTGTCACACAGCGTCGCAGTCTGGGCTGCAGTCCAGGCGCACGTACTTGCACACGACACATTCTGAAATGCTTCGATGCTAGGATTGCGCTTATTTGATTTCGCTTCGTCCTGACAAAACAGCTTGTACAAAAGCTTACGCGGCGGCGTTCGTCACCCTCCGGCAATGCTCCGACCTCCATTTGCCTAAACAGCCTTGCATGGTTAAGAATTGTCTGAAAGAGGAGAGTAGCTGCTCAAGGCTACAGCTATTGTGCGAAGCATTCTTAGTGTGATCCTCTTTCGCATGTCTGCAAACACAATGCATTTGCCATTCGAATTAATCTTGTACGCCACACTCCACACGAGGCCTGCAATAGCCCTGTCAGTATTCAAAAGAGACGTCGATTTCTGGACTGTGCGAACGAGGCTTGAAAGGTCCTACGTATATCCCGAGCTCGACAAGCCAGGCAAATACTTTCATGAAGCTACCTTCGATAAGCACTACGATGGGCGCTTCGCAGACAGACCGCTGCGATACGACGAGAGACAAGAACATCTATCCGCAGCTGTCCGTGCCTATCTATCCAAGATGCACGAAATAGGCATTGAAACTTGGCTGATGCATGGCACCCTTCTCGGATGGTACTGGAATCGCAAAGCAATGCCATGGGATTCCGATGTGGACGTTATGATTTCCGAGTCATCAATGCATTACCTCGCGAGCTATTATAACATGACTATGCACCATTTCAAAACGCCTGGAAGCGAGAAAAGACGCTCATATTTACTGGAGATCAATCCGCATTGCTGGGAGAGCGGCCTTGATCAAGACAATAAGATTGATGCACGTTGGATTGACACAGATGTCGGTCTATTCATCGACGTTACCGTACTGCGTGGAGATCCAACGACGGAGTTTCGCGAAGCGATGTGGGTCAAGGACAATCACCACTACGCATATGACGATATTTTCCCTCTGAGAGACACCGTGTTTGAGGGCACGCCTGCACTGATACCATTTGCGTATCCGGACATTCTGATTGAGGAGTACGGGCATCAAGCATTGTCGAATAGGCACCATGAGTTCCATTATTTTGATGCAGACCAGAAAGCGTGGCTGCCGCAGAAGCTGGCTGTCACGACTTCAAAATACGATCAAAGTTGAATTGCCGACCATCATCGCTTGCACCTTCAGCAGGACTTTCACAACGCGTTCAGCTTGAGCATTGCCGCTCCTCTTGCTCTGGCAAAGTGCTGAAGTGTAGTAATCATATTAAGCATTGAGTCAACTTCCTCCATCAAATCATCCCCTTGCCGGGGTAGCTCAATCGGTAGAGCGTGTGGCTCTTACGGACTACGATGTCCAGAAACCTCAAGGTCGTGGGTTCGAGCCCCACCTTCGGCTATTCCTATACAAATCTCGAGTCAATGATCTTTTTTTTGCCTTTTGCCCACGTGGTGGAGGCCGACGTTAGGACCTGTCGAAGGTCCGACAATTTTTGGACTGGGCGGCGCCGGCTGGGAACATAGCAGGGACCAGGGACTTGGCAGATCCAGCCTTGCAGCAATCTCTCCCTGCCCTTTTCTTTTGGTCCCCAGCACGAACGCAACCAGAGACAAGAGAGGAGAGAATGACCCGGTCTGCAGGTGGATTGCGATCGAAGAAGCATCCAATCTTCGAATCTATCGCGTTCTATGACTCCGGCTTTATTTCCACCTTCGACAAGCTCTTCACAGCCTCCTCCCAATCCTTGTTCATCACCTCCCCCAGGACCCTCACCCTCGCACTCTCGGCCAAGTAATGATAATAATTTCCTCCCAATGCTGGATGTGAGAATCGCCTATCACTCACAGCTTTCCATTCAACCTGCTCTCTCCGGAAACCTACACGTGCGAGGGCTTCGGCAAGATCAACCCATCCACCCTGGACTTTGAAGCCGACTCCTAGGGATGCTGGCATATTCTCCATCGAGGACAGATGATATGTAATTTTGAGAAGTGGGATCGATTGCACTATTCGTTGTCCTTGTGCTGTGAGGAAGTGGGATTTGGAAAGTGCTTGGGCGATGGGATAGGCTCCATCGCGAGGAATGGACAAGTGGGAATCGTTGAGAGTATAATAGAGCAGCAGGGATTCTTGTCGGATTCGATTGCAAGTTCTTGTCAGTGCCGGCGGCGGCATGAGGAAATCCGATTCTTGTGAAGTTGGTTCGGTGAGTGCATATTCATATATGAGGTTTCGAAGCTCTGGCGATAGGCGAAGAAGTGGTGATCTCTCCTCCATGATTTTTTCGTTCGACGAATAGAGCTTTACTGCCTGCTCATGGGACAAGGACAGGGTGGTGATCTAGTCGACTTGCTTGCTTTGTTTGGTAGCGTGTAAGATTGAGTTCCGGCATGATCTCAGCCAGCGTCCTCCCGCTGCACTGTGTCTTGCATTGAAGACGCTAGCTGCAAAAGTTTATAGCAAGAGGCTCGCAGAGTTGCAGCATGTTACAACAGGCTCGAGTGCAGGGACCGTAATGGACTTTTCCCCAGTGCACTGCGTTTCTGAGCCGAGATAGGCATTACATCGGTTGAGCGTCCGGAGAGTAAGAGGTTCCACGATCCTGTGTTGCTTCCGGAAACCGAATGTCGTACATTCGTCGCGTGATAGAGGAGCAATGTACGATCATTCATCGTAAACATCCTTCTTCTTCGTGGCGAGGATGTATGGTCGTTTGTCCCAAAAAGCGTTTCCAATGATATCAGTGTGCTCAATCACAATCCTCGCCTTCTGTCTCCTCTTCCTTTCCTTCTCCAACTGCGTCTTACTCTTGGGATTGGCAACAGTTTTGTTCTTGCTCGCTCCAGCATGATCGCCATCCTTCGCACCATTTTCTGCTTCCTCATCATCATAAGCCCTATACACCACCGATCCCTTCTTAAAGACCTCTTCCTCATCATTATAATTCACTCCAAACCTCTTCCACAAAATCTCATTCTTATCACTCGCCAATGTTCCCTTTAGCATCTTCTCCGCCTCGGTGCCACTCATCCCCTTCCCTTCTTCCTCTCCCTCGCCACCTCTCAACACCAAATTCCAAAAAGTCGTATTATACAAATTGTTAATATGACAATCCGCCTGCCTCCAACTCAAATAATCCCTCAAGATACTCTTCTTCGGATAACACACACACCTCCCATCGAAAGTCGGAAACGGTCTTTCCAATTTCATTGCTTCCTCAGGAAAGAAATCCCGCCACTGCATCACATACTCCGCCGTGAACATCGTCGCGACAGAAGTACTCAATTTCGCGCTCCGGCGCTCGAACAGTGCGGTATTCTCGTGGAAGATGAAAGAGTACTCATCGCTTTGGCCGTAAGCGAGGACGATGTCGTGGAAAGATTTGACGACTTGCACGGCGGCGCTGTTCATCAAGTTGATGGCGCGTTTGTCATTGGGTTTGATGAAGTTGTATTTCTTGCAGAGTTTGCTGAAGCCCCGGCCGTCGATGCGCACAACGATCCAGTTGGAGAGAGGCAGGGAGTCGGGCGTCTCGAAGTTCTTGACATAGGAGAATTCGCTGTTGGCCATGTTCGAGGCCGAGATTGAGTTCTATGCAGCTGCTTCTTGGAATGTGTCCTTTGGAGGCACTTCTGGAAGGTGTTGGCAGCGTTGTTGGAAGTTGCGCCTTCAGGTCTGGCACGTCAAAGTTTGATGTCGCCAGCAACAAAAGTTCGTTGGAGACAGATGTTGAAATTTACGATTGAGTCACGTTTCACATTTCTCACATTCATGGAGCAGAAGGAATCACATTGTTGCACTCAAGCAGCTCTCGCTGCATTTGCATTTTCATTTTATCTCATCTCTGGCGTGTCTTCGGATCTGCTATCCAGCCCGCATCACCAGTTGCGTCATGTGTGTAATCCTCAAGGTCTCATCCACCGGTACTATCGCATTAGCCGAGTGTCAACCTCGCGCAGCATAAAGACGGGCGCCCAACGTCCTCCGTAAGACGCGCAACAAGACATCAAAAACTTTCAGCAGCATGTGTCGCTGCGCGCAATTCGCCCATTGTATCTTCCTCCCATCCTCTCATCGTGTGGTTTTTTCTCGATTCGCTTCATCTTTCTCTATGTCCAAGAAAACAAACTCCGGTCGCAATGCTGAACGCTGGATGTATAGTACATGTGCAAAAGCACAGTGATTTCGCTGTTTAAAATAATTATGCATCGATCACTCTTTTGGAGAATTGGGAGAGCTGGGAGTTGGTCAGTAGGCGGACGAGGTACTAAAAAAGAGCGAGACTTACTACTGAGGAGAGGTTGGTGAATATTGCGGAGAGGTTGGCGAGGCTTTGTTCGCGCTGGGGGATGTGGGCGACCACTGAGGCGATGTAGGACTGTAGCCGGGCGAGGTTGGCGAAGTGCTGCTTGCGCCACCTCTGCCACCGTAAGCAGGTGAGGTGGGAGAGTACTGCGGTGACGTGGGCGAGTATTGCGGCGAAGTGGGAGAATATTTCGGAGAAGTCGCGCTGCCAGCCATTGGTGATGTTGGAGAAAAGTTTGGACTGGAGGGACTGTAATTCGGTGACGTGGGCGAATAGGATGGGCTCGTTGGCGAATAGTTCGGCGAGGTAGGAGACACCTTGCTGCCACCGCTACCAGACCAAGTTGGAGACGAAGGCGAGTAGCTCGGGCTCGTTGGACTGTAGGCCGGTGATGCGGGCGAATATTGCCCTGAAGGAGAGCCCATCTGATATGCAGGACTCGTGAGAGTGACTCCCGGTGAGGTGGGCGAATAGCCACCACCGTAGCTCGGACTCGTTGGCGAATATCCGCCGGCGTAGCCTGGGGAGACAGGAGACATGCCGCTGAAGGGGCTCTGAGGCGCGTAACCTGGACTCATACCGCCTCTGTATGGGCTCATGCCACCATCCAAGCCACCGCCATAGGCAGTAAGACCACCGCCCTCGTCCTGGCCAGGATTGATGATCGGTGAGAAGGACGCGCCATAGTCAGGACCAGCAAAGCCGCTCTCAGACATCGGCGAGCCCATGTCGTACGGGGTCATCGCTCCCTCTGCCATTGGAGACATGGCGCCGCCACCGACGCCCATTGGCATCGCATGGGTCTTTTGAACGACGCCCTTGAGCATCTCAGTGTCGAGCAGAACGTCAAATTCACCAGTTCCGCTTGGAGCGAGCTGGCCAAGAATGATGTTCTCGGAAACACCTCGACAGTCATCCAGTTCGCCAGAAGAAGCGGCATCGAACAGAATTTCGACAGTCTCTTCGAAAGAGCAACGCATAAGGGCACCAGTGTCGGCCTTATTGATACCGTGTCTCGTGACGGCCATCAGCTCGCCTCGTGCGCACATGACGTCGCAAAGAATAGCCATGTGTCGGTGGTTGACGTACGAACCATCGTTGGTGAGCACGTCCTTCAATTCGCGCATCAAGGAAGCTCGCACAGCCTCAATGCCGAAAACATCCCTAATTGACTGGAAGTGGTTACAAGTCGTGCGGGTGCTGTCCACGCCATCGACGGCGAGGACATTCTTGAGATTGATGCCATCTGTGTCGAGGTACCATTCTTCGCAGGCTTTGTCGTTCTTGCTCTTGACCAGCTTGCCGTCGGCCTCCTCGACCATGCTCAGATCCTTGGACACGAACACACGTCGGATGCCAGCAACTCCGCGCAGGACGACGTTGTCAAGCATGTGTTCAGACAGTTGCTTCAACGTGTCATCCTCGTTGGTCTCTGTGCCCTCATCGTCTTTGTCGGCTCCATGCACCATACGCACGCGGATCACCATCTCATCGGAGTTGTCGTCAGAGAAAATGACAGCCACATCCTTCTGGTAGGTCTCCTGGATCTTGTGCGCGACGTCCGTGACGGTCAGACCCTTATCGAGCAATTGTCGTCGACCGAGCACAAATCGCAACATCCACTTGCTTTGAGCATCTGGGTTCTCCGCGTCATCTGGGACGATGAAGTACGAGGTGACCATGTCCCGATCTTCGTCGATAACCGTGTCTCGCACATCAGGATCATAGTAGATTTCTGCCGCGTCAGTAACATTACGTAAGCTGGTGAATTCAACCTTGGACCGAAGAAGTTTGGCGGCGTCTTGCTTGGTTGTGTTATGCGCTTCTTGGTACACCCTCATGTTGGGTGTCTTGATGTTGTCGGCAACGTTCAGAATCTCCTTGAGACGCGGCACACCCTTTGTAGTCGTCTTTGCAGTGACACCAGCCAAATGGAACGTATTGAGCGTCATCTGAGTGGCAGGTTCACCAATGGATTGTGCAGCGAGGACACCGACCATCTCTCCCGGACTGACCAAAGCACGCAAGAAGCGATTCTCAATGTCGCCCAAGATGTTGTCAAGTGCAAGTTTGCTGAGCTTGTCTTCGTTGACAAGGCGCTTGAAAGCCAATCTCGATCTGAAGAGAGCCTTGCACAGGAGTGTGGCATTCAGATCAGCTTCCAGTGTCAGCGCATCATCGCCACGAATGATCTTGAGCCTGTCGAGCAGAGCCGCGACTTTAGGGATAGTCTCACGAGGATCGAGATCGCTCTTGCTGTTGTCGTTGATCTTGAACTTGTCTCTCGCGTTTTGAATCATGCGGGAGATGTTCAGCGGCAGGAAACGCTGATCAGAAGGATCGTCCAGACCTTGACGAATCTTGATACGATCATTTCTGATGGCCTCGTACTCCTGGTCGAACAGTTCTTGCACCTCGACATCACCTTGCAGCTCACCAGCGGTCTCGAGGACGTTGGGCGATAGCGTCTGGTTCTTGCTCGTTGGGTTGATGACATCAATCTTGTACTTCTTATCGAAGGCAGAGTGTGACTGCTTGATGATCGACAGCGCCTGGCCTTCGATGAAAGTGGCGTCCAAACCGTCTTCGCCGTAGACGAACTGCAAAATGTCGCCCAGAGAGTTGCGGACGGTACCATCGTACTTGATCATGATCTCCTCCAGAGCCTTCACGAGACGACGCTGAATGTATCCGGTTTCAGCGGTCTTGACAGCAGTATCGATCAGACCCTCACGACCACCCATTGCGTGGAAGAAGAACTCCTGAGGTGTGAGACCGCGAAGGTAAGAGTTCTCGACGAATCCTCTAGATGCCGGCGAGTAATCATCCTTCGGAAAATGTGGCAAGACACGGTCCTTGAAACCAAAGGGAAGGCGCTTGCCTTCGAGCGACTGCTGGCCCACAGCTGCAGTCATTTGAGAGACGTTGGTAGTCGAGCCTTTGGAACCACCCTTGACCATGACTCCAACGTTGTTGCACGGCTTCATGCCCTTGTAAGCCGCATCACCGGCATTGTTACGGGCGTTATCGAGCGCGGCCTTCGTTTGCGACTCGAAGGTCTCCCGAATGGTCATACCTGGAAGTGCTTCCATCTCGTCTGATTGCACCTCACGCATGTAGCCATCGACGATGGCCTTCTCTTTGACGATGTTCTGTTCGATGGCCAAGACCATGTCTGCGTCTGGAACAGTGTCTCCAATACCAACACTGAAGCCGTTGTGCAACAGCCAATAGCAGACAATTCGTTGAGCTGCGTTGAAGAACTCGACGGTGGCATCAGTCCCCCGGTCATTGAAGATGAGATGGACGACACCACCTCCCGATGCACCGACAAGCTTCTTTGTGAGACGGCCCCAGATGAGCTCGCCATTCTGAATCAGGATCGACGAATCGGCTTCGGCAAGGGAGATGTGGTCCTCATCGTCGCCAATCTTCATGATGTTGAGTCCAGATGGCAGAGCCAAGGAGGCGATTTGCTTGCCAGTCCAACGTGGTACTGGCTTGAGAATCGCAGGTGGAGGCACAACGCCGTCCCAGTTGGGTACCCAGAGCAGGATGTTCATAACCTGCTCATAGTCCATCATGGTGTCTCGCTTGGTCATCATGTAGATACCTGCCATGGTGTCTTGCACGATACCCATCAGAGGGCCGTTCTTCTGCGGTGACACAATATTGTGCGGCACAGCGCAGAGATTGGCCACCTCCGCTCTCGTCTCGTGACTTTGTGGCACGTGCAAGTTCATCTCATCTCCATCGAAATCGGCGTTATATGGTGACGTGACCGAAAGATTGAGGCGGAAAGTCGAGTACGGCATCACCTTGACTCTGTGACCCATCATGGATTCCTTGTGCAACGACGGCTGACGGTTGAAGATGATATAATCACCGTCGACGATGTGGCGCTCGACAATCCATCCATTTTGAAGCTCGATCTCTCCTGCACGCTTGTGGTAGCGCAAGTCGACTCTCGAACCGTCATCGCGAATGATGTGCTTCGCTCCAGGATGCTCGCTGGGACCGTTCCGTACGAGTTCTGTCAGCTTGCGCTTGTTGTAGTCTGTGACACGCTCTGGGAATGTCAAGATTCTTGCTGTAGATCGAGGAACACCGACTTGGTCGAGATCCAGATTTGGGTCTCCAGTGATGACAGTACGTGCGGAGAAGTCGACACGCTTACCCATCAGGTTACCACGCAGACGACCCTCCTTCGACTTGAGACGAGCACGAATGGCCTTGAGGGGGCGACCAGACTTCTGAATAGATTTGGGCAGTCCGGCAATATCGTTGTCCATGTAAGTGGCCACGTGGTACTGCAGGAGTTGAGTGAACTCTTCCGTGATGTGAGCAGGAGAGCCTTCTTGCTCTGCTCTCCGCACGTTCGAGTTGGCGCGAATGATGTCGGACAGTTTGTAAGTCAAGTCGTCCTCAGATCGCATGCCTTGGCTGGTGCCGTCCACAGAAATGCTGGGCCGCACAGCTGGCGGTGGCACCGGTAGCACAGTCAAGATCATCCACTCTGGTCGTGCATAGTCCAAATTCAGACCTAAGCGTTGAAGATCGATCTCAGGAATCAGACGAAAGACCTGCAGTGCCTGAAGAGGAGTGATGACTCTCTTCTCTGGGCCCGCGTCCTCTCCAGTATCCTCATTCTTGGGCAGTTTCCAGGTGCCAACCAGCTTCAACTGATCTTTGCGAATGGTGGGCTGTACGTTGCCGCAACCACCGTGGCCAGGAGCCTTGGGCTTCTTCGGGTCTTCACCAAAGTTTTTATCTTCAGACTCCGCCTCGTCTGGTTGACAATCCATCTTCGGCTTGCACAGCTGCGTGATTCTGTGGAAGCGTTGCTTTGGATCACGAAGTCTGATGGCGCGCGCAAACTGTGGGTTGCGCTGTACAGATACGTGTAAGCACTGGACGTAAAAGACACTCACTTACCGACACGCGAAAGAAATGATGGCAACTTACTTCATCTTCCAAAAGCTTTCCACAGTTGTGACAGACCGACTCAAGGATCTTCTTGATCTTGGTGATGAACCCTGATCACGTGAAAGTTAGCATTTGCAGTGGCACGGACAGTCGCGTGCTTCGCGTCCAACGTACCAACGTGGTAGACGGGGACCGCCAGCTCGATGTGGCCAAAATGCCCGGGGCATTCTGTCTGGCTTTCACCGCAAGTGGCGCACATCTGGCCGCGGTCGATCGTGCCGAGCTTGGGGTCATTCAAACCCTTCTCGCGTGGGCGATTGCGCTGCTCGTCCATGGTCTCGGGATACTCGATGTGACAGACACTCATGCTCTTAATCTCTTCGGGCGAGAAGAGTCCGAATTGGATCTCCTGCACCGTCTTGAGGGGCGCGTCCGAATGCACGAAGTTCGCCATGTTCGCGGTTGGGTAGGTGAAACAGCTGTGTTCGCGAGTCGATCGAGCAGCGTGCTGGCCGTCTCCAAATCTCAATCAGAGTCGCGCCTTGTCGTGGTGCGAATCGATGCGCTTCGTGCGCTCTCCACTGCCTTCGCTCGCTATCCGCCACCTCACTCCCCTGTCAACACCGCGCAGCCTCGTGAAGGCGGGCGCCGCGCCTCAGACACTCAAAACCACTCCGTCGCGCCGTTCTTTCGCCGATATGCGTGGTTCGTCGATGCTCGCGGATGAAATGGCGGCGCAGTTGGCGCGGTAAGAATGGGTGTGGTGCGACCGTGACGTGCGGCTCGTGGTGTCAATCGTGGCCCGCCAGCGACCGAAAGAGCGCGCGAGTTGTCCTCCCGTGGCAGTGTGTCTCGATGACAGCGATTCCGCACGCGAACCAGGCGGAGTCGATGATGTTGTCGCGGTGGAGGGTGGGTGTTGTGGTGATGGAAGCCTGACCAGAGGCGAGCAGTCTTGATGCCAAGCGGCGGCCGGCTTCAAAGAGCCGCAACGCCGGAAACGTCTGTGCACGCCACCGGTGTCTCGACGTGCGTGCGGCCTCCACGAACAAACAAACGGCTGCGATCTTGTCACAACCAATCGTTGCACGATTGACTCGGCCTGCTGACGAGGGGTTCAGTCGTCGCAAGAGACGTGCTGGTTGACAGCGCCTCGTACATACACACACTCTGTCGCCGTCGCTGCAGAGTCGCGGCAAGTCCATGGCGAGCCGCGTGCTCTGCCTCTCCCCTCTCCCATTCACCCTCACTCCCGCTCTTGTGACTCTGCGCCGACTGCATGCCCCGCGCGCATGCCTGACTCACCCTCTAGGCAGCACCACGCGCGACCATGAACCTGCCGCTGTCCGACCCGGCGCTGTTGGCGCAGGAGACCCCCGAGACTCTGGTCGCGCGACTCCGCTCCTCTGGCCAGGCTGTCTGCATTCGCTTCTCCCACCGCGGCGATCTCCTCGCATCTGGCACTGCTAAGGGCACTATTGCCATCTTCGACCTCGAGACGAATGGCGTGGCACGCAAGCTGCGAGGCCACACCAGCGGCCGCACGGTTCAGTCGCTGTCGTGGGAGAAGAGCGGGCGCTACCTTTTGAGCAGCAGCATAGATTGGAAGGTCATTCTGTGGGACCTAGCTGATGGCAGCAGACTGCGCACCATCAACCTCGGCGCGCCCGTCTACATTGCAGAGCTGCATCCCAACAATCACCACATGTGTGTGGCCGCGCTGTACGAATATCGTCCGGTTCTTGCAGATTTCACCGACGACAAAAAGGTCACACAACTCGCCCTGCCCAACTTGCCAAAGCGAGCTCCTCACGAAGAGGGCGGCGAGAAGGCGGACGCGAAGCACTTTACCACTGTTGCTGCTTTCACCCCGAGCGGCTCCCACATCATCACAGGCACTACCAAGGGCTGGCTTAATGTGATCGACACCACGACTCGCGAGACCGTCTACAGCACGAGGCTATGTAGTAAACCCATACTGCTCATCAGGCTTAGCAGTTCGGGCCGCGATTTGCTTGTCAACGCCTCCGACACCGTCATTCGGACTATAAAGCTTCCTGACCTGAGCGACCCCAATCTCCATCCGGACAACATCCGTCTAGAAGTTGAGCACAAATTCCAGGACGTTGTCAATCGCCTATCCTGGAATCACGTTGCCTTCAGTAGCAACGCCGACCATGTCATGGCTTCGACGCTGATGAATCATGATATCTACATTTGGGAGCGCATACACGGGTCGCTGGTGAAGATTCTGGAGGGTCCTAAAGAAGAGCTTGGAGCTGTAGAGTGGCATCCAACACGCCCATTTGTGGCTGCGACTGGGGTGGAAACTGGCCGAGTGTATCTCTGGTCGATTAACACACCGCAAAGATGGTCAGCGCTTGCGCCCGATTTTGTCGAGGTCGAGGAGAATGTGGAATACATTGAAAAGGAGGACGAGTTCGACATCCATGACATGTCCGAGCTGCAGAAGAGGCGATTAGACCAAGAAGATGAGGAGGTAGATGTCCTGACCGTGGACGAGGAACAGCTGGCAAGGGAAGGCATGAATATAAAGAATGGCACAGTGCAGGCAGGCGAGGAGTTCCGCATGCCTGTACTGCTGGATATAGGTGAATCCGACAGCGAAGACGAAATCGTTGCAGTCGGAGCTGGCCAATTCAGACGCAAGAGTACCGCGCAGGCGGATGAGATGGAGTTTGCCGATGGCGAAGATGTCGCTAATGGCGAGTACGAAATCAATGGTCACTCTGGATCGAAGCGCCGCAGAGGGGATTGAAGATGAAACACGAACAGGGCAACCCAACTCGGCGACTACAATACGCTGCAGGTTGCATCGAAGGCTTTTGCAGGCATCAACCACCAGGTGCAATTACTCGTTCCCCACGCCAACGGGCACGCTCAAAGCATCGAGCAGAGCTCTGACTTGATCGCAAGTAGAGTGTGTGGATGACTAGATGTACCTGGCTACCCAATACTAAGCAGTCAGAGTCCATGAAACACTGTTGGCCAGCGTCATTCTGCATCTCACACCTCGCGCATGAAGCCGGTCGAATAGCAGTGGACATCATATTGGAGTCCAGAGACGAGTTTGATAAGAGGAACTTGGAAGTCGAGAACCTCTGTAGCACGCCCAAAAGCATTGGCGAATCAGAACGAGCCAATCTGCAGAACCACTGCATACAGTGCCATTCCTCACATAGCCTCGCATTCCTCAAATATCACCCCGTCGTCCACGCGCTTTGAGACATCTGATTCCTGAAGCATTGTGAGGTCAACTCGCATTTTACTTTTCTTTCGTACATAATCAGTTATATACACACATATGGCAATGCCGTTCATAACCTCATTCCCGCAAGAAGTAATCTATTGCGTATACTGCCTCTGCAACAACTTCGCAATCGTCGTCAATTGGATATTGCTTGTACCCTCATAAATTTGTCCAATCTTGCTGTCTCGCCAGTACTTCTCTGCAAGTCCCTCTCGCACGAAACCCATACCTCCCATCCATTCGATGGCTTGGCCGGAGACCTTACCGGCAATGTTGGAAGCGTACAATTTCGCCATTGCGGCGTCCATGACGAAGTCTTGACCGGCTTCCTTCTTTCGTGCGGCGTTATATACGAGAGCTCGTGCGGCTGTGATTTCGGTCCAGGCTTGGGCGAGTTGATGTTGCATGCCTTGGAATTCGCCAACGAGGGCACCGAATTGCTTGCGGTCGTTCCAGACGTATTTGGCGGCGTTTTCAAAGGCACCAAGAGCGAGACCTGTCATTTGGGCAGCCTGTAGATCTATGGTTAGTTGAGGCTCGTGCTGTTGAAATCCTCATGGACAACTTACAATACCGATACGGCCCTCATTGAGGATACCAATCGCATACTTGTATCCGTCACCCTCCTTGCCCAACAAGTCCCCAAGAGGGATCTTGCAGTCGTCAAAGTTGAGCACGCAAGTTGAAGAAGCCTTGATACCCAGCTTCTTCTCCTTCTTCGCGATCTTGAGCCCAGGGTTCTCTTTGTCAACAATGAAAGCGGTAATACCCTTGTAGCCCTTCTCTGGGAACAAGTTGGCGAAGACGATGAAGAAGCCAGCCTCCATGGAGTTTGTGATCCACATCTTGCTGCCATTGATGATGTAGCTGTCCGATGTCTTCTCCGCCTTGGTCTTCATAGCGAAAGCGTCCGAACCTGAAGCTGGCTCTGACAAGCAGAAAGAACCCACAGTCTCCGTGGCCAGCCTTGGGAGCCACTTCTTCTTGCTCTCTTCTGTGCCGTATTTCATGACAGTCGTGTTGACCAGCGTATTGTGCACATCGCACATGACACTGACACTGGGATCTACTCGGGCAAGTTCCTCAATGCCTACAATCGCAGCCGTAAAGTTCATGCCCGCGCCACCATACTTTTCTGGGATCTCGACACCCATGAGGCCTTGCTCAAACAGCTGCTCCACAATCGAGGGGTCCATCTTCTCAGCCTCGTCCATATCCCGCACCTTGGGTAGGATCACATCGTTGGCGAACTTCTGCACGGATTCGGCCATGGCAGCCTCGACTTCGTTTAGGTGGAAGATTGGTGTCGGCTGTAGTGTCTCGAGATCGATCGTCTGCTCGTTGCGCCGGCTCGGAGTGGTTGAAAGACATCGTGAACTGCTGCTGCTATCAGCCAGGCCTATTCTCGCCCTCGATCTGTTTTCTTACGCTTGTGCTGGACGTGCAAAGGCGGAGCGTTTCGCTGCTGCTCGTGTGCATTGTGGTGCAGCTCTTGCCAAGGGCCGGAGGGTCTTTGCGAGGGAAGCCATGGTGGACGAAGAAGTGGTATACTTGGAGATCACGCGTGTTGTACGACCAGACGAGGACGGTGAAGATAAATCGTGGCGTGTGTCTTCACGAAGGGCCGGGGCAAGGGCATCCACATCATGTGAAGAGCCGCATCAAAGCGATCTACCTCGGATCACATGCCGCACCAGCCATGGCATACGCGAACTCTATCGCGTTCGCACTACAACAAGACCCCAGACTGCCCACGTCCGTTCCCCGTGGAGAGACCATCATCTCGGTCTCATCGTCGTTTGGGTTGCTGCTCATTCACCTTCACACACAGGCTGTTGGCCCGGCTCTCGTTCACGTTCGTGAGAATGCTGGATGCGACTTCCGTGCTGCTCAAAACCGCGAGAAGGGGCGAGATTCGGCCGTTGCTCGCGCTCAAGATCCGAGTGTAGCATGGCAAACCGCCGAGCGAATACCTTTTATGGTCGGATATGCTCTTGGCAAGGATGGTCATGTCTTCTCCGAGTTGGGAACCGCAATGGCCGCAGCCATGGAGTAAGAGCAGTGGAAACGAAGAAGAGGTGACCCTGGCAGAGCACAGCAGTAGCCACGAGGCCAGATTTGTCGGCCCCCCAAACCTTGCTAATATTGCTGGAAGACATGGAACTTTATTTCATATCTCATAAGTACTCATGCGCATCTTCATAATTGCTACAGGGAGATGGTAACCAGATTACTTGGCTTTCGGCCAGACCTCAGCCACGAAATCCTCCCTATCCTTGACGAATAGATCCGCCCTTTCCATGGCAGCGAAATGTCCTCCCTCCTTGTGGGCACGATACCAGACCAGGTTACCACTGGTGGCCACCCAGTCTCGTGGGACAGGCGCGAGCTCTTCCGGATGCCACGAGTAGCCGAGAGGCTTCTTGATATAGTACTCGGGATCGTTGTGGCTAAATAAGTGTCAGTACTGCTGCAAGAATTGGCATGAGGTAAGAGCGAAACTTACAAAAATGACGGCTGCGCGCCGAAGAACTGCCTGTATGGGTAGATGGCTCGAGGGAACGATTCCGTGAACCAGTATAGAGTCGCTCCGTCGAGTATCTCGTCAATCGGAGGCGTCACGTCGGTCCATTGCTGGAACTTCTCTCCGATTCAGGCCAACAGCGAGATTGGGCTGGCGGACAGCACGAGACCGATGGTCGCTGGTCGAGTTCCGTGCTAGTACCAGTCAGTATGGTATAATCATGTAAGAGATCTCATTGGATTGAAGCTCACCTCTCGAGCATACGCATTACCCAACGTCGCAAAGTCGGTAATACGTTGCACACCCTTCTTCTCAGCATCCGTCAAGCCTTCCGTCTCACCTTGAAGACCGATTGCAAGATGCAGATGCACAGCCTTGCAAGAAGGAGAAGTCACGCCAAGGACTCTGGTAATAAAGCTACCAATATCGCCACCTTGAGCAATATAGCCATCGCCGAAGCCAAGACCGACCATTAGCTTATCTAAAACCGCTGCCATTTTCTCTGTTGTCCAATTCTTATCCAATGGTGGACCAGAAGAGTATCCATAGCCCGGCAAAGAAGGCACGATAACGTGGAATGGCAAATCCTCAGGCTTATACTTCGACTTCAGCATATCCAGAGCCGCGAGGAACTCCAAGAAAGAGCCTGGCCAACCATGGGAGAGCAACAATGGCACGGCATCTTTCTTCTGCGAGAAAAGCGCAACGAAGTGAATGTCGAATGTGAAGCCTTCGTGCTCGATTGGCACAGTGAAATTGTTGAAGCTGTTGATGCGAGCTTCAGTTTTGCGCCAGTCGTATTTGGTCTCCCAATGTTGCTTGGCGTCGCTCAGCCATTGACGTGATATACCGAAGTGAGTGTAATCTTTGACATTCGCTGTCTGGTTTTCATATGTCTTGGGGCCAATCTTCGATAATTTGAGAAGTGGTCGAGCTCTTGCTCGCTGACTTCAGCCTTGAGAGAAGCGTTACTTGGGATTTGGTCGAAGGGCATTATTGGTGGTTGTGGCCAGAGTAGTATTGTTCTTCAGGTCAAGTCTGTTCGCCAATCGTTGTGGGGAAGCTGAACTATATAACACATTGGGACGTTGCAATGACCCATACAGGTTATGGGCTGGACCAATACCAATCGGTCGACTACATGTGCCATTGCGTAGCTGAACTTTGTCGTGAAGAAGACATCCAAAGCTTGACCGTACTCTGTAGCTCCCATCCAGATCACCGAGATGGCGGAGAGGCCACTGTGCTCCTCTTTCGCAAGATTGGACCCGACTACCTGGATAATACAGGAGCGGTCTGGGCCTCTTTGATCCCGTTGTGTTCGCAGAGAAATTGCAAGCGTGTACCTTGGTAACAAAAGTGTCGAGGCGGGGAACACCACTGACAGGAACGCTTGGCGTGTGATCATCTCGAGCTTCCTCTCTGTTCAGCTCTCAAAAACCACTTTCAGGCCTCGTCTCGGAGCACCAAGCTATGACCTCGCCTCGGACGCCACACTACATATGATCGGACTTTCCAAACTGCAGGGACCTTGAACGAGTCCGTGATCGAGCCCAGATTGTCATGACCATTCATATAGGGCATAGGGTGGGAGGCGTACACAGTGGTGAGCGATGCATGTCAATATACCGTGAAGAGCGACTGGCAGGCAGTCCAACCTGCCCGCTTCAAAAGAGACAGAGTCGGAAGTCAACCTCCGGGCACGAGACTGCCTCTCAAGATTGAAGGTCCCAAGTTTTATAACGGCATGCCATGGCAAATCCAGGTCCAGCGTCGCCCATGCGACATAGTGTTCGACGCTGAATGTCATGCTCGATACGACTCCTTCTCAAAGTCATAGCAGCGCGTACTCCTCGACACCAGTCCGTTTCCTTGGTAGCACCAACTTCCTGGAAGAAGTTCAACGCGACATCGTTGACGAATTCGCTAAAATCCACATAAGCCAGACCATCGAATGAGGTGTAGTGATATAGGCTCTGACAAAGGCTCACGGCTTGTATAAAAGCTCGTTTCTCGACATCTTTGATCGTTTCTGGTCGAATACACACAGCAGTCATTGCCTTGAAGTGTAGCAACCGAAGGAGGCTGCAGTCCAGAACGATGTAGGCCAGAGCAGCCAAAGTATGATTCTGGACAATCTTCATCGGCAGGCCGAATCGAAGGAATTTGTTGAAGACCTTTGACTTTTGCATGTACAAGTGCTCCTCGTTGTTCAGCATCGGAGTGCTTTCCGTCATATCTACCAGTTCAGGAATTTCCCAAGAAGGATCCTTGCTGGAATTGACGAGGCTTGTGAACCACTGTGTGACGTCCTGCCGAAGGTCGTATATGTCTTGACATAGGCCTTTCAGGGCTGTTGGCACCAACGGCACTGCTAGTATCCGATCGACTCTTTCTAATATGCTCGGTATCCTCATAGCGGCCGAGTAGTAGCTGGTGAACGTGTCCGTCACAGGATTGATGTCTTGCGCGAGGTGCAGCCATTCGGGTCGTCCGAATGCAATCGCTTTGCGTTTCGCCACGCCGAGAAAGAAGCATGGCATTCGCAAGGAGTTGAAGAGCATTTTGTCGAAAGGATCATGCAATCTGATACAACTTGGCCCATATGCCCCAAGCAGATTCTGACATGCCCAGTAGTGGGCTCGCCACCCGTTCTCCCCATCGGAAGGCATAGGTATCGAGCCGTCGTACAAACACAATAGCATCATGCTCGTAATGACAGCCCGCGGTTCTACTAATGAAAGACGTGAATTCTTGTGGACAGTGGTAATCAACATCGACAAGACTTGACCATAGGAGGCCTGTGACCTCTGGACGAGTCGCTGATCCCCTGTTTTGGCACCAATGTGTGCCCAGCACAGTGCGTTAATCGCAGCATTCAGCATCGGAGTGCTTTCGACGTCGAGGTCTGGTAATATGGCCAAATAAGATCCACGATTGGCGAGACCAGCTCGAGCCTTTGTAGACGGGAAGTTGACCCCAAGAAAATCGCTGAGCATCTGCATCTGCTGCACAGGCCGCAGATTGATACTGACATATCGTGGTGCTTTAGAACGTGGACAATCGCTCTGGACGGCGGTCGCGCCACGTATGGCTAGTTTTGTTAACGCAGTATTCCTGGAAGTCGTCAGCAAAAATTGATGTGTCTTGATTCCCCGTTGAGTCGGTGCATATATATCCGGCCGAGCTCATGCTGACGGGTACCACTTCACCACCACACGAATGGGAATGCGAAGGACCGGGCCATTTACACCTACCGGTGAGAGACAGGTTGACCGTCTCTGTGACCATCTGCTCTGTCGTGTCGAGACACATTTCTTAAACTCTTCGCTAATGGTTGATCTTCGTAACGCCACTCGATCAGCGTCTTTGTTTTCCTCACCTCTCGAACACAGCATACCTGGGGCGTGCACAAATATTCTCTCGATGGAATTCACGGTACATGTTTGGCAGTACGATCCAGTCCTGCCTCGCTAGGGGACGGCGTCTCCGGTCAGCACTGCTGCATGGTCCTGTGGACACGATTGCCGAGTTTGTCCCACTTACTTCTTCAACACGACCACATTGCTTGCATGTGGTCAGCCCCGCTGGCAGATTCATGGCACGCGGATTGGAATAGTCGACCGAACATCACGGAATGACTTTTTTGCACCGCTTCGTGTGACTACGGAGATGCAGCCCATAGTACCATGGGTCCGAGAGTGAAGCACGCCAGATCGTCGCGGTCCACGTTGTCCTGCTTGGCGCTGTTTCTCGCCATCAAAGTCGCTAAGTCGGAAGCTTGAAAGTCCGGCGCAGTCCATCTCCAGAACACGCGATTGTGCATGATGTCATCCGGAGGGACAACGGGGAAGAGATGGAGTACGAATGGCGGATTTCTGGCGAGCTGCAACGATGAACATTGTCTGCGCGGAGGAAGTAGCCTGTACTTCGAGTGAGGTGCGTGCGGCCAGTGCACTTTCCCTTGGCACATTGCATCGACAGCCACTGCCACACCAACTCTGTCAAGCAATAGTTATGTGATGCACGACCACGATCAAATAATGTCACGGCGGGCAAGGAAGTGACTGTCTAAGGAGTCAAGGATGACACTGGATCAAGAGCAAGGACAGTTCAGCCGCTTCGCATGCCGTGACCGAATCCGTCAAAGCTGCTCACTCCGTGCTTGGAGGCGAGAATATTGCTGGAGTAGCTACACATTGAATTGATGGCCGGACGAAATGAGTGCATTGGCAAGGGCATTGCTAGATATCGAGGTTGGTCGTCCACTGCGCTTGAACTGGGATTCCTCGCTCCATCACACTCTCAATCCACTGTTGGAGGTGCGCGTGACAGCACCTGACTGCATGGAAGACACGAACAACCAGGGTGGAATGCGGAGGAGTTGTCCTTCCACCGCGCTGTATGTACTGCGTGCAATTCTAACTCTTCTCGGTAGCCATTCCCACGATACAGACGCTTCGTTCCAGCCATTGCTTCACTCAATTCGTCAGATTGCTTCACGCCATTCCGTGATTTCGTCAGTCTGCGAGGATGGCCCTTCTCCGCCTCGCCAAGGGGGCATTTCCTGTCTTGCTGTCCCTGTACCCTGAGCGAGCACGAAATCGTTCGGTACCAAGGTCACGCTAGCATGGTTTAACGTGGGTTAGCTGTCCATCTGCCGTGACCCCTGCCTCCAAAGTCTCGGATTGGGGAAAGGATTTCTTCCGTGGGTCACCAGAGCTCGTGCAGCGACCAGTGGAACATCGCATGGCGATGAGGTGTTGGATATCTCGTGGGTGCTTGTGTGCTTCTTCATCATCGCCTACGGGACGGGAATTTGCCAGACTCGCATGATGCGTGGACGGATCGGCGACGCGCCATTCCACTGGTGCAGCCAGGCACAGATGGGGCTGAAGAATAAAAAGGTTCCTGCCCGATGCGGACTAATGTAGGATGCGTGCAACGAAGGTAGAAGGAGACGTTCTTTGCCTGTTCAAGAGTTGGGGCAGCGCACAGCAGCTTCCCAGAGTCTCGCGCCCCAGGTCTGTGTTGTTGGATGTTGCAACGATGGCTCGGGACCGCATCGACATGTGCAGTATCCAGGATGCGTCTGGTCCAGCAGCGCTCCGCCGACGACTCGCGTGTGGCGTAGGCCGCACCTGAGTCGCAACCACAGACAGACACCGGACGACTGCCTCCTCGCCACATGAGCGGCGGGCGCTCTAGCTGCAGCTCGGCATTCGCATCGCCGTTCCTCCTCACACAGATAGGGTAGAGGCCGAGCACGGATGCAGCAATCGATCGACAGTAGTATGCAGACGTTCCGTCGAGCTTCTTTTTAGTGTCCCTCCATGTCTCCCTGCGTTTTGTGCTTTTGCGGCAGGCATTGCGCGTTCTGATCGCACGCAGGCATTTGCAGAGCACACCTCATCTTTTGCATGCTGCGCACCGGGAACCACTCTACTTGACAAATATTGTTATTATTCTTGCTGCGCATTGGATGCACCAAGCCGTCTGTGTGGAGTTGCAGGGGCATCGGGGCCTAGAGGCAGGCCGCTGCGAAGCTACTGGGCTCGGAAATGGCAGAGCAGCCCGTTTCGCCCGGCGTTGACGAGACTACGACCCAAGGAGTGGTCACCACTCCATTATATGCTTCCTTTCCCCTCCCAGCTTCCAACTCACGCGCGAGCCATGGCCACGCCGTGACAATGGACGACAGCACGCGCAGCAATGCCATGTCGCCGACGCCCAGCGACCGCTCCGCCGCCGCCTCTCCCAATTCGGCCCGGCAGCACCATGCTGCGACACCAGCCAATGTCTATCCACCGCCCGCCTATGTCTCTCCCTTCGGCGCGTCGCAGTCCGTGAGCCAGCGCAAGCGTCGCATGAGCGACCTTGAGAGCAACGATGAGGACCAGCCCGCCCGCCAGGATATGGACTTTTCCGATGCCTCGCTCGCCCTCCTGAACGGCTTCCTGGACCATCTACTGTACAGCATCCTGCTCCAGGCGCGTTCTACGACGTTGACGGTGCTCCGGCCGGCTGTGACGGAAGTGCTCAGGTCACGGCTTGCCAGCGAGGCCATTGCAAGCGCTGATGAAGAGCTGTCAGAATTACTGGCGGGCGGCGAGGAGGAGGAAGACGAATTGAATCAGAAGCAGAGTGTTTCGGAACGCCAGCGGAAATGGGACACGGAGCTGGTGTGGAAGCGCACACGGCTACGAGTCATGGTCTACATTCGCTTTGGAGACATTGAAGACGAAGACGAGGAGCGTTTTGTGCGCGAAGACGAGCTGTTCAAGACCGGCGACCGCCGATTCTCGCATTCGACCGGCCTCGTCTCCTGGGCAGCGGCGATATTCCTGACCTCGATCCTGGAGTATGTCGCGGAACAATTGCTGCAAGTGGCTGCGCAGGCGGCCGATAATCGTGCACGACGTCTCAGCCGCACCTCGCGTGTCACAACGTCAGCTTCCGACCAGGTTACACCCGTGGAGGGTCTGGTTGTGCATGAGCACGACATGGAGAAGGCGGCCGTGCTGCATAAAACGGCCGGAAGGCTGTGGCGCCAGTGGAGGAAGTCTTCGCGCGGTTATGCTGTCGCTTCGCCAACTCCCACGAATGACCGCAGCACCAGACCAAACGGCTCCTCTCGCAACACGAGTGGGGATCACATCAACGGTGCTGCCATTAATCCGAGGCAGAGCAGCGTGGGTGCCACCGAATCAGGCTCCACAATGGACGAATCTCGGCCCACTTCCAGAATGATGCCAGGCGACAAGGATGTTGTCGACGACGAAGCTGCCAACGACATCGACTACCCTGAACATGTGCTCGCTGCGAATATTCCTCTGCCCATGGCGAACGAAGAGCGAGATATTGAGGAAATTAACGATCCCGAGCATGTCATCGCTGCGAGAATTGCCTTGCCGATGGCCGACGAGAAGCGGGATATCGAAGACATCGAGTATCCGGAACATGTGATTGCAGCGGCCACCCCACTGCCATTGGTCGACGAGAAGCGAGACGTTGACGAGATCGAGGTGCCTGGTCTGGCGAGAGATCCCGATGAGTTTGATGCTGAAGATTTCGAAGAATTGGTGGCTCCGCGGAGGAACAGTTGGACAGGCTCTCTTTCTGTACCTGTAACTATGAGCGCGGTTGCCTTGCAGGTAGAGGTTGGAGGGCAAACCGATCCTGCCATGGACACGTCGATACCCGAACAGCCCGCGGACACGAAGCCATCCACGCCTCTGCGCGCCCGCTCTTCTTCAGCCCCGAACCCACCGCCGAAGCGTTCGCCGCGCATACTTCCAGCGACTACCGATGAGTCAACAGCAGAAGCCGAGACTGGCGATGTCCGCGATAGCGACAGAGCGCAAGACGGGGAGAATGCGCTGGAATCAGAGGCCTCGGATAACCCTACGCACAAGCAAGAAGTCCACCCAGCTTCAAGCCTTACTGCTGAGGGGTCGTCGAACAACGCGACAGGAGTAAATCATGAGAGCTTGCCTGCAGTTGTTGCCGCAGCATCGGCCTCCGGCGTGGTCGCAGCGGCGGCGGTAGGATCCGTATCGCGCCTGTCGAAACCGAATAGCACTGAAGAGCTGGATGCCAGAAATCGGGGTGCTGCAAACGAAGAGGGAAGCATCGCGATGGGTGCAGGAGCGCCGGAACATATCGACAAGCGAGACAGTCAAAAAGCCCTCCAGGACATGAAGCGCATGAGCCTGCCTGCAGGACAGAATCTCGTGCGTAGGTCGACGATGCAGCAAAATGGCGAAGAGACCCCTCGTGTTGCGAAACGGATGTCACTCACGCAAGCCGTGTTGATACGGCCACCATCAAACAAAGACCAGCTTCCATCACCTGCCGCTTTGAACGATGTCTCTCGAGACTCCACTCGCTCAGATGGCGCCGATGAGGAGCAGACGACTGATATAGGTCTTGCGAGGACGTCAGACACTGCAGTTTCGTCGCCTACAAAGGGAGATTCGGATGAGGGAGTCTATCCTGCAAGGGATGAATTCACGAATCAGGCGCCGCGTCGAACCACGCGCATCGTGCTCGGCGACTCACCGGTGTCATCGACCTCCTCGTTCAAGAACAGCCCACCATTACAACAGGAAGAAGAGAAGGACACGACTACGCTCAGTCCAGAATCATTCCTGAAGCGTCGTTCACTTTCGGCGAAAGGCGTGAAGCAGGTCCAGCATTTGAACCTTGTCGGTGCACAAGCGTTGCAGGACCAAAGCAGGCTGTCCACACCAAAATCTTCGATTCGGATGAGCGCGTCAGATAGCTCAATCTATGCGAATGGGCCGGTGTCTCCCGTATCAGACAAGCCGCCTTCACCATGGCGACAGTCCTTCTCGGCTGCGATCAAAGAGACTACTCAATGGGCGTCTTCGTCGAAGAAGTCAGCCTTGGAGCCAGAATCGAACGGTCCCGTGCATGAACACCCCGCTCTGCAAAAGAAAGCCTCGAGAAGCCAAACATCGCTGAAGGAGACGGAGAGCTTGCAGCCACTGACCAGTGCCAGTATCCGGGGTCCCGAGGATTTTGAGATGTTTGTGCAAGGAGGCGACACCGTGAAATACACCCTCACGCCAGAAAGTGTCAGGGATGATCCAGTGAGTGTCCGGTACGATTTGCAAGCCATGTGCTTAACTGACCGCCTGCAGTCGACTCCCGCAGCCGTGCCGAAGACGCCTCGCAGCGCGGAGACACAACCATCTTCTCCGAACAACACATCGTCATTGCAATCACCTGTTGAGGATGCGCGAGTAGGCAGGAGCCAAGCCGCCAGGCAAGCGACTGGGGCCGACGCGAGTGCAGGTGCAGCGGATGAGCGCGCTCGATCCCCGACGAGCAATAGGGACAAGCGAAGGTCGATCAGCCGGCCTCCCGTCAGAAATACCAGCGTGCATAAGAGGAGTGGACTCATGGCTCGCGAGCCACAAGTCCTCACTGAGTCGACAAGGGATTTTGCAGACTTCATTCGATCTACAGGACCTGATAGAGAGCCTGAGCTCCGACCTCTGCTCAGCAACCGGTCGACCACATCCCTGCAACTTCTGCGAGACGCACACAGCAGTGGGTCGCGTTCACAATCCCCGGCACCCTCTCGTGCTCGAAGCATGAGCAGGTCCAACATCGAGGCTGAAGATCTGCCACCCGTCCCCGTCGTGCCGCCGCCAATGCCAGCCGGAAACCGCGTTCGAAGCAATATGCAGCCACGAGCCCCGACTCAGACTGCTGAAGATGGCACAGCAGAACTCATTGACTTCATCCGGAATGGTCCTATGAGCTCTGGTATTACTGAATCTGGCGACAAGAGACAACATCGCATCTCGCGCTCAGTGGCACCATTCCGAACCACCATGGACTCGGATCAAATGCAGGAATGGGGCGAGCGGTACACACCACAACCTGATCTTAAGATCAACACGAGCATGGGTGGCCCCATCAACAATTCCAGCGCTCGTAGCGTCCCGTCTTCACACAACTCTTTCCGAAACTCGGCCACTTCGCGATCCGCACTATTGCAGAACAGCGCCGGCACCACGCAGGACGTTACACAGCCAGCTTACGGCGACCAACCCCCGCGTCTCACTACTGTCATACCACGATCTGTCCAGCAAGCATTTCCGACGCCAACTGAAGGAACAGGCAAAACGCGATACAGGAACAAAGACCCGTACGCCATTGACTTTGACGACCTTGATGATGACGATGACGATTTCTTTACCGCGTTGCCGAAAGGAAGACAACGCGAACAAGAGAGCTTAATTGACTTCCTTCGTAACAGCGAGCCTCCTGAAACGAACAACTCGCGTTCTAATTCCAATGCCAACAACTCCGCATCCCCGGCTGCTGCACGGCTTGGAACCACGCCACAAGCCCTGCAGACTTTTGGTGCCGATGCAGTCAGCTACGGACGCAAAGGGTCATTGCCGAAGAACGATGGCCCGCAAGCTGCCAGAGCCACACCAGCTGTGCGTGGCAACGGCACTGCTACGATAGCAGTTGGTCCGATCACCAAACCTCGACCGAACTTTGGGGTCCCTGATCGCGACGCGGATTACACAGGACCTGGGGGCACACGAGATCTCGCTGATTTCTTCAAGCATTCTGCACCCCCATCGTCATCGGGCTCCAATATGCCACGCAGCGCACAAAGATCAGACAGTAAAGCATCGATTTCAAACAGCAAATCGAGCATCACGAGCTCGCAGAAGAGGAGCAGAATGAGCTTTCTCGGAGGTGGCATGAGCAGCATTTTTGGGCGAGGCAGTCGGAAAGCCTATCTCGACATGTGATGAGTTGGCGCTTTTTGTTGCGATTCCATTTCTTTTCTCTTTTCTTTTTTTGAAATGCCACGGAAGGACATGGCCACGGCGTTCACTTCAGGACTGTCCCTTGTGGAGAGGTCACTTGCGGAAAAGCGTTACGGAGTCGGAGGGGGCCAGACCCAGACTCAAAGATACCATCTGTTTCCTATTTGTTCCTAGATACTGGAGTGCATAGCACGCGCGTGTTGTAAAGCTGTATAGTCGGTGTATGATCGCTATTGTGATCCAGGCACTTTCCTGCCATCCCTATGCAACTTTTCGTCCGCCTCATTCGGGACTCAATGCCATTTGCTGGTCAGCGCGGGCGGCTGCGGGCAACCTCGGCCAACTTATCAAAAGTCAAATTCCAACCTTGCAAGAGAACATCACTTTGATGTTTGCAAAGATAACACCAATCTGGCAAGCTCGGCATCCGGCGTCAATCATCTGTGACAAAAATGTCTCGCCCCACGACAGACAAGCAACCTTACAAGCTCGAATGTGATTCTTTAGGGTGTATCGAGGGCACGACATTATTCAGATCCTCGGACAAGGCCGAATTGCTTACCTACTTTGGTGGTCTGCCATATGCATTACCTCCAGTAGGACAATACAGATTCCGGCAGGCTCGACCACTACCGGAGGAATATCGGTATGGCACTAAAGTCAACCCAGGACGCTTCCAGAATAGTGCCGCAGTCTGCCCTCAGCCAGGCTGGCGATCGGATGAAGAAACAGCGCAATGGGATGAAAACTGCTTGCAATTGAATATTTATATTCCTGCTGGCAAACGCCCAGAAGCGGGTTGGCCGGTTTACTTTTACATACATGGCGGGTTCCTGCAATGGGGTTCACCAAACTTTGGTCCGGAATCTCTCGTCCCTCTGCTAGCCGAGACTGCTTTTGAGGCAATTATTGTTGCCCCTGCATATCGCGTCAATGTATTTGGCTTCATCGCAAGCACAGAGCTCCGTGATGAAGCTCGAGCGTTTGGCGAGCCGACTGGCAATCAAGGGTTCTGGGACCAAAGGCTGGCACTGGAGTGGACCTCGCGGAATATTGAGGCTTTTGGAGGCAATGCGCAGAACATCACAATCGGTGGCTACTCGGCCGGATCTCACAGTGTCTTTCAGCAGCTCGCTCACGAACTCTACTTCGTCCCAGATGACAAAGCGATCATTAATCGGGCCATCATGTGGTCGAACAGTCCTGGCGTGCAGGCCAAAGGGATAGATGAGCAACAGAAGCAATTCGACGAGTTGCTGGAGAAGCTCAATATTTCCAAGTCTCTGCCGCCTCAGGAGAAGCTGCGTCAGCTGAGAGCAAAACCAGCCATCGACATTGTGAATGCAAACAATGAGATGCAATACTCAGAGTTCCGAGCAACTTCGGACGATCATTTCGTGTCGAAAAACTTGGTGGCAAACATCAACTCGGGCGACTTCGGCAGACGTATGAAGGCAAGAGGCATCAAGTTGATGAATGGTGAGTGCAGAGATGAGCACTCCTTATACCAAACGTGGAGAACGCCTTCTCCATCGTTCGACTCAGTGTATAGGCGCTTATGCGCCGATTATCCTGAGCAGGCTGTAAAGAAATTGATGCATGCCACGTGCGGCGAGCAACATGCTTTGCCACAGGGATGCAAAGATTGGTCGGAGGCTTTTGGAAAGCTTTACGCCAATATGCAAGTGCATTGTCTCGAACGAGGGTTTCACAACGCGCTTGTCAATGCTGGAATGATTCCAGGAAAGGATCTACTGCGATACAGATTCGACTGGAGAGCGAAGTGCGTGGACGCTTTTCTCCCTCTCGAATGGGGCGTCACCCACGCGACAGATATGAGCATCTGGTTCTGGGGATTGGAGTATGGAGATGGTATCACAGATGAGGAGAAGCAGTTGCTGAAGCCGTGGAATGAGGCTTTCGCGGCGTTTGTTAAAGGCGATGAAGTGCCGTGGGGCACGAGCAATGTCAAAGAGATGCTGAGATTACGCGACGATGGCAAGACCGATATTTGGACCGACGATAGATGGGAAGAGGGCCTTCAGATATGGGATGCTGTCAACGGCGATGCTGCCAGTGGCTTGCTGGGATGGATAAAGTCTAAGCTGTAAGCTATAGCGCCGATGTCTCATCCAACTAAAGACTTGAGCTCGTTAATGTATCGGCACAATCCATGACCAGATCTGTGTGGTCCTGGCTAGATCTGCAAGGGCATTGAACTCAGGTAGCACGACCGCGCGGGCATGAAGAAAGGCTGGGGCCTACTTAGCACCATAGCACCCTAGATCCTGCGCTACTGGAGGACGTGAGCAGCACGCCGCACCACATATTTGCTCCACATGTCGGGGCATGGAACATGCGAATTGGCCCTTCTAAGAGCTAACGGGTAGCAGCAGCAGCATCCGTGGCATATGCGTGCTTCCGACGGCTAGCCACATGAGTACAACGACAAATGTCAAACAATCGACACTCAATAAAGAGCAATCGAGACCGACACCCAAACTTGACCACTCTCAGCTCATTGAAAGGACAGAAGCTCTGTCGATCATACAAGTCATTCATATTGATTCTGCAGCTTGCCTTGGCCGCTTTGAAGTTCATTGTCTCGCTCATTTGGCTGTTTGCCCTTGCGCTCAGACATACAGCAAAATGGCCGCATCATGTTTGCGCCCGCCGAGCAGTCACATATGAGTGTTCCGATCTGCTCTGATCTGCTTCTCCACAAGCATCGCAACACTCGCTGCCACCAACACCCTATACTGCAAAGCTTCTGATTATCTTTCGTACGACAAGATCGGCAACACTGCATCAGAACCCATCATACAAGGGATCAACGGGCCAGCAGTATGACCGCTCAGACCTACACCACGATGCCTGGTCTCCTGCCAGCACCTGGCTATCAGCAACGCAGCGCCCCCAACGACCAAGCCCAGCCTCGCCTGGCTTATTTCATCACTCGACCCAATGGCTTCGCCATCCCTCTCATTCCCGCCGATGAGCTGCCATTTACGATCAAGCTGCAAAATGTGCCTCGCATTCTCGACCCTCAAGACACGTACGGCATGCAGTACGTAGGCACAACTCCTTACGCTGGCACCACGTTCAAGCTTGATGGTCTTGGATCTACCGATTTTCAGCGTAGCGGTAGCCCGCCAACGAGTGTGCCGTTTCACGCTCGTGGCCACAGTGCCACTGGTGTCAAGCAGTATCTCGCACCAGATGCGCTGGCTCGACAGGTCTTCGCCACCACTCCTCACGCTGCTGTCAGCGGTATCGACAGCAACACCAGCCGGCCGCCATCTGCTCACGAGACTGCAAAGTCGTGGCGTCGCAACGATCCGACCGAATCCACTGACCCAACCCAAAGCGTTATCGATGCAATTCTGCGCTCCAAGGCTGGGGCAGAGACTGCTGAGCGAGTGGGCTATCGCAGCAGAGACACTACTCCACCGCCATCTGGGATCGTGCCTGACCAGGACAAGAAGGTCTTCTGTACGCACTGGATCATGACTGGCGATTGCAAATTCGTTCAACAGGGCTGTCGGTACAAGCATGAGATGCCGTCCGAGGCGAAGCTGAAAGAGTTGGGAATTCGTCATACGCCGAGATGGTGGTTGGAGCATAACGCAGCTATCAGGCTTGGAGGAGCGAGAAATGTGGCCGGTCCGTCGTTGAAGCCATTGGAGATGCTGCGCAAAGGCGATGATGCCGATTCTGAGAGCTCGTCTGATGGACCCGATGAGAGTGACAGTGAGGTGGAGGTGGTGCTTTCCCTTGCCGACAAGAAGGCTCTGCTGAACTCGAAAGGCGTGACCAACAACGACGTTGTGAGAAAGCCAATCATTAAGGCTCCGGTAGAGCTCAAGTCACCTGTTGTTCCGCCTACTCGTCCATCGTCACCAGTCACAGTCACAGAGAAGCCAAAGGATGCTCGCAAGCCATCAACCACAAGCGACCTCATCGACTTCGCTCCGCTTCTGCCATCAACTGCAACTACGACCGCTCCACCAACGGCAACCACGTCTCGCCCCAAGCGCGACTACAACCTCCGAGGTGGTCCAACTACTACATGTACTCCAACCACCACGTCCCTCAGCATCACCAATCCCCCGCAAACTCCCCCGACCACAGCAAAGAAAACCACCAAAGTCTTCGTCCCCGCGGGAGAATCCCCAGACCACCACATCGCAGACATGAAAAAGCGTGAGCGCTCGACTCGCATAAAGCAACAACCATCCCGCACCCCATCTCCCACCCACCCACGACCCATCATCCCAAACACAACCAAGACTCTCATCACGAAATCGGGTCCAGTCGGCCTTCAAGCCTCGAAACATGCCCCTCCGCCCCCTCCTGGCTCCATCTCCTCCGATAGCAACAAGTCCTCCCCTTCTCCCGCGAAGCGCAACAAAGCAGGTTCGCGCATTCGTCGTCCTGCTACTTCTTCTGCTACTGCTACAAGTCCTGCTTCGCCTTCTCCTACAGTCGCCGCTGCCGTGAACGCGGGAGCTGGAGCGGAGAAGAAAGACAAATAGAGATTTGGGAGCGGAGAGGCGGAATTGCATGGAGAATCAAAGGACCTATAATATACTTACTCTTGAGATTTAATGCATACTCGATGATACTCTTTCACATACGATGTGGCACTGGCGTTCGGTTTGAGGGGTTTTGATTGTTCCAATTTGGGAAAGTAGATATAGCGAAGCATATGAACCATATTGGTATTATTACTCTCCTTTTGCCTCATGGACATTTCTAACAGTGATCTTCTCCGATCGTCTGCCGCTTCAGACTTCTTATGCTTTCGAACCTTCAATCACAAAACGGGGTAGATGGCGCAGCGCAAGCATTGTTGCTACACCCAATCCTCACGACCTCGATCGCCATGCAGTGTGCGTCACAACACAAGACCCGCGCTCGGTATCATGATGCACCAATGCCAGTAACGGCCAGCAATTCTTTTGTACATATTACACTAGAGTACAGCCTCACTTTACATCATCGTCCAACAACACCAATAACGCGCCTACTCTCCATTTCGCTCATCCTTCTTTTTACTCGCCTCTAACATAGCACGAAAATCGTTATTGCTCTTCTTCGCCGTGCCCGCCTCTTCAGAGTTGGAACCAGCAGCATCGCTCCTGGAATTGCCACTCGAGAATCCACCTCGCTTGAATCCAAGCCCTCCTCTACGGCCTCCTCGTGCACCACCTGGACGTGTTGCCTGTGGCGGAACAAACGCAGGCTTGGCTCCAGGATTCGAGACGTCCGCGCCCGTACCCCGTAGATCACCATTCTTCTTTCTGCTTTGCTTTGCGAGCAGGTCGCCAACATCGCCGGTGCTTGCCTCTGGTCCAAGGCTGCTCACATCGACACCAGTGCGGACACGGAAAGCATCCTTGACGTCCTTGAATTCGACAATCGCTCCCTGCTTCTCGCGCCGAAGTTGAATCTTGGTGATGGGACCATATTGCTCCATTGCAGTTCGGATACGCGCATCGTTGACGGTGTCTGGCAAGTGGAAAATCGCGATTTTGCGCTCTTTCACGTTCTTGTGCGACTCGTCATCCTGATTTGCGGACTGCATGGAGATATCCGAACCACGGCGAGCACCATTACTGGCTGGCTCAGGTGTCGCGGATGCTTTGTCCTGTTTCACGATGACGTCCTCACGTCCAGCTCGCTCATGTGGTGCAGCGGCACGTCCTTTCGGTTGTACCAGTTCCACCTTCAAGATTCTGTCATGGAACGGAGTGTTGTTCGCACCTTCAAGAGCCGCTGTGGCTCCTTCAGCTGTGGTGTATGTGATGAATACCGTTCCTGTCGCCCTGTTGTTGACCAGCTTCACGAGATTGATTCGTTCAATCTGGCCGTATTGGCCAAAGAACTCGCGAATCTGTGTCTCCGAGGCCTCACGATCGGAGTTCTTCACAATGATCTCGCGTCCTTCACTTTGTGGGCCAGCGCGTTGTTTCTTGGCATCAGGATCGGCAATCTTAGCCAAAAGTGTATGCAAGCCGTCAAGCTTCTTGCCATCCATAGCTTCCTCAGCAGCTCTGGCCATTTCAGCGCTGAGGAATTGGACATACGCAAAACGGCGCCGAGAGTTGTATTTCAGTGATGGCAGACGTACGGCCACAATCTCGCCATATTTCTTGAAGAGTCCTCGAATCGCCTCCTCGTCGTACTCGGCTGGATAATTTGTGACGTAGAGAGTACTTCCTGAGCCGCTCTGGATGCGAATTTCATATCCTCCAATCTCTTTCCCGGTCCGAGTCTTAGCAGCCTTCACATCGTCCTCGGACTCGAACTCAACCACGGCAGAAGCTGACGACCCTTCCTTGTCTTGAACGATACTGATCGATAGTAGTGTGCCACAGTCGCGGAAAAACTTCTTGATCTCGCCTTCAGAAATGCTGGGCGGCATATTCTTGACCGTGATTGTGTTGTGCTCACGGTCGCGCTTGATTTGTGCGCTGGCTGAAGCGGAAGGCTCATTGCGTGCTTCCTCCGGAACGGTCTCCAGTGTGGGCTTGACCTTTTTGGCAACGTCGCCATTGGTGGGTTCGTCTTCACGCTTTCTCTTCTCCCCAGCAGGGGTATTGCCTGTTTCCAGCACTTCGGCTGCAACGGCGAGCTGTTCTTGCTGTTGTGCGGCAACGGCTTGTGCTTCTTCCTGTTCCTTTGTACGCTGAGCTGCGAGCTTCTTATTGAACTCCCTTGCAGCGGCCAAGGCGTGCTGGAGTGCAACTCCAGATTCGTGCTGCTGAAAGTGGTTAGTGTAGAGTTGCAATACCCGATCTGGGAAATCGATATTGCGTTGTCGCAGGGCTTCCTTGACGACCTGCGATGCGAGCGTGGGTGCGTTATCCGGCCTCTCCACTCTCCGCTCCTCACGTATCCGGTCCGAAGCCCATAAGCGCAGTTCAAAATGGTAATATTTGCTCCAGAAATCGTAAGATCCTCCAAGACGAGTTGCCAGAGTCTTGTAGATTTCTCTTGCCTGATCGAAACGCTTAGCTTCGACGTAGAACTTGATTTGAATCTGTTCCAGTCGGAACAAAGGATCGCCTTCAAACTCCTGACCGTAGATCCGCTTGCCAGCCTCGTGTACGTCTTCAAGGGTCGAGTGAATGCCAAATTCAGCTGTGTCGATATCGTCCTCTGTACTTGTCTGCCGGAACGCGTACCTACGCAGGTAGCTGCACCACTCTTCCAGCATCTTCACATACTCCTCAAGACCTCCTACATCGAGCAAGCCAGTGTTGGTGGCACGATGTTTGATGTTGCCAATGTCGTCTCGAGATTGTTGTTCAACATCCGCGCGCAATATGCGTCTCGCCCACAACTCTCCTGACCAGGGGCAATGGCGAGTGGCGCGCTCGATGACTGACAACAGCGAGGTGGACTTCGGATCCGTTACCAAAAAGTCGATGTAGTCCAGCCACCACTCAAGATTTGTCGGCTCAAATAGAACGGCACGCTCAAAAAGAGCACAGCGTAACTCATAATCGAAGGGTCCTGCAGTTTTTGGCTTGAGAGAATAGTACTTCTCGTCTTTGAGATACCGCTCCATTTGGTGATGGATGTTCGAGGCATCACCGCTTTCAATCGCCCGCTGGAGTTTGAACTCGTGGTCCTCCCGTATCGCAAAGCACGCTTTGGCAGGCTCCGCCTGTTGGTTGATATGTGCAATAGCAGCCTCCCAGTTCGCGCCCTCGAAGCGTGACACGATCGGCCAGTACAGTTGCATCGTGTCTGGCCATTGTGTTTGAGGTGTTTTCAGACGACCGAGAAATATGTTGTGTATGGGTGTTATGTCAGCCTGCGACGGCTGCTGAGGAAGCTGCTCGTAGACAGCTTTAGCGAATCGGTTCCACAGAACATGGCTCTCGTCCATGCGCCATTGTGTGGCTGCAGCCGCTTGTTCGAGCACTGTCATGACCAGATCCCGAGTAAAGAGTTCCTTGCACATCTCCTTGTCTTCAGGCGTCCAGTCACGTTCAATGGTCTCGCGCAGGTCGTGGCAAGCCTCATAGCTGTTGGAAACATAGTCCACGTACATTTGCCAGAGCTTGACAGAAGCTGGCTCGTCCGCAACGGCTTTCTGACAAAGCTCCAAGACTGCCATGCGCTCCTCGGTGTTTTTGGCAGTGAGGATCTCATCATTGAGCCAGTCGACCCAGATGGCTTCGCCGACTGCGAAACGCGAGTCCATCGCTTCTCTCGCTTGTCTCATTTCGGTCAGTAGCGCGTACGTGCGGGGCTCACCTGGCTGCGCTCCATGTTGAGCACCTACAGGCGAAGAGACGTGAGCACGGAAACCTTTGTGCAGAAGGTTGATCAGCTCCACGTGATACTGATAGGCATAGGAGTTGTCGCGCAGATAGGCGAGCAGCTCTGAGACTCGGTGCGATTCCTCTTCTGACAGCGCGTTTGATGTGAACTCGCGTGGCGGAGGAGTTTGGGCAGGTGCTTCGGCCATTGTGAGATCCGCCAGGCTCTGGCGCGAGATGGTTCGCACGACGGGAGGCGCCGAGTCCCTCAGCGTATGGTGATGTGCCGGAGGGCGTGCTTGCACCTGTTTGGGCAGGATGTTGTCGGAATACGTGCGCGATGTTTGTTGACGCTTGTGCGGCGAAGGAAAATCTGAAGTAGACGCGGGTCAGCCCAAAATTTGCGTAGCGCGGCAGGCAGCGTCATGATGCACATACCGGTCAACTTTTCCACCTGCGGCGTGGACGATGGGCGATGGGCTACCGATGGCCGTTGTGAGTATGCATATTGCGGGTGGTGCTCGGATACCTGCACGGGATTGCTGGTGGGCGGGAGCGGCCTGAAGTTGGGCGGCGCGGGCGCCGACGCGTGATATTGCTGCTGCTGTTGCTGCTGCTGCGAAAAGGCCGCAGCTCCTGTCGCGTGCGCTGGAGGCCGCGCCTGCGGTGATACACGCCTTTCTGGCGACCGCGAGAGCTCTTGGCTCAATCCGGACGCAGTGCGTTTGCCACCGGCGGGCCGTTTCCCTCTCTGCACCGCAGGCGGTGATTCTGCTGCTGGCGCCCTCGCAGCAGGCGGCGTCGCAGCAGGCGGCGTCGCAGCAGCAGCACTCGGAGTGGAAGGACTTCTCGCAGATCGTGCTCCGTCGTCTGGCGACAGCAACGCATTAATGTCCATCTCGGACCCAGCCCCTCACCTCCAGACACCGGGCGCCGCCTCGAAAGCTGGTCGTCAGCGAGTCCTCCGGCAACAGCAATGCAGGGAAATGGGCGACATTAGCCCTCCACCACTGGCGCGAAGCAGACTCGCCGGGCGGCCTGAGGCAGCGGCAGCAGCCGGCAGAGGTGGGCGTGAGGGTGGTGAGTTGGGAGGGTGAGTTGGGAGGGTGAGCGGCGAGCTGGCCAGAGACGCCTCCTCCAGCGAGCGAGCAGCAGCAGTGTGAGGGCGAGGAGAGAAGCTGCTTGCCTGCTGCTGCGACTTTGACACGGGTGGCCGGGCGTGTGCAGCCGGCCGAATTAGTCTCTTGCAGCAGCAACACTATTGCAGCAAAGCTCGAGGTTGTACGGAGGTTGCGCCGGAAAGGCCTAGACGCGCCCGACGCTGGAGAGCCCGCGGTGATGTGAGGAGAGATGGGGACGGCGATGGCGAGTCGCTGGAGCGCACTGGAGAGTATCTGCTGCTGTCCGCAAGGCCCACGTGTTGGCTTCTGTTCTTCACCACCTCCCGGTCCATCTCTCAGCATGAGCCAGGATGCTGCTCGCAGTGACGACAGACAACTAATCCCGCCCCGGTCGTGTGGCCTCGGCGCGAACCGACTCCCTAGTGTCGCCGAGACGAGTCGCGTTGCTGCACCCTCACCCATGCCATCGACATACCATTGAATCTGTGCTATCTGCCCCGTCCACGCTGTCAACCCTCCTACATCGCCATGAGTGGTGCAGGACCCGCGAGGCGCTTGGCCTCGAGATGTGCGTATTCAGCGCATCAAAGCACATTGTAGCGCTGCCCCCAGCTGACCTCCGCAGGCACATTTTGCAGCCCGCTGCCCATTCGGACCATCCAGCATCAGCAGCGCCGGACTGCAGTGACAGACTTCTTCAAACGTGGTGCATCCGCCTCACAGCCCGACAATGAGAAGCCAAAATCAGACAATCCCTTTCTGGACGAGTTCAAAAGGAAGAACCCAGGCACGCCGACTCCCCAAGGACCGGACATGCCACAGACCATGCCGCAACAGGGAGACATTGCTTCATCGTCCATTTTCGAAGACGAGCGCCGCATAGCAGCCCAACGAGAGCGAGACGCCGAGGGCGAGGGGGAGCAAGCCAGGAATCCCGCTCATATTTTGCGAGTGACCCAGCCCGACCCAAACGCGCGCGAACGATGGGAGCGAAAAAAAGTCATTCAGATGATCAGAAATGGTGGGAGGCTGTCCAAGGCGCAATACCTCAAACGCACCGAAAGGGAGCATCTTGTTAAGAGCCACAACATGAAGACTTCGGTCAAGAAACTCGGCATGATTGCGAGGCAAATTGCGGGGAAGACCATCGACGATGCCATCATTCAAATGCGCTTCAGCAAGAAGAAAGTCGCGCAAGAGGTCTTGAAGCAGTTGGAGCAGGCGCGCGATGAAGCTATCGTGATGCGCGGCATGGGTCTGGGGAAAGTCAAGGCTTCAGATGATGCGGAGATCCTCGATGCCTCCGCCGATTCAGTGCTGGAGAGTGTAACAAAGTCGGATGCGTCAAAGAAGGTTGAAATCCAGCTCAAAGACGGCAAGAGACACAAGATCGAGGACCGCTCAAATATCTACATCGACCAAGCGTGGGTGGGACGGGGACCATATGGACAACTGCCCGACTACAGGGCAAGAGGGCGCATGTTCGTCATGCGCACACCGTGGACAAGCCTGAGTGTAGTGCTCAAGGAGGAAGCGACGAGAATACGAGAACATGCTGAGCGTGAGGCGAAGAGGAGGAAGGAGGTTACTGAGAAGGTCTGGGTGCCATTGCCAGACAGGCCCATCACGACCAACAGACAGTGGTACAGCTGGTAAAAGATGCGCATTATAGATTTGCATACTCATCGGGAGAGTACTCTGCACATTTGTACATTACCTCTGAAAATTGTGCTCATCCGCCCATAAGCCATTTCGGAATCAGAATTTCTTCCAGCTTCAACCCATGCTATCCTTTTCAAGCTGTATACTGCACTCTGGTAGACGGGTGCGACGCCGTGATGGTAGGCAGTGTAAGGGTCCCACTGGCATGCTGCTGCTTCTTCAGCAGCATGCTTCGGGGCCGTCCCAACTTATGGCGGGTAAACCAATGTTTCTTGGTTCATACCTAGAAATTGGTCTGCGTGCATAATTCGCTAGGCCTACTCTAATTACGCTTATTGCTATAACATGCGTATGACCACAGGAAACATGGAACACAGAGGCCGATGTGCAGACCAACTCTCAATGATGCTTGAGTTGCTTGGGAATCCTTTCTTGACTCTGCGCAACACCTACAACAGCACAGCAACAGCACCAGCCATCAAAGTAGCGAGCACGAACGTGGGGAGTCTCAGTCCTGAAGCCACGTTCTCTCCGCCTTGCGCCTGAACCTGAGTGCCATTATTCCCTCCAGCGTTCGAACCAGCTCCCAGGGTGCCATTACCACTACCATTCACCGTCTCATTCTCAGTCGCAAATTGTCTCCGTGGCAAATTCCCCAAAATGACCTCCAAAGCAGCTAAATCCTCTCCAATCCCCTCATTTCCATCGAAACTCTCGCTTCTCCAATCCAAACCACATACATTTCCGCTCTCACCACCTGTACAAGACCTCGCCGCAGCCAGGGCCGAATTCCGTAGAATTCTGTTGATTGTGTCATACGTCGTACTGTCTCCCTCACTAGATGTCGTATTTGAGTTCAATGTCAAATCTCTCGTCCTCGCCAGTCCACGCGCCAGTAATGTACGGAAAGCGATTTGGTCAACGTTGCAATTTTCGGTTGGAATACAAGCAGGCTCGGTGATGATTCCTCGAGTACTATCGTCTTCTGAACCAGCGAAGAAGGTATTTGCGTAGACGAGTCCAGCAAACGAATATGCCGACCATGTTCGAGTGCCACCCGTCGCATTGGAGGCATATGCGCTTGTGGAGAGCAGAAGACCGGCGTTTTGGGTCCATTCAATGTGATTGATTTCGCTACAATTGGTTAAGTCGTCGGTGCCATCGTAAATCGCGACTCTGTTAGAGGCGGTGGAAGCTTCGCTGCCCTCTTGTCCAGATGGGAGCTCGAAGAGACCGACTTCTTGGAGCCATGTGAGGGATCTGGCGGCCCAGTCGCTGTATGTAGTGTTTCCAGTGAAGCGCGCTAGTCGAGCGCCCAGTTGAGCGAAGGTCAAGGTAGAAACACTGTTTTTGTAGTTGTAGCCGTTGTTGAAGCTGAAGATCTGCCATTTTAGGCCGCCACCACACGTCTCCGTATCCCATCGCACGACTATGGAGTTGAAGGTGTTCTCCGCTAGCTGTAACCATGACACATTGAAGCCCTGAGGCTGAGGGAGGCCCAATTCCGCCGCGGTGAGTGCGGCTGATGCCCAAAAAGCCATGTCATCATTCCCCAATGACTTGCTTTGGTTCGGCGGCATGTAGTTGTTGTCTGGACCGACTTGGAAGGCAAGACCTTGAGAGACGACATCCGTGAGGTCTCGATCGCCAGATACCGCCCAGTAGTTGATGAGTGAGTCGAACATTAGGCCTGCATGCCACCAGTAGTAGGGGTCAGGCAGCAATCCGGGAATCTCGCCTGTCTCGTTGCCCTTGTAGATTGTGAAGATGTGTTCGACGATAGTCCTGCCGGCGCTGACGATGGAATCTTCATTCTCGAGGTCCAGCTCGATCGCAGAAGTGAAGTTCGCTGCCAGCAGCAGACTGGCGAATGTGAAGACGCGCATGTTGCGTTTCAAGCGCGTCTGCATGCGTAGAAAGAGTGTGAGGCGATCGCGAGCGAGAGTGATCTTCAAAGAACGGTTGAGGACGAAGAATGGATTCTAGTCGTGTTGACGTGTTTCGCAGATTGGCGGAAACTTCATCATCTATTTCAGTGTCTATAACAAGGCGGAGGCAGCGAACACGCGGGTTCTGTTTGTGGACTTCTGAAGGATCTAGCGTTGCTTGGCGAAACAACTTGTGCCGTGTGGCATGCATTTGCAGCGCTGATGAATGCGAGAACCCTGCATGCTATGAGTGGTGTCCACTGACCACGGCATCGAGCCTAGAATCGCCGAACCGCACGAACAGTGACTTCAAGGAAAGGCACACGAGTGTTGCCGGTCGTGAGCGCTGTCGTTGTTGCCAAGAAGTGAGCGGCTTGTGTAGCATTAGGAGGTAGCTGGCCACGGGTCCAAGATTGGTGGCCGCGGTGTGGCGCCGGTACCCAAACGCAAGATTGGCTCACATCGTCTGCGCTCATGGATGAAAATCACTTCTTAAACATTGCAGGAAAGTACCCTCGCACGGCATTGCTGAGCCACACAGTCTCTCCATCCTGGAAGCTATCGATCGATACGTCCCCCTCGACGCAGAGTTTCTGCTCCAGAGCCCACCGTCGCGTCGTGCCTTGCAGGCCACCAGCTGATGCTTCTGGTGTGACCCACTGACCGTTGCGAAAGAAGTATGGCGTACAAATCGACCCATCGAGCACATTCTTCTCAGGCGTATAGAGTAACACCTCTCTTGGGATTTGATAGGTCAGGATCTGTGCTGCAGCTCGAGCACGGCCGTAGGAAGATCGATCGTTTGTCTTGTACATTGTGCCCTCGGACGGCTCCGTGGGCTCCTTGTCAAGCACAATTGTCCACTCGATGGGGAAGCTGGGTTTGACTGGGAAAGACTTGGGAAACAGGGATTCCATGGAGATCGGTCTGAGCGGATGAAAGATTTCAGTCGTCATCCTGCCTCCAACATAGATCCGTAATTTTATCCTCAGCGCCTCCGGCTGTTCATTAGGGTGTTGCTCATGCCACTGCTTCACGGCGCGTGAGAGAGTGTTGAGCAGTACGGTAGGACCGCCTGAATTGGGTCGAGGCCTATCGTCGGCGAAAAAGAAGGTACTCCACTTGGCGATTTGTAGCCTTGTCCAGTGATGTTCCAGCATGTAGAAGGAGCATGCCGTACCGCAGGATGCTGCTGTATTCTTTGCCGACTGTGGCAACCTTCTGTCGTAGCGAATGCTTGTGTAGACATACGGCTCGTCGCCATCTATGCCTTGAGGCGGGTCGAAAGGTCGACCATCGATGCCTTGCGCAGGAGTATCGCCGAAGTGGCCGCTCATCTTGCCATTTGCAGAATATGTACGACTGTATATGGTAGGGAGTCCTGAAGGATTCTTCTTGCTCGAACACAAGGAGTATGCCGCGGACAGTCATACAATGTGGTACCTGAGCTCAGACCACAGAACGCAAGATGACTCCCGAGCAGAGCAGCCGGCCCTCATTGAATGCTGCTCAGGAGAGATTCGTGTACTGGCGCACGCGAGGGAGATGCCGCCGATACATGGAGCAGCGGGAGCACGACACAAGCGGCTGAAGGCGTGGTCGTGTCATCGACATGGTTGCGGTGGAAGTGGTCACTGGCATTTGACGAGAGCTTCCATCAGAATTTGGTGGAGCGGTCGGCGCTGTGACATCAGCCTGTCGGGCGTCTCGGGAGTAAGCTTGTTTGAGGTCGTCGAAGTTCGAGCGGACATTGACTTCGAATTCATCGCGCCGCGCGCTGCATCCATCCATCCCATCCACTGCCATCCACGCCCTACGCACGTCCAAACCGCGTCTCGGGCTGACCTTCCACCATGGCGTCGGCACAACAGGCGCAAGCCAAAGTCGAGGAGACGGCACAAGCTGTGCAGACGGCGAGCTCGTCCTTTCTCGACCGCGTGAGCGCGTGGTATCAGGACAACAAGGTCGCCGCCTGGACCATCGCCGGTGTCACCGTCGTTGCCGTCGGCGGTACCGTCTACTACCTCTCGCTTCCTCCTCCACAGCAGAAATCCAAGAAGGATCGACGAAAAGGGAAGAAGGCCGATAAGGGAGCTGCGGAGGCAGAGAAGGCGGCGGCAGACGTCAGGGCATCAGCTTCGAAGGCGGCGCCAAAGGCAGCAGCAGCCGAGGAGGTTCCTGAGGAGCTGCCCACAGTGACCGAGGAGTCGGTCGCCTCGCTTTCAGAGCAGGAGCGCAAGGACTATGCCGCGAAGCTCAAGGCAGCTGGCAATAAAGCCTACGGCGCGAAGGACTACGAGCGTGCCATCGATCTGTACACCCAAGCCATCTACTGCAAAGCCGACCCTGTCTTCTACTCGAACCGCGCCGCCTGCTACAACGCCAAGTCGAACTGGTCTAAAGTCATCGAGGACACCACTGCCGCATTGAACCTGGACGCTGAATATGTGAAAGCCTTGAATCGAAGAGCAAACGCCTACGAGCAAGAGGGCAAATACAGCGAGGCACTTCTGGACTACACCGCAAGCTGCATTATCGATCAATTTCGCAACGAATCTTCTGCTCAAGCTGTTGAACGTCTACTGAAGAAGGTCGCCGAGACGAAAGCCAAGGCTATTCTCACAGAGAAGGATAAGACACTGCCATCGCCCACTTTCGTCTCCAACTACTTGCAGTCATTCCGCGCAAAGGGTCTTCCCGAAGGACTGGAAGAGACCGCCGACCTTCCCGAGGGCAGCGGAAAATGGCACCTTCGCAAGGGTCTCCAGGCCGTCCGCCACAGAAACTCGGAAGGCTACAGAGAAGCGGCAGACGCATTCGACAAGGCGATCGAAGTTGGTGACTTGGGTCCTCACGAGGCTGAGGCTTACAACATGCGTGGAACTTTCCGCTACCTGCGTGGCGATAACGATGCTGCTCTAGAGGACCTGAACAAATCGATCGAACTGGACCCGACTCTCGTGCAGAGCTACGTAAAGCGCGCCAGCATGCATCTCGAGCAAAGTAAGTTGAGCGGAGCTGCCGGTGTTGATACCACGATGCTGAGAATCTCAGGCGCACGCGAAGCTGCTGCCAACGATTTCGAAACCGCTGCGCAACACAACCCCAACGATCCGGACATCTACTATCACCGCGCGCAACTCCACTTCATCCTCTCTGAATTCAGCCTCGCCGCGACCGACTACCAAAAATCGATCGATTTGGACAAGAACTTCATTTTCTCACATATTCAACTCGGTGTCACGCAGTACAAGATGGGTTCGATCGCCAGTAGTATGGCGACTTTCCGACGCTGCATTAAGAACTTTGGTGATAAGAGCGATGTCTACAACTATTACGGCGAGTTGCTTTTGGATCAGCAAAAATACCAGGAAGCAGTGGAGAAGTTCGAAACTGCTGTTGAGATGGAGAAGAAGGCGGTCGGTGAGACTGGTGGCATGAACGTGTTGCCTTTGATCAACAAGGCATTGGCGCTGTTCCAGTGGAAGCAGGACTTCACTGCAGCGGAGCAGCTGTGCGAGAAGGCGCTTTTGAGTAAGTCGGATTCAGCTCGCCGATGTGGAGCACAGATACTGACCAATTCGTTTAGTCGATCCCGAATGCGACATCGCCGTTGCGACCATGGCACAGCTCCTCCTGCAACAAGGCAAAGTCACAGACGCCCTCGAGTACTTCGAACGCGCCGCCAAGCTCTCACGAACAGAAGGCGAGATTGTCAACGCCCTTTCATACGCCGAAGCGACACGGACGCAGCTCGAAGTGCAAGAGAAGTACCCACAACTGGCTGCCAAGCTGCAGAGCATGAGCGCAATGGGTGGCGCAGGCATGCGATAAGGAGGTTGAGGAGGAATGCGACAAAGGACAGAACGAGTTTCATGTGGATGTTTCTATGTATGCGAGGAAAGAAGAGGCGGCGAAGAGAGCCTGTGCATCTTCATCACTCGGCGTTGAGCGCACGGCAGACAGTTCTGCGAACAAAAACCTTCCGCACCTGTATTTTAGTTTTGTGTGCAAAGCGCGATATACTTGGTGTAATACCTTGCCACTCTCAGCCAATCTCTCAGTTTTGGCACAGTTTGTGTGAGGATGGAACGCAGGTAATGGTACAGAGTCGGATCATTGGCATCAAGACATGGCTTCGTAAGTATCTGTCGATATACCAATTCCGTCACACACAAATATGTACAAGAAGCAAACTCGCTGCCTACAAGTAGGCGCTGATATCAAGAAGTTCCACCGACATCATCAATCATGGTTCCTACGAGCCCTGCGCCCAGGTCGGGAATCTCTTCCAGTCCAAAACATTGGGGCTAATGTTCTTCAGATCCGCAATACCGACATTCGCAGCATCAATCGCCACCTCTCGCTTCATGATCTGAATCGCTCTCTCTACGCCAGTGCCGTTGGGGTAGATGTTAGCAAACATGAATGGCCTGCCAATACCCACAGCTTTGACACCAAGAGCCAACAGCTTAACGACATCTGCGCCGTAACGGACGCCACCGTCTGCGAAGACTTCAGTCTGGTTGAAGATTTGTGGTGCTTCTTGGTAGATCTCCAATGCGACTTCGAAGGCTGATGGGGATCCGTCGACTTGGCGACCGCCGTGGTTGGACAGGAAGAGAGCTGGGACGTTGTGCTCTACGGCGAGGAGGGCATCTTCAACTGTTTGAACGCCCTTTGGCACGATTGGTAGGTCTGTTTGGTTGCGCATCCACTCGTACTTCTCCCAGGTGATGGAGGAGTAACTGCTATCGGCGCTGCCGACACCGAAGCGAACGGCGCGGTGACGGTTTCCATCTGCGGCGGAGTCGACAGTCAGGATGATGGCCTTGAAGTCAAGCTCCTCGGCTTCACGGATTTGCTCGATGATGGAGGTGTCGTTGCTTGGGTCGATGTAGAGCTGTAGGAAGGCGACTTGTCCTTCTGCGCGTGCGTCGGCGATTTCCTGCTTGGTCGATGATGAGAAATCGCTGACTTGGTACAGAACGTTCTCCCGGCCGGCACCTCTCATGATACCGGTCTCGCCCCATGGGCCTGCGTAGCCTGCACGTGCACCTTTCGCATGCATTAGCAATTGTCTTCACTCGGGAAGCTTCCGAGCTGAGATGGTCTTACATGGTGAGATGAAAAATGGAGCTGAGAAGTTGTAGCCCAGAATTGTCGTCGGCAAGGAATCTTCAATGTTGTCGACCATCGTCATCACCCTCGGCCTGAAGCGCATGCGCTGGAAGATCTCCAGGTTATTCCGATAGCTCCATTCGCCTGCAGCGCCATTGCGATAGTAGGTATAATTCATCAAGCTCATATACTCTCCAGCTAGGTAATCGAAATCTGGCAACCCAACAACATCGGAAACATTGGGCAATGCACCTCCTTCTTCGAGTGTGCCAAACTGTTCAACTGCGCCAGTGTCTGGGAATTCCAGCCACGGCCTAGCAGCAGAGGCAAGCCCAGCTGCCGCAAGCAGCGATGATAGTATCATTTGCATCGTGTATCGTTGATCGTAAATAAACTCGCCACGAACCTGTCGCGCTGAAGAAGGACCGGGCGAAAGTTTGAAAGGAAACTGGGAAGAGCAACCATATACCTTTCTAAGTACTTACTCGTTCTAGGCGGCTTGGCCAACAGAGTGGACGTTCGTGTCTCACCTTCGTCGATGCAAACCGCCGCGTCGTCTCGAGCGTACTTACTGCATGCGGTCGCTGACCCGCTTCGAAGCCGAGCAGTTCGTCTTTGTCGCAGAGAATGATATCAAAGGTCTCGCCCGGAGCAAAAGCGAGCCCGCTAGCAGTCGGTCTGTGCTCAGGCGAACAGTAAGGCTCGTCAACGTCAGACGATGTCGACCGATGGAGGTGGTCAGAAACGTTCCAAGAGAGCATGGCGCGTGTGACAGAAGCTCTTGGCGCCGATACCGTCGTCACCTTAGCCTTGATCTCGGGAGTGAGGCCCGGACGAGCATGCTCTCTTGAGCCTGGGTGAATGTTTAACTTCGGCAGAATGCCAATGGCCCCGAAAACCGGCGTCTGGACTGGCTAGAAGTTGGCAGTGCAGTGTCGGCGGTGGATCGAAAGTTTTTAAGCGAGCTTCACTTGAGGAAGAAAAAATTGCATTGCCAGTGGTGGTCGCACGCAAATTGGCGTGCGAGATAACGACAGCAACGGGCTATGCTGGAACAGCGCCACGTGGGCCGATGCCAAGGCTCCATATGTGTGACCGGGAAGATAGCTCTTCTGTCTGTCGTAAGCGACATGTTGCAATAATGTGTGAATGTGCTTGGTAAGATCCAAACGAGCGGAACAGCCGCCGGATGGGTCCTGCATGATAAGGCCCAGGCACATCAAGCCTTGTCGTTTCGTTCAGAGTGAGGCAGTATCAAGTCCACTCTACACGATGGCTTGCGGCGCAGTAGCACGCGTGCGAGACAGAATGGCTTCATGTTCGGAATAGCGCGCGGCGTTGTTGCAGTGCCGAACTTCGGATGTAACTTCAAAGTGTCGGTAAGTTGACCAGCGGAAGAAGCGGGTCAGGCTGGACTCTGGTGTGCTCTGATCCGAGCGATGCGAGTTCGAAGTGAGACACTTCAGGTTGTGCAGTGTTGGCAAAGACTTGATGACGAAGCAGGACGGAAAAGCGCCGTGAGTCAAAGCGCTTTCAACCTCACCTGCTGTACTCGATCAGTCAGCTGCAACGTACGGTACTCACCAAGGGTTCCAACATTGAGCACGAGCTGGAACGACCACGGAGGCGGCTAAGGCATGCTGAGAACACCGACGAGAACGAACATGTCACTCGCGGGTCGCCGGAAGCGATTAGATCAGATCAGATGGCTGTAACAGAGCACCATGAAACACGTCCGAAAGTTGTACCGAAAGCGCAAGGCAACATGAGCGCTAATAATTATGCTTGTGTGTAAGCCGCATAGCATATCTACATCCAACATTCGGCACCGGAACGTCGTTGCTGCTTCTACATATCTTAGAAGGCTCGCGCATAAATTGCTGCAGTCCCGACTGTCTGGTTGCCGCAAGCTCCTGCAATCGAACCAGGGACCGGGCCTCCGTTGCATGGATAACAGTTGTTGTCTCCTGCGTCGCCCGTTGCGCCATTCAGTCCAAGTCCACCGGTTTGCCTGGATTCATGTCAGTCTGGTGAACACATGTCAATATGTGGGTGATGTTCACTTACGATGTGACGTATGTGATCTGGTCGCCGTAGAAGCAGTCCACTGTTGATGATCCAGTGTTGACAAGTTCGTAATAGATGACGGCTGCAGCGATGGCTAGATCTCTGCAGGCTGCGGCCGCTGCATTTGCGTACGAGCCTCCGTAAATAGGCAGAGCGAGTCCGGTTGACGAACCGCTGTTGCCCGTCTGTACGAAGCAGCCTAGGTAACCGAATCGAGCGTAGGCCGAAGGCGTTGGGCCAGGAGGACCAGAAGCTGCGCAGAGGAATTAGTATCGTCTCACTGAACGGGCAAAGGATGGTCTTACGTCCTGAAGGCTATCGTCATGTTAGCTAAGCAGTACAATGTTATGCAAGGGGCTGTAACTTACTCCGCGAGAACCAGTTGCACCGACAGCTCCTGAGGCACCAGCAGCTATCAAAATGTCAGCGAGATCTCATCAACACCACAAGCTTGGTAGACTTACATCCAGCAGGACCAGTAGCTCCGACTGCTCCAGAGACACCGGTAGCACCGGTAGCACCGGTAGCACCAGTGGCCTGTCGCGCTCATTAGAAACGGAACCGATATTCCTTGACATGTGAACTTACTCCGACGGCTCCTGAGGCACCAGTTGGACCCGTTGCTGTGAAGTATATTAGCAAGCACCACTTGTAGCATGTGCTTCAGCTGACTTACCTCCTGTAGCGCCCACTGCTCCAGAAGCTCCAGTAGCTCCCGGGGCACCACTAGCACCAGTTGCTCCGACAGCTCCTGAGGCACCGGTAGCACCGACAGCGCCTGAAGCACCGGTAGGGCCAGCTGGACCGGTCGCTGTAAAGCACGTTAGCCTCTACAACCCCAAGCTTCAATCTTGATTCTTACCGCCTGTGGCGCCCACTGCACCACTAGCACCAGTTGCTCCGACAGCTCCTGAAGCACC